ATCACAGCCTACACACATATCAAATGAGATCTGTGTGGCGCATATGTATTTGATCCCACCTTGTACCAATATCTATGTGTTAAAATAAATAAATAAAATAAATTAGGGTTTACTACTTTTAGTCTTACCTCTCTTCAACTGACCTGTCTGGCATAGTAGGACTTTGAGGAACAATTATTCCAGCCAATATAGCTCGATTGGTTCACCATGATAGGCGAGCTCGACCTTCATGTCATGGTAGCAACAACCATCGAGTTAGTCAAGTTAACTTAGTATTTCAATGAATATCTCGTTGATATTCAGAGTAATCAGTATTGTATTCGAGTCTTACTATGAACAACATTGTTCAGTTACAAGTGTGTTCATTTGATGAGTTCAAAACAAGATATAACGTATATTCTGAACTACGGTACTAGTTATAATTCAACTCGACATAAAATTTATGACTAAATGTCAATATCAGATTAATTCACTTAGAATGTACCTATATTAAATAAAAAGACTGATCAATTACAATCCTGCATGGTAACAACTGGTAATTGAAAAAAAAAATTTCCTAACAAAGATACAATTATGAAGTCATATCATTCTAAATGAGATCAATATAATTTCTTCAGGTAAAAAAAATATATAACAAAAATATCAAAATTAAAAAACAAAAAAGAAAAACAAAGGAGGGGGGGAAAGGGAGGAAACAACTTGTTTTTGTTTGTTTTTTTAAATACTAACTTCAGCTGTAATATACGTTAATGCATCCCATGGTATATAAGATTCATGACAGAACATTTCTAAATTTAATAATGCACATTCACGATCAGAATCATTAAAATCATAATTAATATTCCATCCAAGTGGTCCAAATTTTTTTCTTTCCAATATAATTGAATGAAAGAAACAAATACCAAAAACTAATTTACGCCAATCATTTCTTAATACTATATAAATAACATTGTGAGAAGAAAACAAAAGAAAAATAAAACATAATATAAGTAAGTATTTAGTGTGTACTACTTATATGTAAACATAAGTAGTATATAATGTTAGTCGTGAATAGAATGTCTAGCAGCAGAGAGACAAGAAGATCAAATAGTTAAGAATGAAAACAGAATGCAATTTGTATAAAAACGCAAGAACAAAGGAATTCTGAGTCATTTTGAGACAATTGATGGACATTTTGCAAAGTGAGCATTTACTATATATGGTTATTAGGATATATTAATAAGTACTGTAATTTATTGTCAAATACATTCGATTGTCCTCACTAGTGTGCTTGTTCACTACAAGTATATTATATCATTTAATCATTATCTAATATTTACTAATTGTGATATCACGATAAGCACAATAAATAGTAACTTTTGGGATCCATTTATGGATCAATACTATACGTATATATTTTTATCGTATAATTGTTATGTACCTAACTATTCACATTCGTGTTCCTCTTATTATAAGCTTCAGTTTGATCTATGAATTAGAACTATATAATTTACTATTCTTGAGTTATGCCCAGTCTATTCATTACAGTCTCCCTTATTCACAGCCACATTTGGCTAATTCTTGTACAAATGTTGTTTCCATATTTTATGGAACGATATGGTCTGTTTGATTGGTATATAAACCGAGTATGTTTGAAATGCATGATTCATATTGCAGAGGATGAGATTGGTGTTCTCGACTTAACTGGCTGGGTTAGGCAGGAAACAGGACCAATAAGGACTGTAGACAACTCGCATGAGTTTTATGCGTCACTGGTCCGAACTATAATTCACTACGCTCTAATTGACGGTATCGTTACATTAAACATTGACAGGCTACAAGTTATAACACTAAAGCTACTCTACAAATGATGTAATATTATATAAAAACTTAAATTGGTATTGGGAAGTGACTACTACTAATACTACTACTGCTACTACTACATGGCCTTTAAGAGTTGAAGATATTCGTAAGTTACTAGTGTTTGACCACAAATGCCTTAGAAATATTGCTCGAATCTGCTGGGATCACTGGGTAAGTAATAGTGAGGTTACACGCAGGGTATTAGGGAACGATGGTAAATCAGTTGATGAAGTTATGAATCTTCATCGACTGAGATGGTTGGGTCACGTGTAGCGTATGCCTGAACACCGATTACCACAACGCGCAATGGTAACCGGTGTAAGGGATGACTGGAAGAAAGTTAGGGGCGGCCAAACCAAAACGTGGCATCAGTGCTTGAAGTCACTAACTTCTAGTCTGAACCATGTTGGTAGATGCATACTACCTGGTTGGGATCCTCGTGACTATCGTAACCAATGGTTGGATACTCTTGGTGATATGGCTCAACATCGATCACAATGGCGTATGTGCATACACTCTCTGTCTTCCTTTAAACTAAGAGATTAAAATCGCTTCATATCATTCTTTCTAGGAACTAATTGTATCTTCCTGTACTATCTCCTTATACACACTCTTTCTTCTATATATTACCACCACTGAATTAACTACTTTTATGAATTCGGTGTGCATCTTGTTGTGCTAATGCGGTATGGCAACTTGGACCGATGCATATATGTGCCTGGTCCTACGTTGTAGCTGATTGACTGACTGACTGACTACTACTTATACTAATACTACCACTACTAATGTAGTGAACAACATCTCAGGTGGAGAAGAACAGTTTATTATTTGATACACAATTACCGAGTTATAAACAAAAATGGATAGTGGCTAGCAGCTGAATTTAGTTTGACGCTCATTTCGTCCTATGTGGGACTCGTCAGCTGGATGTACTTGCATCCACATAAGCATTGAGTTCTAATCCCGGAGTAGACATCAACACTGAGATGCAGGCATGTGCAGCTGACAAGCCTCAAATAGGACAAAACACGTGTCCTCGATTCCCCTGCTAGACACTATCCATCTTTGTTTAGAATGCTTGTGAATTCGGGTAATGTCGAGGCAATCCATATAGTATGCACATATGTCGATAAGAGACTGATACATTGCAGTCCTAAACATCAATGGGAAGATTCATTTAAATGATACAAAGTGAATTTACAATTATAGAGTGTTTTCATAATGTATGAAAACCGTACACCAAAATACATAATTTGCACATCTTCAATCATTTGTCCTTTACGTGTTTCATGATTCTTTCAAATATGCTGTTATTACATTAACTTTCTGTTTCCCTTTCTGTTCTATTCAACTGAATCTTTTCAATCTTCTACTGATATGCATTTCACTTCCGATTGGTGCTACATACTACTTATATCTCTCAACATAAGTAGTATGCACCATACTTCGACTACTAATTACTATTAATACTACTGTAATGAATGAGAACACGAATAGGGAAAATTAATGTATTTTGAGACAAAACTAAAGGTAAAATATGAGAACCATGTATTGAACACTTTATCTACAAATTTTCATCAATTATCCTTCACATTGTGTATGATTCTTCTAGTTGAAAATTTTTTTTTCTATTTTCTCTTTTGTTCTTATCAACTTCATCTTCTTAGCTCACTTCTACCAGGTTTTCCACATTCGATTAGTGTTGCATATTACTTATGTCGACAGACTTAAGTAGCATAAACTACACAACTACTAGTAATACTATCCTTATTACTACTGCTACTACAATTATGTTGAATGGTTGAAGGCATTTCATCAATTTATGATCATATTTAGCTTATCAATCATGATAAAAATATAAAGGTGAAATATGGTCATCATCATCATCATCATTATCATCATGGAGTTACACAAAACAATATGTCATGTGTAAAAAGAACACATTCTCACAATGAAAACATACCATGTGTATCAAATGATTCTGTTGATATATCATTAAGTGCTCGAATAAGATTTGCTTTTAATCCTTTTGGTGGTTCATTAGTTACTTTTACTGAATTTTGTAATACCGAAATTGGAAATGATTTTGTTGGCATTGAACTTAAATATAAACGAAAATCTGTATGTATTGATTTAGGATTTTCAGCAAGTTGTTTCACGATTTCTTCTAATCTAATCATCCATGAAGCAGCTAAATGACAATTCTATCAAAATAGAAAAAAAAAACAAACAACGTTAAATTGAAGATCGTTATTACTTTTCGATGAAATTTTGTTCTCTGAGCTGAGCAAACCATCCAACTCAGAGAAAAGAAAATTCCATCAAAATGAACCACCTGAACTACAAATCTTCTCCACCATCTCATTTATTTATTTGAGCACATAAATATTGGTAAAAGGAGGCACCAAATATATATGCGCCACACACATTTCAGTTGATATGTGTGAGGGCTGTGATACTTCCCGGGTGCTCAAACCGAAGCAGGTGGTTTTCTTAGGGAACACACCTCGAGCCTTCAACCTGAAGATCTGACCCACAAGGTAGTGGCGCATCGTAAGGAGATGCAGTCCCATGGTAACCGGTGACCAACGATTGGTTCATACACCGTTTGTTCCTTCAGGATACTAGAGCTAGCCCATGTGCACCATTGGTTTGTGATCCGGTAAAAGCCGGTGCCGGACATTCGCTTTTCGTCCTCTCATTTCCGTAAACAACATACGTGGTGTGAGAAGGCAATGAGTAGGACTTTCCTGACAGAGGCTTTATACGCGCGGTCATGTGAGAGAATTTCGAGAGAGAGAAAGCGGACTCTCCCCATTCTCGGCCGTACCAGGGCATTTGGTTGCCCACCATCTCATAGTTTTTACTATTTTGTTTCTTAAGAACAATAGAGATAAGTATTTTATACTTAATTATTGGTGAATGATTGATAAGAATTCATTAACTGAAGTGATTTGGATAATGTGTCACATATACTTAGCTACCACCTAGATCAACGAGCAACACTCACTGGTATGAGAATAGGTTGGGGAGAAAAAAACAGCTAGTTCCCGTCAAACCACGATATGACATTAGCCTATGAAATAATGATTGCTTGTTGATATGAGTAGTACTAGTAGATGTAAACTGCTTGGATAGTTTTCACTGGATACTTCTAAACAGTGATCATTAGTTCTTTCCATTTGGTTTGACGGACATTTACGTTGGATAATTCATCTGCTTATAATTAAATAGCTGCTTGAATCAAAAGATTAAATTATTGTGTAATTTAGGTATTTTATTGATTACATAATTTTGTAATATCTTTATTACGAACAATTTTATCCTTGAATTTCAAGATAATTTAAGTATCTTCCTTAAGACAATGTACCTTTACTAACCCCACCCTTTCTTGTGGAAGACAGCATCTCTATTATACTGGTTGTCTGAAGAAAACACCTTATTACCTTCACACCTCTGTACAATCAGCAGTACGACTTCACTTTCGGACCTTGAGTTTACTGCTTTTAGTCTTACCACTTTTCAAACGAACTGTTTGGTATGGTTATTGCAGCCAGTATGACTCTATTGGTTCATTACGATAGCTTAGTCCGAACACCACATCAAGGTAGCAACAACGGTCGGGTGTAAAAATGAAACTCAAGAATCACTGAACGATGGACCAAACAACATCACAAAAGTTTAATACGTCTTTTCTTCGGCATACTGACAAACTCAATAAATTCAACACAGTTCTCAAAGAATCAGTCAGTTAGTCAGCTAGCTACAACGTAGGACCAAGCACATATTTGCATCCGTCCTAGTTTATGGCTGTGAAACATAGCCAGTAAGAGTAGAGGATATTCGTAGGTTATTAGTATTCGATCATAGATGTCTTCGAAGCATTGGTCGTATATCCTGGAGCCACTGAGTAAGTAATACAGTTGTTAGGAAATGGGTACTAGGTAAGGATGGCAAATAAATTGATGAAGTGGTGAAACTTCATCAGTTGAGATGACTGGGACATGTGTTACGTATAGCCAACCACCGACTGCCCCGACGAGCGACGTCTCATGGTCCAGGGGTAGGTTGGAAGAAAGCTAGAGGTGGCCAGACCAAAACATGGCACAAATCCATGAAGTCACTGACAAGTGGACAGAGTGAGCCATGTTGGTAGGTGTAGACTACCTGATTGGGATCCACGAGACGATAGCAACCGATGGTTAGAGATCTTGAATGACATGGCTCAAAATCGTTTGCAATGGTGTGAGCATGTGCATCCACTGTTTGTGTTCCCCCAAATTCTAATCATCTGAATTCTTCATGTCCCTTTATTTTTTCTCTTTTCAAATTTATTCCACTGGATTATACTCCTTAAATAACATGTTCAAACCCTAATGTTTCAGATTAATGCTTATACTTTTACTACCTCTACCATTATGGGATTTGAATCGACAACTGCATCTCTGTGCTGATGTGGTATGTCAACTTGAACTGATGTATGTACGTATGAAGTTCTACGTTGTTGCTGACTGACTGACTGCCATACCTCATTAGTACAGCAGGATGGTGATAATATATATAAAAGAAAGATTGCATATAAGGCTATAGTACAGGAAAGAAAGAATTAATTATTAGCAAGAAAGATATGAAATGATTTTAATCTTATAGTTTAAAGGAAGATAGAGAGTGTATACACCCAAGCGATTGTCATCGATTCTGAGCTATGTCACCCACACTGTCTAATCACGTTAATTACCATAGTCATCGGCGGACCCTAATCAAATAATGTGTATCTATCAACATGACTTAAACTAGAAAGTTAATGACTTCACAAATTGATATCATGTTTTGATTTGGCCACCTCTAACTTAAATCATTGAAATAATTTTTTTTCCATTCAAATAATTGATACTATCAATGAAATATAATTGAATTTAAGGTCATTAGTCCCTTTTATAAATTTCCATAGAACAATGAGAACAAGGAATTGATCTGATATGAAAATGTGATGTATTTGTGCTATACATTTCGAACAATCTGGTCACACATATACACTTGTCAGGGCATTTTTTTTTTATATGAACGTGGGTGATTTATCTTATCCGACCGGCACTTTTTTTTCAAAATGCCCCCCACCCCCCGAAAAAATTTTTCCACCCCCAAATTACAATATTTTTCATCTCCTGTTTCGTCCAATGAAATGGCTAGTTTTGAAACTTCGATGTAATTGGTTATATATATGTAATTGAAACGGGGGCATAAAATTGACATTAATATACAGCTTTTAAAACGTTGTATAGAAATTATCATGGACAAATTCTTAAGTTTATTGAAGCCTTGGCTATTCGTCAATTTAAACTTCATCACTTATGTGTATAAAAACGATTCGTCGTAATCTTGAATTTACCTTGGTATTTCTTAAGTCATTCTATGGCCTAGGATAACGCGACAATTTCTTATTCCAATGGTTATGATCATGAGTCAGTTGAAGCTAGACCACTATGGAATACCTGGAAGCACTGGACGACCGTTTCGTCCTATTGTGGGACTTCTCAGCGGTGCGCATCCACGACCTCGCCCCCCCCTCCATCGAGATTCAAACCCAGGACCTACTGGTTTCGCGCGCGAGCACTTAACCACTAGACCACTGAGCCGGCATCCAACGGTGTTCATGTCTAACTTCAACTAATCCATGAAATTGAGCGACACATCCACCATTGTCATCAGTCAGTTAGTATCTCACAACAGACCTGGTTGAACTCCACTGGTCACTACTTCTCACTAGAACTCCAGGATATACCTCTTGAAGCCAGTCACTGACTCATGATCTTAATGATTGAAATCACTACAATCTCCACAAAACCCCTTCTGATAATATATATTTGTGACTAGATTATTCAAAATGTATAACACAAATACATCACATCACAGAATTTCCTATCCACTACCTCTAACCATCAACTAATCATCTCAAAATAATGCCTACAGTGTCAAGTCACCTAGACTGATGACCATATTGCCACATGATCGATAGCATTCAATCTGAACTGAGAATAAGGATTAGATACACATGATATTAGTCACTACCCAATGATGATCAATCAATTATCATCAGATTTTTATATCAGACATCACTACCATCTTTTCATTATTCTATTAAAAATATAATTAGAAAACTTTTATTATTATGATTATGATTATGATTATGATTACCTGTAAAAATACCCAATCACCTAATTGACATGCTTCATTAATTAATTTCTCTGCTTTAGGTCCTTGTCCTTGTCCTAATGATACAATATGTACACGTTCTGTATAATGAAATTCTTTAATAAATTTTTGAAATTGATTCATTGGATCTATACCATTAGATAATATAAATATTAATGGTGTAATAGAATTTATTTCTTTATATAAAATAGATAAATGATATGAAGGTGTTTCAATAAATTCTTTACCAAGATTATAACATATAAAATGTCTTATTAATTGTATTGTTTTCTCTTTATATATTGTTGATATAAGTAATAATTTTTGAAATGATGTTAATTTTTCATTATAATTACTAAGTGGTGATAATGTATAATTATTGTATTTAGGAGTTAATCTATATATACCAAATTCTTCTTCTTCTTTTTTTTCTTTTTCTTCTTTTTTTTCTTGTTGTTGTTGTTGTTCTTGTTGTTGCCTTGGTAACTGTTGATTAATTTGATTAAAATCAATAATTATTGAATAATTACAAATATCATTTGGTAATGTATGAAATTGTTCTGGAAAAGATTGTGATAAATCAATAATACATTGCCATTGTTTTGTATTTAACCAATTCATTGTATTGATTGGTTGTTCTAATGATGGTTTATCATTCGTAATCATATTATTATTATTATTATTATCATTATTTGATGTATTTAATAAGAAATATAACCATTCATTTATAGTAATTTGATTCATTTGTTTTAATATTTCAATACATAATAAAAATGAAAAGATTAATTTATCCCGTTCAAATAAACTACGTGAAATATTATTATATGTAGCTATAGTAACAGAATTAATTAAAATTTCTATACGTTCATCTAATGTAGTTGCATTTGGACTATTTTGTATGGTTGTATTGAATAGCTGGAAAAAAAAACAAAAAAAAACGGACAAAAAATTACAAAATTAAAGAAAGAATGAATACGTATTACTTTTAATGTGTAATGAACAAGAACATCAATGGGGGACAATCGAATATATTTAAGCATATAATTACAGAGTATCTCAATAGAATGGTTAATTTACAAAAAAAATATCAATCTATCACATAACAAACTTGATTGTTTCTGTTGTAAACATCAATCTGTTGTGTTAGATTTTATTGTTTATGCGTTTTCATATACATTGCATTATGTTTCCCTCTCTTTTTTTCTTTCTTTCTTGATCTTCCCCCCATCTTCTACTGCTAGACATTACGTTTTTTTAACTCGCTTTATATACTACTTATATTAGGATAAAGTAGCGCGTACCATAAATGGAGCATTAGTTACTGATTATTATTCACCAGTTCACTTTGTCTTCAATCTTTCTAGTTCTATCCAATTATTGTTTCTTCTTATCATGTCTGTTTTAATTTCTCGACGTAATGTGTTCTTTGATCATCATCCTCTTCTCTTTTGGCCTTGAAGATTTCAAATGATGAGAGCTTGTTTTGTGACGCACATAGTTGGGTGTTTTCATCAATATGTGTCCTATACACTTCTAGTGATTCTTTCTTGTTTCTTCCTCCAAAGGATTCGGATTTTTTCTCTCACATAGCAGATTGTTACTGATAGTGTCTAGACAACCTATTCGAAGTATTTTGCATAGACAACTGTCAATAAACACTGGTATGTTTTTTCGTAGTTCTCAAAGTTTCCGCCTCATACAGTAGAACTGTGTTGACATTTGTATTGAAAATGTTGACTTTGATGTTGGTAGACAGACAGCTGTTTTGAGTTCCAGATGTTCTTCAATTGTAGATATGTTGCTCATGCTTTGCCGATCCGTGCCTTAATATCTGCATCAGATCCACCATGTTCATCGATGACGCTGACCAGATTTGTAAAGGCTTTTACATTTTCCAAATCTTCTCCGTCAATTGTGATTGGATTGGTGCATGCTGTGCTGTATTGAAGAATCTGGTCGTCTTCTGAATTTGTTTTTGCCTGTGCTATAGAAGAGCTAGATCATCTGAGAAGTCTAAATCGTCCAGCTGAATTTTGTCTGTCCACTCTGTCTCGTGCTCCCTCCAGATGTCTATGTCTTTATGATCCAGTCGATCACCAGGACAAGGAGATAGGGTGAGAGTGAGCAACCTTGCCTGACACCTGCCTTTACTGCGAATGAGTCTCCTAGCTGTCCTTGACTCACGATTTTGCAGTTTAATCCATCATTGGAATTCCGTATGATATTGACTATCTTCTGAGTTACGCCGTAGTGTCGAGGAAGTTTCCATAGTGTTGTCCTGTCCATGCGATTAAATGCTTTCTGGTAGTCAATGATCTTGATATAGAGTGATGAATTTCATTCAATTGATTGTTCCACAATGATCTGTATTGTTGCGATTTGGTCGGTACACGATCGATCCTTACGAAATCAAGGCTGTTGGTTATAAAATAGACTATGTATTTTCCTTCTTTTTTTAGTGTTAACGTTGAATATGATAGTTTAGATCATAATCTTACATATTGCTATGAGATATAAAATCGGTATCTGTCAAGTTTAATATTTAAACTTTCATTAAGAATACTTTTTCTTTTTAATTAGTTGTGTTTAAAGAGTTTTTAAGTTCATCGATTCAAAATGAATGTCAGAAACGATTTCATTTAATAAATTCATTACTACAATGACGATTTATGGAGTCGATCTAAGCTAGATTATTATTGAAAACCTGGAAAACACAAGGTTCTAGGTCCAAGTCCCATTTGAGGGATCGTGGATATGGAATGCTGAACAGTCCCATACTGGGATGAAACGGCTGTCTAATGGTTTCAGGTTTTCAATAGTAATCTAGCTTAGATCGATTTATGAATTCAACTATTAAAATTTATTGCATTTTCTATTATTTTTCGAGTTTAGAGATTGAAATTAAACAGCTTCATTTTGTATGACATTGTTTATTAACTAATTAATAGTAGTAATAACGATTTTGCATTAGAATACAATGTCAGTCCATAATTACAGATGTATCCACTTTTATTACGACTAGAAACGAAGCCTATTTTCCTATCATATTTCTCAGACACGAAGATGTTCTTGTTCTTCTATAACAGATTCGATCACATCATGAGATTTGTTATTCCAGCACACTTCGTTCCACCAGTGTAAGATGGTTGTATACAACTGACAGAAAGTTCTTCATGATTTCACTTTCATACACTCCCATACTCATTGTTAAATTGTACCCATTGTTATGTCCTAGCAGAGATTAAATGACGAGTAACTTCTGAAACCTATTAACGGACTAATATTATCTATATATATTCTTATGGTATAATTATTCAGTAACTAGATTATACATATCTATATTCCCCTTATTATAAGCTTTATTTTGACTTATAGATTATTATTGTACGATTTACTGTTCTTAAATTATACTCAGTTTATTGATTACTGTCTCCCACATTCACAAACACGTTTCGGCTTATTTGTGTACAGATGTTATTTTCTATTGATCTGTCTGATTGATATATAAACCGAGTATGTCTGAAATACATGATTCGATTCATATTACAGAAGATGGTATTGAGTTCTGGACTCAAGCGGACGGGCTAGAAGAATATTGGATCCAATAAGGACGCTAGACTGCTGAAACCGGTTGAACGTCATTGATTTTGTCATAGTGCGAAGATTTGTATAAGTCGTATTCTGATTGGTAGATAAGTCACCTGATCGAAAGCCGGACATAAAACCATAACACCTATAATCCCTGCTAAGTTTAAATCTATATCGTTACTCAGTGTTTACAATCTCATATTGTAGTGAACAGAACACCAATGGAGAACAATCGAATGTATGTGACAATAAATGACAGAACTAGTTAGTAAAATCTTACAGCCATATCGCAAATACTCAATTTGCAAAATGTTCATCAATTGTGTCAAAAATGACTCAGAATTCCTTTGTTCTTGCATTTTCATACAATACATTCTTTCTTCATTCTTTACTATTCAATCTTCTTGTCTGTCTGCATCCACATCACAATATTACTAATGATTAATATCAAGAGAGAATGATAGTTGAAGGTAGTCAACAAGAAAACTGTGGATCCAAGTTTTGTGTTATTTGTAACTCATTAACCTGAGTTCACGATTTCCCTTAAACCAATGTTCATATTATATCACTTCATCTCTGATGGCATTCAATCTACAGTAAGAACAATCTAACATATATATATATATATATATATATATATATATATATATATATATATATATCTATATGATAACACTAATCACTAAGCATTTAATGATTAATCAATCATAAAACAAAAAAGGTAAAATAATTTACTTACATTTTTAAAATATTTCAATGAAAATTGATACATTGAATTGATTTCATTCATAGATTTAATAATAAAATATAGAATAGAACCACGTAATGCAATTGGTAAATATTTAGAACGTGCTAATAATAATTTTTGTTCAGTTATTGTTGATTCATTTAAACGTTTTGTTATTTCTGTTGATTTTAATTTAGATTCATTTAATGTATTAATTAATTCTTCATTATCTAATATATTCCCTTCTGATTCATATAATAATTTTAATATTCGATTTTCTATTTCCTAAAATATAAATAAACAGATAGATAGATAGATGTGTGGATAAATAGATAGATAGATAGATGAGTGGATAAATAGATAGATAGATAGATAGATAGATAGATAGATGAGTGGATAAATAGATAGATAGATAGATAGATAGATAGATAGATAGATAGATAGATAGATGAGTGGATAGAAAGATAGATAGATAGATAGATAGATAGATAGATAGATAGATAGATAGATAGATAGATAGATAGATAGATAGATAGATAGATAGATAGATAGATAGATAGATAGATAGATAGATGAGTGGATAGAAAGATAGATAGATAGATAGATAGATAGATAGATAGATAGATAGATAGATAGATAGATAGATAGATAGATAGATAGATAGATAGATAGATAGATAGATAGATAGATAGATAGATAGATAGATAGATAGATAGATAGATAGATAGATAGATAGATAGATAGATAGATAGATAGATAGATAGATAGATAGATAGATAGATAGATAGATAGATAGATAGATAGATAGATAGATAGATAGATAGATAGATAGATAGATAGATAGATAGATAGATAGATAGATAGATAGATAGATGAGTGGATAAATAGATAGATAGATAGATAGATAGATAGATAGATGAGTGGATAAATAGATAGATAGATAGATAGATAGATAGATAGATAGATAGATAGATGTGTGTATAGATAGATAGATAGATAGATAGATAGATAGATAGATAGATAGATAGATAGATAGATAGATAGATAGATAGATAGATAGATAGATAGATAGATAGATAGATAGATAGATGAGTGGATAGAAAGATAGATAGATAGATAGATAGATAGATAGATAGATAGATAGATAGATAGATAGATAGATAGATAGATAGATAGATAGATAGATAGATAGATAGATAGATAGATAGATAGATAGATAGATAGATAGATAGATAGATAGATAGATAGATAGATAGATAGATAGATAGATAGATAGATAGATAGATAGATAGATAGATAGATAGATAGATAGATAGATAGATAGATAGATAGATAGATAGATAGATAGATAGATAGATAGATAGATAGATAGATAGATAGATAGATAGATAGATAGATAGATAGATAGATAGATAGATAGATAGATAGATAGATAGATAGATAGATAGATAGATAGATAGATAGATAGATAGATAGATAGATAGATAGATAGATAGATAGATAGATAGATAGATAGATAGATAGATAGATAGATAGATAGATAGATAGATAGATAGATAGATGTGTGTATAGATAGATAGATAGATAGATAGATAGATAGATAGATAGATAGATAGATAGATAGATAGATAGATAGATAGATAGATAGATAGATAGATAGATAGATAGATAGATAGATGTGTGGATAGATAGATAGATAGACAGATAGATGTGTGGATAGATAGATAGATAGACAGATAGATGTGTGGATAGATAGATAGACAGACATATACATGTGAAGGTAGATAGACAGACAAACAGATATATGTGTAGGTAGACAAACAGACAAATATGTGGATAGACAGACAGACAGATGTGTAGATACACGGACAGACAGACTGATAGATAGATAAAGAACTGACTTTCCCTAATCTCAGCTATCATACACACACACACACACATACACACACTTGTAAAACAACCAAAAAAAAAAACAGTAACAAAAATATCCCCCCCTTTTTTCTTTTTACTTTTAATTGATTTTGATCTGTATTCATTCGAATAATTAATTGATTTCGTTGTTCTTCTAATTCTGGTCTTTCAATATTTGTTATATCATTTAATAATTGATCTTGTAAACCATTGAATGTAACAGTAAAATTAATAATAGTTACTTTAATAAATATATCTGGTAAATAATGTGGATTAGATAATTTAGTTGTTAAATATAAACGAAAATTTTGATTATATTCTATTTCTTCATTATTATTATTATTATTAAGTCGTATTAATAAACGTCCATTAGATATATAAATTTGTTTTAATAATATAGATTCTAATAATGGATCTAATATTTCATATATATCTTCTATTAATAATGGTATACCAATTTGTATACAATTTTTTAATATTTTTAATAAATTTGGTTCATTTAATTTAATAATTTTTAATTGATTTTTTAATTCCATTTTACGTATCCATTGATTAGCTTGTTCTTGTGGATCAATTAATAATGACCAATGTCTTGAATATTTCATTATGATAGCATTTTCAATACTATATAAATCATTTGGTAAATAATCAATATTCCATTGTTTTATTTCATAATCATTACCTAATATATCATATAATGTAATATTATTATTATTATTATTATTATTAGTATTATTATTAGTATTATTAATTAATATTTGATATTGATTACATTGTTTTATCCATAAATTCATTAAATCATTACGATAATTCAATGTAAATGCACCATAATAAGTAATACATGCAGATGCAATAAATAAATTACCAATAATATAATTTAATTTATTATTATATTGTTCTATAGATAATTCCCAATGTAATTTTTCATCGATTAATGCTATAGTTAATTTATTAGCACGTTTTAATCGATTCGATATTAATAATAAATATTGTTCAAGTTGTTTTTTTTCATTTATAGATTGATAATAATCATGTTGTAATATAGAAATTTTTTTTTCAATATTTAATAATTCAATTTGTTTCACTTCAAGTTTATTCATTACAATGGTTAATTCTTTATTAGCTTCTTCTAAACTAAAAGATAGAAAAAAAGAAAGAAAAAAGAAAAAGAAAAAGAAAAAAAGAAATGTAAAGAATAATAAGTAGAGAAGATTTAATGCCCCCAAAATGTCATAATATTGGTTGAGAGAAGAGGAGAGCGTGATCTCTCTTTCTCTTTCTTCTTTCTTTCTTTCTTTCTCTTTCTCTCGAAATGCTCTCACATACCTAATGTGTATATAGTCTCTGTCAGGGAAGTTCTACTTACTGCCTTCACATGGCGGAGGTGTTGTTTACAAAAATGAGAGGATGAAAAGCGAATGTCCGGCACCGACTTTAACCGGATTTCAAACCAATGGTGAACATGGGCTAGCTTCAGTATCCTGAAGGAACAAATGGAGTATGAATCAATCGTCAATCACCGGTTATCATGGGACTGCATCTGTTTACAATGCTCCACTGCCTTATGGATCAGATCTTCAGGTCGACGAAGGCTCGGGGTGTGGCCCCCTAAGAAAACTACCTGTTTCGCTTTGGGAACCCGGGCAGTATCATAGCTCTCACACATATCAAATGAGATTTGTGTGGTGCATATATATTTGTTGCGTCCTTGTATTAATACCTATGTGTTAAAATAAATCAATAAATAAATATGAAAAACACGATGACATTTGAAATGAATGGTACATGGTTCGAATGTTAAAGGGAATATCAACTATGAAATATAGGGACATCCAGCTGATAAGTCCTAAACAGGAAGAAACGTGGGTCATGCTAGATTACACTGCTAGCCATTATTCATCTTTGTTTATAAAAGCACATTATGCACATATGCCGATAATAGACGGATCAATTACTGTCTTAAACCTCAATCAGAAGTTACAAGGGAATTTATCCATGTTTTTGTTTTACTATAGTTTGTTTTTTTCCAAAAAGAAAATGAATACAATCAATCAATTATAGACTAGATGGTATTGTGGTGTGTGATATTAGTTTCGACAGATATAAGTAGTATGTGACACTTTGGTGTATGATACTTATATGTAGACATAAGTAGTATATGATGTTAGTTGTGAATAGAATGTCTGGAAGCAGAGGGACAACAAGATCGAACAATGAAGAATGAAAACAGAATGCAATTTGTGTGAAAATGCAAGAACAAAGGAAGTCTGAGTCATTTGAGACAGTTGATGAACATTTTGGAAATTGAGCATTTACGATATGATTGTCATACTTTAGTAACTAGTTCTATAATTTGTTGTCAAATTACATTCAATTGTCCCCCCCATTGGTGCTCGTGTTCATGAAAACGCCACTTGACAATGGGATACTTCGTAACAGAGGTTTGAGACAATCAAAGAAAATTAAACGGGAAAAGAGTAATTAGTACTATGTATGCTACTTATACTAAAATAAGTAGTATAAAATGCTACTGAGAAATGGAAGGCCTAGTTACAGATGATTGACAAGATCAAATAAAAGACAATGGGAACAGAAAGTAATTGGTATGAAAATAAAAAAAAGACAATAAAGTGTGAGACAATTAGTGGAAATTAGGCAAAGAAATGATTAAACGTATAGTAATCACATTTTATCAAATAACTCTGTAATTTTTCATCCAAATATGTCTAGCTGTCCTCATTTTTTGTGTGATCGATCACTACAGTAGTTTGGACAAATAATACAACAGAACTAACATTAAACAGTACAACCAAAGCATAGTAGTAATAAGATAAACAGAAATAGTATAGAATGTAATGTAAAATTAAAAAAAACACATCAAAGATCAGATGAAAGAAGAAAAATTAATGGAGAGATTACGAGTGACTGCAATTCTATTGCTATAACTCATTTTGAGTTATTTCATTTAATTTCTTTAATAACACACTCTAGATATACATTTGTATATCGTTTGTAAATAATAAAAACAATTGTAATATGAAGAGCTAATCAGAAGTAGCCTAATAAGAAGGTCTACCGATGGTAATCAAAAGTCACCTAAAAGATTACTAGATTGTAAGCGCTTACGAGTTCACTTAAGCTGCGAACGGAGTAAAGACTCAGTGACCAAAGACCAATAAACTATCTATTCTGATGCGTCCCAGCCCCGCTAACTAGAGGAAGAAGTACAAGCTTGGATTGGGGAAGTATATTCCGAAAAAGCCAGAAAAAGGGCGATAACAACAGAGACAAATCAAAACGTATATATATATATATATATATATATATATATATATAGCACGAAACCGTCCTTCGGAAGAGTTACAAATAACATACTAAAAAACACTACGAACCAATAGCATTTAAGCTCCTCTCAAGTGGGAAATACGATATGGAGGTGAAAAGAGCGCTTTTGGAGCGAAAACAAAGAAATTCAAATTTTCTAAATAAAATTACAAAATTAGGTCCTTTTGCAAGTTAGTTCTGTGGATGTAACGTCCCCAACAAGGACAAGTTTATTTCAACGAATAAGCAATGGATCGATTTTAAAAGGATCATATATATATATATATATATATATATATATATATATATATATATATATATATATATATATATATATGAATGAGTATTTTGTATTATATTCGGTAGACAATGACACTTTCTTACTCATTGTTATATTCTTGCTCAAATAGTCACTGTGGGGGGGGGTTAGCACTTAGCACACCATATATCAGTATCAGTTTTAGATCCTGCCCGTCACAATAATTTGAAGAAAATGATGCATACATTATCTATTGGTTACAGATATACATAACTGATTACTATGAGTTAAATCAACAATGCTATGGATTAACTAATGTTGAATTTGTGTTTTTGATAGAGTTTTGTTCTTTGAACTGAATGATTTGGTCGTGGAGCTTTCATCGTTCTTTTGAACGACATCATCAACACAAACAATAAATGAAATATTTCTCTCAGTACAAGTCACATAATCAAATATTCTTATTTCAATATAATACAAGAAGTAGTAAGTATGTTCTTAAGAATCAGAATAGAATTCGAAGTGATTACAATCTGGAAATAAGAGAATGAGGTAATTTTAAATAGGATACTACAGTATATTAGACAGTTTAAGACATTACGTGGATGCGTAATCAATAGATCGGGAAAATTCCAAGAATAAAAGGGAATCTCTTAAAGTACGAAGTTCTTGTCAATCTGTAATCAGCATACACATAAATGTACATTCAATTTAACAATTTATGTCGTGAAGAACAATCAATCACAAAATGGAAGACTAACCTAACGAAACATTGAAGGGGAATACGTGAATACATGAATAGATCAACTCAATGCTTGTGTAGTAATCAAAAAGCTCATTTCTACATTGATTAAGAATGATAATTAAAGCTTCATAATTAAATCAGTTAACTCAAACAAACCCAATCCTACTACTAAAGAGATTCACCTCAGTTATAAACATTCATCGTCATTTCAATATGATTTCAATTGAATAAACCTAAGGTTTGATTTTACCACTTTCAGTCCATATCTTATTGTTATAATGGTTGTTTTTACACGTTTACACGTATGGGACGTTAATTTATCTTAAACGAATATCTACACTAGATTCTCTCCCAGTGTCTATTCTACAGAACGTCAACACAACTCAGATGATCAAGAACACGTGATTAGCCTGACTAGAACGTAAATATATTTCCACACCAGAAACCCGACACAATCCGATAACAACGAACAATCAATAATGATTCGTAATAATAATAATAATAATAAAGATAGGGGAATATATAACTCATCTGCTTGAATATCGGGGCTACCTGTTCCTTCCATCTAGATATTTCGTCAAGTTATCTGTTTTCTTGTTTATTTTAACACATTATTATGTCTATTGAGCTCACAATCTATTCAAGCGCGTTTATGAAAGGTTTACAAAAAGATACAACTAGCGACATCATGGTGGCTTGCAATACACATTGAAACAAATAAACATTATTCAAATGTCGATTATCGAACTCCTAACATCTAACTGGCCACCACTCAATATTTATCGTCAGGGTCGATCAAGATATAAGAAAAGGAAACTTGTTGAAATAATTTATGCTGAGAATTCAATAGTGTATCACAAATATAAAGTTGAATAAAGCTTATAATAATAATAATAAAAATAATAACAATAATAATAATAATAAGCCAACAACCCATCATTATTATTCTTGCTCACACAACACTTATCTAATGCTATTCCAAGAAGAATAGCATGATAGTTAATATTAAAGTGTATATTTAACTTTTGGAAATACTTCAAAGAAGGAATAGGAACGTTACCTAATAAGACAAAATCAATGATTTATTCAATCAATCAATCAATCAATCAATCAATCAATCGATCAATCAATCAATCAATCGATCAATCAATCAATCAATCAATCAGTCTAAAGATATATGCATATATATATACTAAAACAAAAAAGAACAACTAAGAATATTTTCATACCGTTTCCTTTTAGGTTCTACAGTACGAAATATACGAGCGTATAAATCCAATGCTCTAATCCACATACACATTGATTTACAAGCTTTACTTGTTTTTTCAACAATTTCTGGTATAAATTCAGGATTATCAATAAATTTTTTTAATTTTTTCAATTGTCCATCAGTAATCTCATCTTTTGGATATTCAACTAATTTTCTTAAAAAATTTGAATCATTTAATACAGTTTTAGCTGTTGCCCAATCACCTCTAAATGAACATAATAATAATAATAATAATAAATGATTAGCTGAAATATAACAAGTTATTTGGTTAGATGAATGAGTATTGCTGAGGAGTCCAACACTAGGACAAAATGATTGTCCAGTGCTTCCAGGTTTTTCAACGTAGTATAGCTTCAATTAACTCATGAACTTAACTATCAAATTACTATTACTTACTTACGACTGTTACTCCCAATGGCCGCCGACCAGTATTCGCCAACCCACTCTCTTTTGGGCCTTCTTTTCCAGTTCTGTTCAGTTGTTGTTCAGTCTTTTCGTGTTTGTCTCCATTTCTTAGCGCAATGTGTTGTTTGGTCTTCTTCATCTCCTTTGGTCTTTTAGGATTTCAAGTGATGAGGGCTTGCCTTGTGACGCACATAGTTGGGTGTTTTCTTCAATATGTGTCCTATACACTTCTAGTGATTCCTCCTTGTTTCTTCCTCCAAAGGATTCGGATTTGTTCTCTCACATAGTAGGTTGTTACTGATAGTGTCTAACCAACATATTCGAAGTATTTTGTGTAGACAACTGTCAATAAACACTGGTATATTCTTTCGTAGTTCTCCAAGTTTCCGCCTCATACAGTAGAGCTGTCTTGACATTTGTATTGAAAATGTTGACTTTGATATTGGTTGAGAGACAGTTGTTTTGAGTTCCAGATGTTCTTCAATTGTAGATATGTTGCTCTTGCTTTGCCGATCCGTGCCTTCATATCTGCATCAGATCCACCGTGTTCATCAATGATGCTGACCAGATATGTAGAGGTTTTTACATCTTCCAATGCTTTTCCGTCAAGTGTGATCCACTTGGAGCCCCTTTGTGGCTACTGCCGGTCCAAAACCCGGATAATTTCTGGTCACTTAGATCGGTGGTTGAATGACAGATCACAATTCAGCTATTCAAGTCGGAGAAATAAATACTGTGTTACTTGTTCACTGTTGCTTTTCAAGTAAAACCGAAAAATTGCATTGATGTGGTGAAGAATGATCTATTGTATTACAAAGTCAACGACATATAAAGTTGTTTTCCAATCGTTCATAATATGTAATCACATCTTAGTAAAGAGTGATTGTATAACCTGGTCATTTAGTTATATCTGTTGGTTTTATATGTTAAATTGTATTATATTGTAAATGTATTTAGATGGTAAGTTATTGATTACGTGGAGTTAAATAACATTCAGTCTAGTATAAATAAATCTGACCGTGTCAGTATATGGGGTCGTTGAGATTATTAAGTTTTTGATTGAGATCATCAACCGATTGATGTTAGACCACCACTGAAAACTTGGAAGCACTGGACGGCTGTTTCGCCCTATTATGGGACTCTTCAGCGGTGTGAATCCACTATATTACTCCCGCGGGATTCGAACCCAGGGCCCTCAGTCTCGCGCGCGTACGCTTAACCTACTGGACCATTGAGCCGGCATTAACACCATTGGATGCCCCCAGGTTTTGAAATACAGTTGAATCCTTATCTATTATCTTTCCATTTTTACTTCAGTTATCCAATTCATAGTTCCAGTAGCAAGTATCATGTCAGTTAAGTATGCTAAGGATACAATATAGATATATATTCTTACTTTTGTCCAAGCATAATACAAACAGCTTCCATAACAGTTTGTACTAATTGTGGTGGTTTAGTAAATACACGAATTTCAGATATATCATTTTTATCTAATGAATCAAGTGCTTTATTAGCTGCTTCTAATGCTGGTATTGCTTCATCTAAATCTCGTTGTGCATCATCAGCTATAATTTGATTTTCAGCTGCTTTTTGTTTAGCTAACATTTCATCTTCTTTAACTCGACTACGAACAAGATCAGCCTGATAATGAAGGATTGAAGGAAAATAAAACAACACAAAATAATAACTATTTAGGTGATTTTATAAACATTTGGAAGGTATACTTCATCATAAATTAATATCATGTGGTAAACAATTAAAATTAAGAAGAAACCAAACGGTTGCTTCGTCTGAATTAGAGCGTCCATGGAGTAGAATACTCATGATAATACATGGATTAAAACCTTACTTACTTACTTACTTACGCCTGTCACTCCTAATAAAGCATAGGTCGCCGACCAGCACTCTCCAACCCAATCTGCCCTGGGCATTCTTTTCTAGTTCCATTCAATTCTTTTTCATTTTTCTCATGTCTATCTCCATTTCCCGGCGAAATGTGTTCTTCGGTCTTCTTCTTTTCCTTTGGCCTCGAAGATTCCATGTGAGGGCTTGTCATGTGACGCACTCAGTACGGTGCTTTCCTGTATGTGTGTCCTATCCACCTTCCTGATTTCTTCCTCCACTAGAATCTGGTTTGTTCTCTTCCATAGTAGGTTGTTGCTAATAGTGTCCGGCCAACGGATCTGAAGTATTTTGTGTAGACAACTGTTAATAAACACCTGTATCTTCTGGATGATGGCTTTCGTGGTTTTCCAGGTTTTCGCCCCATACAGTAGAGCTGTATTCACATTTGTATTGAAAATGTTGACTTTGTTGTTGGTTGCAAATTGTTTTCAGTTCCAGATGTTCTTCAATTGTAAATATGCTGCTCTTGCTTTGCCGATCCGTGCCTTCACATCTGCATCAGATCCACCATATTCATCGATGATGATGCCCAAATATGTAAAGGTTTGTACATCTTCGAAATCTTCTCCGTCAATTGTGATTGGATTGGTGCATGCTGTGTTGTATGGGAGAATCTCGCTTTTCTCTTTGTGTATATTGAGACCTATTGCTGCTGAGGCTTCTGCTACACTTGTTGTCTTCTCCTGCACTTGTTGTTGCGTTTGTTATAGAAGAGCCGGATCATCTGCGAAGTCTATGTCGTCCAACTGCATCCTAGATGTTCACTGTATCTCGTGCTTCCCTTCAGATGTTGACGTCTTCATGATCCAGTCGACCACCAGGAGAAAGAGAAAGGGTGAGAGTAAGCAACCTTGCCTGACACCGATCTTTGAAGTGTTCCACCCACCTGTTTCGTCGTTCTTCAGTGTTCAATTATTGTGTTGACCACTACTACTGCTTTATACTAATGAGTACTAATCTAATAGGCCAGGTTTTTTAAAAATTCAATTCAAGCAAATTTAACGGGAAGTTGCTGCCTTACATTCTCAACTCAGTTTAATTCATAAGTTTTCGTGAAATCCCGCCATATTGATTCATAGGCTAATGAGGATCATAGTATTTGAGAATATTTTAATGGTTTAATTTCCTGAGTGTTTCAATATACATCATATTCCATGGGAATCAACAAAGAACTATACCAGCTATTTATCTGATAGATCGTATAGTGAAAGTAGGTATGTAGATTTTTATAAATCAGATCTATTCCATTTCATGTGTTTCTTTAGTGATAGAAATATTCATTTCGCAAAATATATATACTCAAGGTACACACATACCTTGACGTGGTGGTCGTACTTGCCTATCGTGATGAAACAACTCAGCTATACTGGCTGGAACAACCGATCCTACCATGCCAGACAGGTTGGTTGAAGAGCGGTAGGACTAAAAGCAACAAATCCAACGTCCGAAGGCGAAGTCGTACTGTTGACTGTACAGAAGTGTGACAGCAGTAAGGTGTTTCCTTCAGACAACCAGCATAACAGCGATGCTGCCTTCCCACAAGGAGGGTTGGAGTTAGAAAAGGCCGACCCTAAAAATGCACACCTCACCTTATCCCACGGATATCCGTCTCCGGCGGTAAGGTTTCAACAAGTACTTAGCTAACACAAAAACTACTCATAAAAAGGTCATGTGTGACAGACGTCAGGCAGATGTTGCTTGGGCACTGCGGTCGGGCTCTCAGGTCATTAAGTTCACCTCAAATCCGATTTCCTTTTCAGGTACCTCCAGAAGAACCCTTCGACGGTGTGGGCAACCGTGAAGTGATAACCGCCCTCATACCTCTAACAGCACTCAAGACCGCTGACTGACTGAATGAGTGAATCATGATGATCAGTGTATATGTTAAGTTTAAATTTGAAATCATTGAACAATAAATCAACAAATAACATTCAACACAGTGAAGATGAAAAACAATCAAGACAACATCTTCCATAACTTTATACCAAATAAATGAAACATAATTGAGAAAGTAATGATCAGAGAATAATATCACAAAGATATGGATTTCGAATCTAAGGTATTGATGTCACGGCTCAATAGTGGAAAGTTTCAGTGAATGAAAACACAGGCTAGAATGACCAAATGTACGATAACACAAAATTACAGAGATATTTGTTAAAATATGAAAATCATACATTCAATCTTTTATTTGCAAAATGTTTATTAAGTGTCTCAAACTTGATTGTTCTTTCATTTCCATACTAATCATTTTCTGTTCCCATTCTATTTTATCCGATCTTCTCAACCTTCTACTACTAAGTATATCAGTTTCAAGTAGTGTTACATACTACTTATATCTGTCGACATAAGTAGCATACATCACAAAGTTATAAAATGATTAAACAATTAGTAACTATCTAATGAACAATTCCTATGTATAATTCAATACTAAAATAACTTATTCAATAACTAAATAACTTCATTTCAATACATATGTAAGACTTTTCTAAGTGAATAAAGTTCAACTCTTTGATAGAGTAAGAGTTTTCACAATGTTGTAACTGGATCCTGTTGAATATATATATGAGTACATATAATGGTGTTCTTATTCTCGTCCTCTCTTGAGTTGTGGGGTTCTTGTATTAAAAAATAGGTATATCAGCATCAACTCTCGGATACCGCACGTTACAACAATACTGTGCATTTGAAAAGTATTTGTATTATGTCAGATATTGAGCAACAAAAACATGTGTCTTGTCAGATATGTACATTAAGCTAAGCTTAACATACATTATTATGGAAAGATAGAATAATGATGGTGGGTACCATAACAGTAGAAGTAGTTGCTATATCAATTTTAATGTAAAAAATAGCCATAATGAAGACGATTTTAGGAAGGTTCTTAGCTGAATAAAATGGATGAAATAAATTTGAAACTCAAGATCTAAAAGTTGATAAAAAGTTAATAAATCAACGTAATTGTAACTTGCCTTAGGCCATTTCATGAAGCATCTCAAACCATTAGTAGTAATAAACACTCGGACACCAATGGCTCAATACAAATGTCAGGCAATAAACATAGAGTTGTCCCATTTTATTTCGGTCCCTGTTAACTTCTTTCTAATCTACTCCTATACCACCAAACAGCACGTATCTAATTGCCGGTCGTTGAACTACTGTTGTACTGCATTTTGTTTAGTGGTATGACATTTTGTGACAATTCAAGATGTTTGATTCAGCTACAAATACACGTACCTCTTGTATGATTTCTTAATCATCAACAATAGGATCCAGTTAAACAGAATCAAAAGGAATAAAGCATCCCATGAACATCAAACCTCATTCAATTACTATACGTGACCAAAATTCTGTGATAAGAAAAACCGAATTATCTGTAAGATAGTGGTTGGAAGTAATTGGAAAGAAACCCTGAACCTATTTTTCATGCTATTCGTCACTCATCAGTAAAGTGTACCTCTGCTTTTTGAGGGATTCGGTTCTGAGTCATTCAGTTCTATAGTTAAAAATATGTTACCATCAAGCGATAAGGGCTGTGACTAACTTCCAATAGGACTGTGAAATATTTAAAACTGGTTGATCACTAAGCATCTAATCAACACTAAGAAGGACATGACATACATAATAGTGGTGAATACACATTGATCGATAAAGTACAAGTTATTATTGTATATCAATATCTATTCAATATTGAATATAATAAATTACCTGTTCTTGATCTTCACTTAATTTTATCATTAATTTTTCTGTATCATGTTGTTTTGCTTCAAGTGTTGGACGTAATGCTGTTAGTTCCGTTTCCATTTTAGCAATTAAATCATTAGTTTCTAATATTTTATTTAAACCATTACGAAATTTATCACGTCCATCAGTTAATTCTCTAGACAAAGAAAAGAAAAAAAAGAAAAAACATTAGGGATTGAGAAAAACACAGAATCACCCAATTGCACAAGCTAATGGCGATCATAACTAAGTAGTTAAAGGGAGAACATGATAACATTTGAAGTGGACGGTATTGGTTTCGTGTCTTGTTGTGAACATCAACTCTGCAATGCAGATACATTCAACTGACAAGTTCAAAATAGGATAGAACGCGCGTCCTGGATCTCATCGCTAGCTACTATCCATCTTTTCTTGAAAATAAACAATTGTTTGATGATACTCAATTATAACTGTATGAATCAAGTTGCAACTTGGTCGATAGGATTCGATCTACACTAAGAAGGACCTGAAATATATGATATTTTATCACCCCCCCCCCCCCCCCCCCCCCCCCCCCCCCCACCAAAGTGATCAATCAATTGTAAATACATCTCAGTCCTACAGAAGGTTGGTTGCCACCCAGATAGCTCAGTAGTAAGGTCTCTGACTGTGAAACTGGGTGACACAGGATCGAATCCGCCAGAGAGCATCAGTTCCCTCAAGATTACATGTGTACCTTGCTGACGAGTGCCAAGTAGTACGAAACCTGGGTTCAGGGTTTCCTGTTGACTATCTCCAATCGTCATTTTATCTCAACATAGTTCACGCAATGTTGAGTCACGTAGACTGGTGACCACATTGGAACTTGGTCGATATCATTCGATCTACACTAAGAAGAACTTGACATATATGACATTGATCACAACCCTGTGATAAATCATTTGTAAGTTTTAATGATCTTTGACTTATTAATTAGAATGAACTAACTTACTTTATTTGTTTATTCAACATTGTTGTATATAATCCAAGCAATTCTAAATAACTTGTCGGTGTAGTATAATAATAACGTTTTAATTCATTATAAAAACGTACAGCTGCTTCTGAAACACTTAAATGAATATCGGTAGATAATTTTGATATAGATTCCTATTAATAATAGAAAGAAATAGAATTTTATTAGCTTGAAAGATTTATAATCATTGTAGAAATTTGTAGTTTACATCATAGACTGATATTATGACAGACATACTAGTCAGTCAGTGAGTCAGTAACAGCGTAGAACATCGTACGTACGTACATCAGTTCAAGTTGCCATATCACATTAGCACGAAGATGCAGTTGTCGATTCAAATCCCATAGAGGTAGAGATAGTAAAAGTATAAGCAGTAATCGGAAACACTAGAGTTTGATGATGTTATTTAAGGAGTATAATTCAATGAAATAAATTTGGAAAGAGGAAAAAAATGGATATGAAGAATTCAGATAATCAGAACTTGGGAGAACACAAAGAGTGGGTGCACATGCTTCATTGTAAACGATGTTGAGCTATGTCATTCAAGGTTTCTAAACATCGGTTGCTATCGCCTCGCCGTTCTTAACCAGGTAGTCTTCACCTACCAACATGGCTCATTCTGTCCACTTGTCAGTGACTTCATGGATTTGTGCCATGTTTTGGTCTGGTCACCTCTAGCTTTCTTCCAACCTACTTCTATATCATAAAACATCGCACGTCGGGCATACGTAACATATGTTCCAGTCATCTCAACTGATAAAGTTTCACCACTTCAACTGATTTACTATCCTTAGCTAGTATCCATTTCCTAACAACTGCATTACTTACTCAGTGGTCCCCGGATATACGAGCAATGTTTCGAAGACATCTATGATCAAATACTAGTAACCTACGAATATCCTCTACTCTTACTGACCATGTTTCACAGCCATAAACTAGGACGGATGCAAATATGTGCCTGTTCCTACGTTGTAGCTGGCTGACTAATTGACTGATTCTTTGAGAACTGTCTTGAATTTATTGTGTTTGCCGAAAAAAGGACGAATTAAACTTTTGTGATGTTGTTCGGCCCGTTTTTCAGTGATTCTTGAGTTTCAGTTTCATACCCAACCGTTGTTCAAGGTGTATAATCCAGTGAAATAAATTTGCAGAAAAGAAAATAAAGGGATGACATTTTCATTCTGGTATAGAACTTTACAGTGAAATACTCACCTAGAATCCTGTAAGGAATCAAACATATGACTTACGAATCTCATAGTGAGCATGTTTATTTTCTGGTTGAATTTTAGGCATGGGAAACGAGAAGAATGTAATTAAAACACTTAAAATAATCGATACACAGTATATATATAGAGCCTAGTGATATGAATGGAATCCATAGAATTCAAGTGAGCTAAATGTTACATTCAAAGTGAGTAAGACTATAGTTGCTAATCAGTAATTCTAACTTTTCTAGGCTTTTAGAAACATTTTTCTCTAACACAATATGGCATAAAATTATTATTTTATCGAAATTCTCAAATTATCATTTCAAATAATTATCAAAATATCCATTTAGATTGATATCATGAATTGATCAATGTTAGATCACCATTGAAAAACTGGAAGTACTGGACTGCGATTTCGTCCTAGTATGAGACTAACAAGAAATGTGCATACACGGTCCAGCATATGAGACTGGAACTTGGAACCGTCGGTTTCGAGTACAAACACTCAGCCTTTAAATCACTGAGCAGGCATCCAATAGTGTTAATGTTGAGTGTCATATTATAAACATCCATAATATTACGCGACAGTCTATCATTGTCTTTGGTGAGTAACTACCTCAAAAGCGTTCGCCTGCGAGATCGGAAGTCCTGAGTTCGAGTTCCACAAGCGAGATCGTGAATGCGCACTGCTGAGGAGTTCCATCCAGTGCTTTCATATTTTCCACGGTGGTCCAGCTTTAATCGATTCATGAATTCAACTATTCAGTTAAATTATGAATTGATTTTAAGCAATTAAACATGGATTAATGTTTCTGCATTTCTTGATAATGTTATTTAACATTACCATGAAGAATTCACGTGCTCTTCTAATGGCTACATTAAAAAAGATGGCAGGGTAATTAAATTAATTCGAGCAAATATGTGAAATCAACTATTGAGTGGCTATTGATTGACTATTTATTTCAACCAATTAAATAATCGAGTTATTCAGATTAGCCAATTAAAGTAAAAGAAAGCTCGACAAGTTTTTGCCAACTTGCGCCATTCATGATGAAGGCGAGATATTCATCTACCGACCAAAGAACAGGTTTATTGCGCAGCAGTTCGTTCCGTCCTAATTAATGGCAATGAAACATGGCCGGTAAGAGTAGAGGATATTCGTAGGTTACTAGTATTCGATCATAGATGTCTTCGAAGCATTGGTCGTATATCCTGGAACCATCGAGTAAGTAATACAGTTGTTAGGAAATGGGTACTAGGTAAGGATGGCAAATCAATTGATGAAGTGGTGAAACTTCATCAGTTGAGATGACTGGAACATATGTTACGTATGCCCGACGTGCGATGTTTTATGATATAGAAGTAGGTTGTAAGAAAGCTAGAGGTGGCCAGACCAAAACATGGCACAAATCCATGAAGTCACTGACAAGTGGACAGAGCGAGCCATGTTGGTAGGTATAGACTACCTGGTTGGCATCCACGAGACGATAGCAACCGATGGTTAGAGACCTTAAATGACATGGCTCAAAATCGTTTACAATGGTGTACGCAGGTGTATCCACTCTTTGTGTTCTCCCAAATTCTACTTTTCTGAATTCTTCATATCCCTTTCCTTTTTCTCTTTCTAAACTTATTTCACTAGATTATGCATCAATTTGGAAAACTCTCCTAGTCTCCCACATTGTACAACCATCCCATGTACCTAAATAAATGATTGCTCTGATTATCAGAACGAGTATCGGCTTCAGTTTTCATCATAAAATGTCATAACTCTTCTAAATGAAAATCTTTTGACTCGCTAGGCAGAATTAAAAATTGTTTAAATAATATTTTCTGGTTAGTATTTGCTTTTAGTAAATTAGTTTTCTACAGCTTATGGTTACTAACCTCATACTTAACCCTCCTTCTCTTTATCTGGGCTTGGAACTAGCAGTAGCCCCCTCCCTCCCTCGCCCCCCCTCCCTAAAAGGACTCCAGGCTAAGTTTCACTAGATTATACTCTTTAATCATTTCAATTATTATTAATTATACTATTCTATAACATAAACTTACTTTCATTTCATCTGAAATAAAATCAATTTGTGATAATATATATTTAGCTACATGATATAATGCATCTTTTGGCCATTCAATAAACCAATTCATTGTACAACAATTAATTAATGATGGAAACATTCTACATTTTATACGAAAATTATCACCAATTGGTGATAAACATAATACAATATGTAAATTATTTTTAATACGATTAATAAAAAATTCATAAATTCCATGATGATTTCCTTCTATAATACCATATTGTTTAGCATGGAAACGACAATCATTTATAATTTGTTCATATTCATCTGAATCATATAAATTAGATAATTCACCAGTATTTAATATATTATTAATATCATCAAGGAATTCATTATAAATTAATTGATGATCTGTTATTAAAAATACAGTGGATTGATTCTCTATACCAGTTATATAATAAAGTTTTTTTAAATCATCATGAAATGCGGCATAATCATAACCACGATATAATTCAATTTGATAACATTTATAATCATTAATATGAGCGGCTAATCTAAAAGAATTGAAAAGAAAGAAAGTGAGAGAGTGAGAGAGAGAGATTAGTTAAGGTTAGATATTAGATAGTGGTTGTGGAGATAGTCTCCTAATCATTGTTGCTATCTTGATGTGATGATTAAGCTTGTCTATCGTAATGAAACAATTGAGTTATACTGGCTGAAATAACCGTTTCTCAAGGTTCTATTATGCTAAACAGGTGGATTGAAGAACGGTAAGACTAAAAGCAACAAATCCAAAGTCTGAAGGTGAATTCGTACTGTTGACTGTACAGAGGTGTGACAGCAGTAAAGTGTTTCTTTCAGACAACCAGCATTTGCAGCGATGCTGCCTTCCCACAAGGAGGGGTGGGATTAGAAAAGGTCTACCCTAAAAATGAGCACCCCGCCTTATCTCACAGATATCCGTCTCCGGCGGTAAGGTTTCAATAAGTACTTAGCTAACACAAAAACTACTCATAAAAAGGTCGTGTATGACCGACCTCAAGCAGCTATCGCTTGGGCACTGTGGTCACGCTCTCACGTCACTATGATCACCTCTAATCCAATTTCCTTTTCAGATACCTCCAGAAGAACCCTTTCATGGTGTGGGCAACCGGGAAGTGATAACCGCCCTCATACCTCTAACAGCACTCAAGACTGACTGACTAGAGGTAGTCGACAGGAAACCCTGGACCCGGGTTTCGTGCTACTTGTCACTCGTCAGCAAGGTGTACTTGTAATCTTTGACGGAACTGGTGCTCTCTGACGAATTCGATCATGTGTCACAGTCAGAGACGTTACCACTGAGCTATCTGAGTGGTTTTTTTAAAGTTTTTTAAAATCATCATGAAATGCAGTATAATCATAACCACGATATAATTCAATTTGATAACATTTATAATCATTAATATGAGCGGCTAATCTAAAAGAATTGAAAAGAAAGAAAGAAAGAAAGAAAGAAAGTGAGAGAGTGAGAGAGAGAGATTAGTTAAGGTTAGATATTAGATAGTGGTTGTGGAGATAGTCTCCTAATCATTGTTGCTATCTTGATGTGATGATTAAGCTTGTCTATCGTAATGAAACAATTGAGTTATACTGGCTGAAATAACCGTTTCTCAAGGTTCTATTATGCTAAACAGGTGGATTAAAGAACGGTAAGACTAAAAGCAACAAATTCAAAGTCTGAAGGTAAAGTCGTACTGTTGACTGTACAGAGGTGTGACAACAGTAAAGTGTTTCCTTCAGACAACCAGCATTTGCAGCGATGCTGCTTTCGCATAAGGAGGTGTGAGGTTAGAAGAGGTCGAGCCTAAAAATGCACATCTTGCCTTATCCCACGGATATCCGTCTCCGGCGGTAAGGTCTCAACAAGTACTTAAATAACACGAAAACTACTCATAAAAACGTCGTGTATGACCGACCTCAAGCAGCTATCGCTTGGGCACTGTGGTCACGCTCTCACGTCACTATGATCACCTCTAATCCAATTTCCTTTTCAGATACCTCCAGAAGAACCCTTTCATGGTGTGGGCAACCGGGAAGTGATAACCGCCCTCATACCTCTAACAGCACTCAAGACTGACTGACTAGAGGTAGTCGACAGGAAACCCTGGACCCGGGTTTCGTGCTACTTGTCACTCGTCAGCAAGGTGTACTTGTAATCTTTGACGGAACTGGTGCTCTCTGACGAATTCGATCATGTGTCACAGTCAGAGACGTTACCACTGAGCTATCTGGGTGGCGACCGACTTCCTGTAGGACTGAGATGTATTTACGATTGATTGATCACTGGGTGGTGACCTATGTCATACGTGTCTAGTCTAGGCTTTTCTGTCAACTACCTCCAACCACCATCTAATCATCTCACATTAGTGCCCTCATTGTCGAGTCACCTAGACTGGTGGTCACATTGCAACATGGTTGATAGCATTTGATCTACACTAATAATAAGGACTAGACATGCATGACATTGGTCACCACCCAGTGATCAATCAATCGTAAGGTTAGACATTTGCATCATTGGATGACTGTCGGATCAGTAGTTCAGTAGGCTAAGTATTTGCGCGCACAATAGAAGGCGCTGAGATTGAATCCCACGAGATGGGATTATGGATAAGCACTGCTAAGGAATTGCACAATAGAATGAAAACGGCTGTTCAGTGCTTTTGTTATGTCCTGACGAGAATAATGAATGGTAACTATTGGGATCCATTTGTAGACCAATACTAAAAGTATATTTTTATCGTAAATTGTTAAATAACTAAACTATTCATATAAATGTTCCTCTTATTATAAGCTTTATTTTCACTTATGAACTATTATTATACGACTTACCATTCTTGAATTATTCTCTGTCCATTAATCACTACCTCCCACATTCACAACCACATTTGGTTAAATCTTGTATAAATGTTGTTTCCTATTCTATGGTACCTTGTGGTCTGTTTGATTGGTATATAAACCCCGTATGTTTAAAACAAATGATTCATATTGCAGAGGCTGAGATTGGAGTTCTGGACTTAAATGGCTGAGCTAAGCGGAAAGCAGGACCAATCAGAACTCCAGGCTGCTCGCAAGTGTTTTACGCGTCCTTGGTCCGATCGATAGTTTGCTGTCTCTGATTGGCGGCTTTACGTTATAACAGCTTTCAGGTTTTCGATGGTGGTCTAACATTATCAATCGGTTCATGATCTCAATCAATAAATTTGATAAGTTAGACTATGAACAGTATTATGAATTATAAGCCAAGATGTATAATGACTAGTAGTGGAATTTAGTTTGACAAATGTGTTTCGTTCTATTTAGGACTCTACAGTTGGATATATCTGCATCTCAGAGTTGATGTTCATTATGGGACTTGAACTCAGTAACGTTTACTTCAAATACCATCGCTTTATTCATTTAGCTATTGGGTCTTGATTACCACTTGCTTGGGATAAAGTTTAAATTCACTTAGTGTTGTTTTACTTGTATCTTCCCATTATTATTTAGGACTGTAATTGATCAGTCTCATGTTGGCATATGTGCCTCCTGTGCGGATTGCCTCGATACTAGCCTTAAGTCACAAGCTCTTTTTTTTAGGAAAGATAGATAGTGGCTAGTAGTGGAATCCAGGACGCGCGTTTCGTCTTATTTTTACTCGTCAGATGGATGTATCTACATCTCATAGTTGATGTTTACTCTGGGACTCGAACACAGTATCGTTCATTTGAAAAGTCATCACGTTACCCACTGCTAGCCACTATTCATCTTTACTTATAATGCATGTGAATTAAGGCTATATCGAGGCAATACACACAGGATGCTCATATACCAATAAGAGACTGATCAATTACAGTCCTAATCATCAATCGGAAGATTCAAACAAACAATATCCAGAGAATTTCATATCGTGAATTGATTGTAGTTAAATGTGTAAATTATCAGATACTACTTCAATAGTCTGATGGTTAAGCGTTCAACATTGAACCTGAAGATCCTCAGTTCGATCTGAAGTAGGATTGTTGATGAGACTATAATTTATGGACGACTTTTGAGCGATACCAGACTGACCTTGAGTGTGTTTACCTAATAAGCAGGACCAAATGAAGATTATAAACCTGTATGATGATTAGATTTAAGGTTTTTATCACGAACTGATATAAGCTATAATGTCATTAATGTATTTATCTAAATGGATGAGTGAATTTCTTTCCAAAATCAATGACCTGTTATCCTATACCTGATTAGTTCATCCATAAATTATAGTCTTACCATCTATTTATTTCAAAATTTAAGCATAGCCGATAAGTTACAGCTAGTGAGACTATAATTTCAAGACAACGTTTAATTGATACTGAAGTAATTATGAGAAAATTCACTTACTTATTCAGGTCAAAAAAGATTTATAGATTAGTATGAAACATTAGGATTACAATTGACAGTCGAAAGTTACAGTTAGATTTAGGGTTAAAGTAATTAACGTAAACTGATAACATGATGAGTTGAGTCTTAGTAATGGTGAGTTGAAATTCTATTCATGTTACCATACACTTAATTCATTTGACTGTTTAAAGAATGAAATGTTTGTAAACAGATACGATATTACTCTTTATCAATAGAAAATGCAAAATATAAAGGCTATTTTAATACTAAATATTTTCTTTTAGACAAAATAATACCTATGTGTTATGGTATTGAAAACAGTATATTCCGTATTCAAAGGCTTGATAGCAGATGATAAGATGTGATGTATTAGATAATAGACTGCGCATATTAGAAAACGATATTCAAGAAGATTTGGGAAGAGGAACAAGTGCTGATGGACTGGAAAGAAGGACACCTCATCAAGATTCCAAAGAAAGGAGACCTGAGCAAGTGTGAAAATTACAGAGGCATTACACTACTGTCAATACCAGGTAATGTCTTCAACAGAGTGTTACTAAACAGGATGAAAGACGCAGTAGACGCTTAACTTCGAGATCAACAAGCTGGATTCCGTAAGGACCGGTCGTGCACAGACCAAATTGCGACACTACGGATCATCGTCGAACAATCAGTTGACCGGAATTAGTCACTGTACATCAACTTCATTGATTATGCGAAGGCATTTGACAGTGTAGATAGGAGAACGTTATGGAAACTTCTTCGACACTACGGAGTTCCTGAGATAACTGTCAACATTATCCGGAACTCATACGACGGACTACAGTGCAAAGTAGTGCATGGAGGACAGCTGACAGATGCATTCTAAGTAAGGACCGGAGTAAGACAAGGTTGTCTACTCTCTCCCTACCTGTTTCTCCTGGTGGTCGACTGGATTATGAAGACCTCGACATGTGAGGGAAAACACGGCATACAATAGACAGATCAGAACCAATTAGACGATTTGGACTTCGCAGATGACCTAGCACTCCTATCCAATGCACATGAACAAATGTAGATAAAGACAGCCAGTGTAGCAGCAGTCTCTGCATCAGTAGGCCTCAACACACACAAGAGGAAAACCAACGTCAGCAAATACAACACGGAGAACACCAATACAATCACATTTGATGGCGAAACTTTAGAAGATGTGGAATCTTTCACATACCTGGAAAGCATCATCGATGAACAGGGAGGTTCAGATGCAGACGTAAAGGCGAGGATTGACAAAGCAAGGACAGCATTCCTTCAATTAAAGAACATATTGAACTCAAAACAACTTTCAACCAATATCAAAGTCAGAATCTTCAACACGAACGTCCAGGCAGTTCTATGGTACGGAGCTGAAACATGGAGAACTACTACAACTATCATCAAGAATGTACAAGTATTTATAAATAGTTATCCAAGCAAGATACTCAACATCCATTAGCCAGATAACATGAGAAATAGCCTTTTGTGGGATAGAACAAACCAGCTTCCATCTGAAGAGGAAATTAGGAAAAGATGATGGAAATGGATAGGACATACATTACGCAAATCATCAAACTGCATTACGAGGCAAGCGCTAACTTGGGATTGTGAATGGAAGAGGAAAAGAGGAAGGCCAAAAAACACATTATGTCGGGAAATAGAAGCGGATACGAAAAAAAGGATAACAACTGGAAAGAGCCAAAAAGGGTTGCCCAGGACAGGGTTGGATGGAGAATGCTGGTGGGCGGCCTATGCTCCTTCACGAGGAGTAACAGGCGTAAGTAAGTAAGTAACTATGACATAAGAGTTTGAACTTGTGAATGAAAATGATTATCTACAAGCTAAGTAAGTAATAGAAGTTCATGAGACCTTTTAGTATGTGAAACATGTAATAGTCTCTTATTCAGTCAAGAATAAAGTATCTCTACTAAAAAAATCCTAAACAGTTTGATTGATCCTCATCGTATCACAACTATATTTACTTATTCAATCTGATTTCAATTAACATAAAGAAAAATATTAGAAAAATGAAACAAAACATGGAATCTAGTTGAATCTAAGATCTTCTGCTTCACTATTAACTAATTCACTGACCAAATACAATAAGGTATGACTTGTGAAATTAAACCATTAGTTCTACTGTTATAGATGTTACCATTTCCTTCCTTTGGTTTTCATTATATTAATCTTTCCTTTCATTGTGTTGATTTGAGCTATCGTAACTTGAACCCATACAACGTCTGTAATAGGATGATTGACTGGTTCAAGTCATCACCCATCAAAATTACACTCGATTTAATATGTTTAACTTGACAGTAATTCAAGTTCACTACCTACTCTCATGATCATTCAAGTTCATGAAATAGCTACAGTATTCAGTCGGTCAGTCAGTCAGTCATAATTAACTCTGAGCCTAGTATATACATGTATTGATTCAAATTGCCATTTTCCATGAACACCAGGAGATGATTTCAATAAGATAGATGAAGAAAGAATCAAAATATTATAGCAGCAAACATAATGAAAAGGTTTAAACACTGACAATGTGGTTCTAAAATAAAACCCAAAAAATATACATTTGGAGGATTGTTGAAGCTCAAGATCTTGGCGGGGGGGGGAGTGAGATAAGAAGCGAATGTATTTAAACTTCTGTAGTCTTTTCTAAACCATATTATTCACTTCATTCAAGTATTGATCTCAATTGACAAGTAGACTTCATCAAATGGAACACAAATTAAATAAATCATTCATATAACTAGAAGTAGTTATCATACAGTATAGTTTACACTACTATCATTATATAAACTACTAACCAACAGTTATCGACATTATTCACTACTAAAGAAAAAAAAATATCTATTTTACCTAGTTAATGATTGTTTACCAGTACCACCAACACCAACTAATAAAGCATTTCCTCTATCTTGTCTAATAATTCGAGCAATACGACATACATGTTCAATAGCATCGGTAAAGAAGACAAGTTTCACATCCTTTGACATTGTCATATTGTAATCATCCAAGTACTGTAAAGAAATTATTCATTTCAAATGAAATCTTGACAGAAGAATTTTTATATATTCATAAAGGAAAGATGAATAATACAATAGAAAATCTACTTAATATATTAACTAGAACACTATTGTTTGTTTCATTTGTTATTGATGTTATGATCTCTAATTCCTCAATCTATTTGGAATATATATCATTCTGAGTAGATTGATTCGATGAGTAAGTCTAATGGCTATTTGAACCTAAAAGATTAGTGGATAATGTGTTGAGCATTTGATGTGAAAGACATTAGGTCCCCGAATCTTAGAGTAAATACCAACACAGATACAATCACATTTAACTGATAAGTCATAAGTAGAATTTGACTGTCAGCTACTACCAAACTTTTCTTAAAAGCATTTATTGATTATTATTTTATGATTTTTATTATTATTATAAGCAAAGATGGATAGTGGCTAGCAGTGGAATCCAGTTTGACGCGCGTTTCGTCCTATTTTGAACTCATCAGCTGGATGTACCTACATCTCAGAGTTGATGTTCACTCTGGGACTCGAACCCAGTACCGTCCGCTTCAAACGCCATCGCATTATCCACTTAGCTACTGAGTCCTGATAGCCAATTGCTTGTGCAATGGGGTGAAGTTTAATTCACTTGATATTGTTTTACTTGAATCTTCCTGGATTCCACTGCTAGCCACTATCCATCTTTGCTTATAATGCTTGTAAATTGAGGCAATATCAATAGATATGATTTTCTTTTAGAGATATACATTTCATTATCATAAATATTATTTCAATTAACTAATAGCCAAAGATAATTATCAAACTATATGTATACATTTAAACATGAAGATAATCGTCAGTAATATAAATTATGTTAACAAGTGAATGTTTAAAAATACAATTTTTAAAACTTTACATCTCCATCAATGAGAATCAGCTCAATAGTCTAGAGGTTAGGCGTTTACGCTCAAGACTAAAGATCCTGGGTTCAATTCTTGCTTATGGGATCATGAATTGACTCTGCTGATAAGTCCTATACTAGGACAAAATGTTCATCTAGTACTTTCAAATTTTCAATAGTGGTTTAACATTGATTGATTTATGATCTCAATCAAATGATGAAAATAACTTTTAATCATTGTATTGTTAACCCAAAATTAATCAATCATATGAGAAATTCCCAAAATTCCTCTTAATTTATCATTATTTTTGATTAATCTACTTTTATATAATCTCTCAATTTGATCAGGATCAATTCACTAATGTTATATAAAGTATTTACATCCGCTTAGTTTATCAATTACTTTATTGTATATAAGTTGTAATCATTAGAAGATAACTTATGGAATAAATGGATTCAACTCATTTCCTATACAGTTTCTGTTAAGTCGGCTTTCCGAGAACTGTAACAGAGCCTCCAGAGGCCCTGAAGGAGCCAAAGAGTTATAGCCAATCAGAGAACGATGGAGCTTTCTAGAATGCCAACGTGGTGTACTACTATTGATCAGTAGCATAATATGTCTTTTAGCGGATTGGCCAAAATATGATGTTAATTTAACAAATGTTAGCATTTATAAATACCCGTGTTTTACTGTACAAAAATGAACCTTGGAGTAAAATACTTTTTTGCATACTTTGTGCCTTCTCTCTCGTGTTCAGGTCGCTGTATAGTTCTAGATTGGGGGTTTCAGAATAGCTTAGGAATCGAGTATAGCGTTAAAAATTGCAAGACTTATCAGTTTTATTAAAACAACAAACTTAAGCAACTGTCAAAATGTATTTCGGAGGGTTTTTGCTTTTGATGTAAGTAGTTGCGATCGATTAACATCTATTGGTATATGTGAACCTTTAGAAGATGGGTACAACATTTGAACTCTTTGACTCAGTGGTTAATTTATTAACATCTAAAGTGAAGACATGAATTACGAGTCTTAATGTCAGCTAGATGTCTATTCTTTTACCTCCATTTCATATCTACAACCGTAGATCAACAATTGTCGATAGTTTATATTGTGTTTCTTATTAAAAGTAATAGTGATACAAATAACAATTTACTATAATGTGACCATCAAATTACAATCTTAATTGCAATTAGTTTATCTCACTGTCTTAGTTCAACCAGATTACTGTTCTTGTTTTACTAAAAATTTATAAAAATATACATAGACTCGCGGTATCTAGCCTGTCGTATGCCCTGATGGTGTTCTCATTCGTGACTTCCGAGTTGCTTGATCTGCCAAGGGAGATGAGACAGTGCATGGTGCTATTGCTGTGTGCTAGGTTCAAAGAGAATTGTATGTTATATGCATGCAAATCCGCCTTCTTATTGTTATTATTATTGTTGTTGTTTCTATACATAGACTACAGATTGTAAGACGTACAATTAAGACAGCAGAATATCATAAACACATTAATGAAACAGTTCTTTTCAAACAATAATATATACATGAAATATTGAGATAAACAACAAACATTACAAAGAATTTTCTTTCTAATCTTTTATACTTACATCCATTAACAATGATTTCAGTTTATCCATATCATTTATTTCTTCATATAAACGTTCAGATCGTGGAATACCAGGTCTTAGAAAATCACCAAATAAAATTGGATGCTTTGCAAATGTTTCTGCTTCTATAGTCTAAGAAAAACAACGAATTAATTTAATATTTACTCAAATACTCTTAGGATAAGCAAAGATAGATAGTGGCTAGCAGTGGTATCTAGGGCGCGCGTTTCGTCTCATTTAGGACTCGTCAGCTGGATGTGCCTGCATTTCAGAGTTGATGTTCACTCTGGGACTCGAACCCAATACCGTTCGCTTCAAATGCTTTAGGACTCAGTAGTTAAGTGGATAACGCGACGGTATCGGGTTCGAGACCCTCCACCAGTGAATATCAACTCTGAGATACAGGTACATCAAACTGACCAGTCCCAAATAGGACGACACCTGTGCCCTGGATTTCATTGCTAGCTATTATCCATCTTTACTTATAAAGCTTGTGACTTCGGGTAATATCAAAACTATCCACACAGGATGCACATAAACCAACAAGAGACTGATCAATTGCAGTCCTAAATAACAATAGGAAGATACAAGTAAACAACACCAAGTGAATCTTTGGATGGAATTGTGTACTTTAAAGATTAATTTTTGTCAACAACCAGTATTAACTGGTTGGTTACTCACTAAAAAAGCCCATGGTTTACAGTGGACAAATTCTTTTAAATCAAACTTTGTGACTGCATGATACTGAACAATTTTACTTACAAGATGGATAAGATAACATCTAAATGATTGAATATGAATCAAATAGTTGAGTTTTCTAATTTCAATGAATCAGTCATTTGATGAGATCGCTAAACCAATATGGTGGTAATTCACCATTTCACTACTAACATATTTGGCTCAACTGACTACTGCTTTATACTAGATTTCCAATAAATACATCTCCAAGACAACCAAATTGAGATTTACAGCCGCATAGTTTTTTAAAATTAGGCTTCAAAAAATCCGTCTATTATTCTACTAACTAAGAAGTCATATTAGAACAAAATGCAGATTTTGATTCCTTTATCATCATGAAATGACATCATGTACAGGGTAAAATTGATGAGAACAGTGAATCTGATGCAGACGTGAAGGCATGGATCAGTAAATCAAGAACAACATATCTTCAATCGAAGAACATCTGCAAACAAAAACAACTGTCTCTCAACCAACAACAAAATCAGCATTTTCAATACAAATGTCAACACAGTTCTACTGTAATAAGCGGAAACTTGGAGAAATACGAAATCCATCATGTAGCATATTCAATTGTTTATTAACAGTTGTTTACACAAACTACTTCAGATTCGTTGACCAGACACTATCAGCAACAACCTACTATGTGAGAGAACAAACCAGATTCTAGTGGAGAAAGATATGAGGAAGAATCGTTGAGAGTGGATAGAATACGTATTGAGGAAAGCATCTAACTGCGTGATAAGGTAAGGGTTCACATGGAATCCTCAACGTCAAAAGAGTAGAGAAAGACAAAAGAACACATTACACAGAGAAATGGAGACGGACATGAGAAAAGTGAACAACAATTGAATCGAACTAGAGTTGAAGGCCCAGGACAGAGTGGGTTTGAGTATGCTTGTCGGCAGCCTACACAATTTAAATTCAGTTACATGATTGATAAATCAATCTTGGTATTCATTAATTTCTGTGTATTGATAAAGAATGGTAACTTGAATAACGAACAGATATTCTATCTATTCTAGAGATTAAACGCTCGCTCGCGAGACTGATAGGCCTTGGGTTTGAGTTTCGCGAGGCGGGATCGTGGATAAGCAATGCTGACTCATGATCTCAACTATAATATCCACAAAATCTCTTCTGAAATTATTTTAATATTTACGACTGAATTTCTTATTATGAAACTAAAAGCTACGCTTTTGACAAATAGGCAATTAAAAATCTAAATAATGATATAACTGATGACTGCAGATAGGTAAACAACCAGCAAAAGATGTTGTCACTAAATACTGAAAAAGTATTATATTACTCATTAGTAGTTCGTCTCAAATGCCAAAATAAACCATAAACAATCAAAATTCTTTTGAATTTCTCTCATGTGGTCTCTTCCCAGGAATCCCTATTCACTGCTCTGACTTGGCGAGGGTACTTCAACAAAATCAAGGGGTGAATGTGGGCTCTTAACCCAGACTGGCAGATAAAAGGTTTTCTACTAGGAGAATCTAAAAACATCAACTTTACACAGGCTTTATGGTCTTGAGGCAACAGTCAGTTACTGGTTCCCATGGGACAGCACCTTCAGAAGTTGCGTCACCACCCTGTGAACCAAAATTTCATACCGAAGGCCGGTGGAAAAGTCAGTGTTGGGTTTCAGATTAGTCATTGGAAAGGTGGGGAATAAATGGTTGTAAAAACCTCAGATTTGTTGGCTCATAGATGACCTACAAATCCGAATTCAATAAACATTTGACTTTCAAACTAAATTTAATAGTCCTTATCTTGTATTATTTTGGCTGTACATAAGTACCTCATTTTGTTACATTAAACGACTTCTACCTTCTTAATCGCTATTCCATCTTTTGATGTACATTTACTGTGGTATTGAATTGATTCTCAATAGTGAAGAGCACAGTACTTCGATTAAACATCTATCCAATGCTCCGTGGATTTTAAAACCACTTTAACTAGAAACAGTTTATAACGAATTTAGCCCAAAATAATAGAGACGATTTACACAAAACCTCCTTAACTAAAATATATTAACTATTATCAATCAATACTAATGCGCACTGCTGAGGAGTCACATAATAGGACGAAACGGCCTCCGGGTTTTCCATGGTGGTCTAGCTTCAACTGAATCATGATCTTAAACTATTGAAATTACTATAATATCCACAAAACCCATCTGATATTAATCAACATATGCTCACTAGTGACTGGCTTCAAGAGGTATTTCCTGGAGTTCTAGTGAGAAGTAGTAGTAACCAGTGGAGTCAAACCAGGTATTTTGAGGGATAGTAACTCACTTAAGACAATGATGGATGTGTCTCTCAATTTCGTGAATTAGTTGAAGTTAGACATTTACACCGTTAGATGCCGGCCGGCCCAATGGTCTAGTGGTTAAGCTCTCACGCGTGAGACTGATAGGTTCTGGGTTCGGACCTCGCGGGGGGCGAGGTCGTGGATGCGCGCTGCTGAGGGGTCCCACACTAGGACGAGTCGGCCATCCAGTGCTTACAGGTTTTCCATGGTGGTCTAGCTTCAATCGATTCATGATTTCAACCTGTGAAATTTTTAAAATCTCCACACAATCCCTTCTGATAATACTATTATTATTGCATATAAAAACATTCCAGCTTAATGATAGATACATTGATAATTCAATGTTAGTAGAGATCAACAGAACTATATAATCATTCTATATATAAATCTAAAATCTATTCAATAGTGAATTATAAAGATTAAAATAGATAAATAGATAAAGTTGACTTACATCACCAAAATATTTTAATGCCATTTCTGATAGAATTTGATTGAAAAACATTTTATCTTCTTGATTAATTAATCGATCATGAAATACTCGTTGAGCTTCATGATAAAATAATCGACTAATGGATTGTTTATTACGGATAACACTAACATCACCTTGTAAAACGCCTGTAAAATTAAGCATAATAATAGATGAATTAAATAGATTAATTTTTGGAATAAAATTAACTAATTAAGATTAATTTTAATAGTTGAAATCATGAGTCAATTGTGGGACTTCTTAGCAGTGCACATCCACACCCTCGTCTCGTTGGATTCGAACCTAGGACCTATTAGTTGAAGTTAGACATTAGCACCGTTGGATGACGACTGGTTCAGTGGTCTAGTGGTTCAGTGCTCGCGCGTGTGACTGATAGGTCTTGGGTTCGAATCCCGTGAGGTGGGGTCGTGAATATGCACTGCTGAGAAGTTTCATACTGAGATGAAACGGTCATACAGGTTTTTCTTGGTGGTCTAGCTTAAATGAACTCATGACGTCAACTATTGAAATTGCTACCATCTCCACAAAATCCCTTCTGATACTAATTACGATTAGTTGAGATCATGAGTCAATTGAAGCTAGACTACAATAGATTCATGATCTTAACTATTGAAATTACTGTAATATCCACAAAACATCTCCTGATACTAATTACGACTACTTCAATTCAGGTCTCATCTATAGTGATAGTGTAATAAACAAAAAATATAGGTGAGGGACAATCAATTATATTTTAATACAAAATTACAAAGTTCTTTGATTAAATATGAGATACCATACGTTCAGTAGTTTATTTACAAATTTTTCATTAAGTGTCTTATACTTCATCGTTCCTTCATTGTCATAATAATGATTCTCTGTTCCCGTTATCTTCGATTTGATTATCCTAACTTTCTGTTGACAGGTATTCCATATTCGATTGGTGTTACATACTACTTATGTCGATAAATATAAGTAGCATACATGATAATAGCACTGTTGATATCACTTATTGAGGAAGGTCATGCTATATTTTCTAAGCAAATAGTAATACTATAGTGAACGAGAACGGTACGTCCTTGAATACAACATTCTGGAATATGTTAATAAAATCAGAGAACCATACAGTAATACTTTATTTTCAAAATATCTATCAATTGTCTCATACTTTATGGTTCCTTCATTTCCATACCAATCATTCCCTGACCGTTGCTGCTACCTTGACGTGGTGGTCGGGCTTGCCCATCATCATGAAGCAACTGAGCTATAGTGGCACGAATGATCGTTCCTCAAGATCCTGCCATGCCAGACAGGTCAGTTGAAGAGCGGTAAGACTAAAAGCAACAAATCCATGATCCGAAGGCGAAGTCGTACTGCTGACTGAACAGAGGTGTGACGGTAATAAGGTGTTTCCTTCAGACAACCAGCATAACAGCGATGCTGTCTTCCAACAAGGAGGTGTGAGGTTAGAAGAGGTCGAACCTAAAAATACACACCTCGCCTTATCCCACGGATATCCATCTCCGGCGGTAAGGTCTCGACAGGTACGGAGCTAACACGAAAATTACTCATAAAAAGGTCGTGTGTGACTGACCTCAAGCAGTTGTCGCTTGGGCACTGCGGTCACGCTCTTAGGTCACTAAGACCATCTCTTAACCAATTTTCTTTTCAGGTACATCCAGAGGAACCCTTCGACGGTGTGGGCAACCGGGAAGTGATAACCACCCTCACATCTCTAACATCACTCAAGACTGATACCAATCATTCTCTGTTCTCGTTCTCGTTTCTTCGAGCTTCTCAAACTTTAGTTGCTAGACATTTCACGTAATATTAGGGATACATACTACTTATATCTGTCGATATCAGTAATACACATCACAATGCTAATTATTATAACAGTTCAGTAGATTATAGAGCATATTCGAATAATGACCAAGGTGATTAAACTGATTATTGAATCTATTTATCAAATCTCAACTGATAAACACATTACATAAGACAAGACTCTTTAGTAGAGAAACAAATCTATTTCGAGAGTTTGTGTGTTAAACTAAATGGGACATATGGTGGTGAAGTCGTATCGCTTTAACGTTATTAATGAAAATATAGCTTATAAAAAATGAGTAATTTGTTACAGTAAATCACAAAGTAGTACGATGGTTTAATCTTAGTTTTCTGTATTTTACATGATGGTATCAGCTCTGTTAACTGATGCATTGCTTCAAACATTTTATCTTAATGTATTTCTGTTATCCTAGAAAGATTAAATTTTAATTGGCAACACTGATAGTAATTGGTATAAAAAGACACTTATTTCATTATCAAATTCACTGATAATTATTGAGTAGTATGTCAGTGCCCCCAAATGCCCTGGTACGGCCGAGAGTAGGGAGAGTTCGCTCTCCCTCTCCAAATGCTCTTACATGAACACGCATATATAGCCTCTGTCAGGAAAGTCCTACTCACTGACTTCTCGCACCACGGGTGTTGTTTACAAAAATGAGAGGGAGCAAAGCGAATGTCCGGCACTTTAGCCGGGTTACAAATCAATGGTGCACATGGGCTAGCTCCGGTATCCTGAGGGAACAAATGGTGTATGAATCAATCGTTGGTCACCGGCTACCATGGGACTGCATCTCCTTACGATGCTCCACTGCCTTGCGGATCAGACGTTTAGGTCAAAGGCTCGGGGTGTGGCCCCCTAAGAAAACCACCTCCTTCGGTTTGGGAACCCGAGCAGTATCACAGCCCTCACACATATCAAATGAGATTTGTGTGGCGCATATGTATTTGTTGCCTCTTTGTACCAATATCTATGTGTTAAAATAAATAATAAATAAGTATGTCGGTGCTTATTTATTCTGGAAAGAAAACATTTGAGACATGTGATAAAACACTTTTATAGATTTTTAGTGTCTGTTCACTTATTCATTTTCTACGTCGAACAACTAGAAGTTTCGAAATTGTGGTTATTGAGTATAAAGAACACTGACTGGGACATTGTATTTTGACAGAATCAGCTTTTAAACTCCGCCTGGAGTCCTTCGGTAGGCTACTGCCGGTCCCGAGCTCGGATAAAAGAGGAGGGTTGGCTATAGGCTTAGCGACTCCATCCCGTAGAAGACTAACTCGCTAAAAAACGCTAACCAGAAAACATTATTCAAACCATCTAGACTCTGCCCTAGGACTTAGAAGGTGTTTATTTAGAAGAGTTATGACGCCTCATGATGAAAACCGAGTACCTTCGGAAGTGACGAGGCTGATGCTCATTCTGATAACCAGAGCAACCATTTATTTAGGAACATGGAATGCTCGTATAATGTGAGAGACTAGGAGAGTCTTCCAGATTATTACTGCTGCAGTTTTTAAAAATTTATAGATATAGTTCTCTTCAGATCTAATCGAATATTTACTACTTTTCTTACCTTGTATACATTTTGACAAATCTCTTAAATTGAATACATAATGAGATTTAGTTGGGGTAGGTAATAGTTCTTTAGCCATTCTAGAATATATTTCAACAGCGGCATTAACAATTGAATCACCAACACTACGGACACCTTGAGGAAATTCGAGTAGATAACCCTGAGAAGAGAAAAAATATATACAAAAGTAATTAAATGAAAATTTATGTATGGAAACACGAAGTGAAGTCACTATCATGTTACTTAAACTAATATAAATGAAATTTTGTTTTTGTTTTTGAAAATCCGCCGCTTAAAATATCAATTAATCGCTATGAAATCATTCAAACCAGTTATTGAAGATGTCAGAGAAGAATAAATCCTACCTCAGTCAGTCAGTCAGTCAGTCAGTCATCTACAATGTAGGACCAAGCATATATATGAAACATTTCCGGCGTAATGCGTCCTTTCATCTCTCACTTCTCCTTTTTTGGTCTAGAGGATTCCAAGTGATGAGAGCTTGTCTTATGATGCAGTTTGGTGCTTTCCTCAATACGTATTCTATCCACTCTCAACGATTCTTCCTCATATCTTTCTCCACTAGAATCTGGTTTGTTCTCTCACATAGTAGGTTGTTGCTGATAGTGTCTGGTCAACGAATCTGAAGTAGTTTGTGTAAACAACTGTTAATAAACAATTGAATATGCTACATGATGGATTTCGTATTTCTCCAAGTTTCCGCTTATTACAGTAGGACTGTGTTGACATTTGTATTGAAAATGCTGATTTTGTTGTTGGTTGAGAGACAGTTGTTTTTGTTTGCAGATGTTCTTGAATTGTAGATAGGCTTCTGCTACACTGGTCGTCCTCTTCATTTGTTGTTGCGTATGCGATAAAAGAGCTAGATCATCTGAGAAGTCTAAATCGTCCAGATGCATCTTGTTTGTCCACTCTGTCTTGTGATCCCTCCAGATGTCGACGTCTTCATGATCCAGTCGACCACCAGGCGAAAGTGAATGGGTGAGAATGAGCAACCTTGTCTGACGCCTGCCTTTACTTCAAATAAGTCTGTCAGCTGTCCTAAATGAAGGATTTTACAGTTTAATCCATTATAAGAATTTCGTATGAAATTGATTATATTCTGAGTTACGCCTTAGAGTCGAAGAAGCCTCCATAGTGTTGTCTTGTCCACGCTATCAAATGCTTTATTGTAGTGAATGAACTTAATGTATTTCATTCAATTGATTGTTCCACAATGATCTGTAGTGTTGCGATTTGGTTGATAAACGATGAATCCTTACGAAATCCAGCCTGTTGATCTCAAAGTTGGGCGTCTACGTAGTCCAATCACAAAATATCGAATAACTGAAAGCACTTAAAATAACTTCCAAGAAACAATTACATGAAATCTGACTAATCATTGATTATCATTTCAGAAGAAAAGAAGTGAAGACAGTTAGTTTGAGTTTACTTATAGGAATTTAATTACAACTTACCGTATGTTCTAATATCCGTTTGGCGTTTTTATGGCAAGTTTGTTTTCTACGGGATGGGGTCCCTAGCGCCATCCCCAACCTTCCTCCTTTACCCGAGCTTGTGACCGGTTGTAAATCCAGAAGAGCTACAGGCGGAGATAACCTAATCCTCCCATCCAATACACATGAACAAATGCAGATAAAGACAGCCAGCATAGCAGCAGTCTCTGCATCAACATACACAAGGGGAAAACCAACGTCCTCAAATACAACACGGAGAACACCAATCCAATCACATTTGATGACTAAACTCTGGAAGATGTAGAATCATTTACATACCTAAGAAGCATCACCGATGAACAGTAGGGATCAGATGCAGACGTAAAGGCGAGGATTGGCAAAGCAAGGGGCCGCATTCCAACAATTGAAGAACATATAAAAATCAAAACAAATATCTGCAAACCCACATCAAAGTCACAATCTTCAATACGAACGTCAAGACAGTTCTGCTGTACGAAGCTGAAACTTGGAGAACTACAACAACCAACATCAATAATGTACAAGTATTTATCAATAGTTGTGGAAGCAAGATACCATCAGCAACAGCCTTCTGTGAGAGAGAACAAATCAGCTTCCAACTGAAGAGGAAATTAGTAAAAGACAATGGAAATAGACAGAACATACATTGTGAAAATCACCAAAACTTCATCACGAATCAAGTCTCAACTTGGAATCCTGAAGGGATGCAGAAAAGTGGAAGGTTAACTAATACATTACATCGGGAGATAGAAGCAGATATGAAAAGAATGAATCACAACTGGGCATGAGTTGGAAAGGATTTCCCAAGACAGGGTTGGATAAAGAATGCTAGTGATCAGCCTATGCTTCATCACAAGAAGTAACAGTCATAATCTAATCTAATCTATCTGTATGTAAGTGAAAGTTTAACAATTTTCATCATAAAAAAAAAACAAACAAACAAACACATAAATGATTGATAAACTGTCATAAATAGTAGAATTGTGTAAAAATAAACAAATAACATTGGTTATTTACATTTATAATTGAAGAGAATATTTGTTTTAAACTCATTTCTGTTGGTGAAGGTATAACAAATAATGCAAAATGTCTTATTAATCTTGGTGTTATTGTATATCTTCCACCACCTGGTGGACCACATGCTGAACATATAATCATATTTTTAATTTTAATCCATTCTAATTTATCTCTATCATAGAAACCATGAAAATCTTGATATTGACGTAATAATTCAATGGTTGATTGACTACCATATATATCTTGTTTTGGCATATTTAAATCATCAATAAACAGAATAATATGTTTATTATTTGGTGCATCAAGTATATATTTCTTTTTTTTAATTAATTTACTTTCAATTATTTCTTGTGTATGATTACTTGTTGTTTGAGCTGAGAAATTTATATAAGCTGGAATATAATTTTTACATTCAGCTATATTATTCAATGTTCCACGAACTATAATCGACTATATATCAATAAGAGAGAAAGAGAGAAAAAGAAAAGAAGGAGCAATTCAATTAGTTAAATATTGATCATTAATAGTTTCTATGGTAATAGAATGAATATAAAATGTTGAAAGTATACTTTATAACAACAGGAATCGATTCACATAGATCACCGATTGTGATCGATTCTGAGTCATATTAAACAGAGTCTTTAACAATTGGTTATGATAATTGCTCGGATACCAACCAAATAGTCTGTAACTATTAACATGGTTATGACTAGAAGTTAGTGATTTCAAGCACTGATGTCATATTTTAGTTTTACTATTTTCTAACCATCCCCAACAATAGTCAGCAATGCACTTCGTAATAAACGGTGTTCAGCCATACGTAACATATGGCATAACCATCTCAGTCAATGAACATTCACAACATCATCAATTGATTTACCATCATTCTTTAATACCCCACCTCTAATCTCACTATTACTTACCCGGTGATCCCAGCAGATGCGAACAATATTTCTAATGCACCTGTGGTCAAATACTAGTATATTACGAGTATCTTCTACTCTTAAAGGCCGTGTTTCGCATCCGTATAGTAGGACGAAACAAACTGCCGCGCAGTATACTGATCCTTTTATTGATAAACGGACATCTCGCCTGCTCCATAGGTGACATCACACTCCAACCTATTAGGGCTGATCAGACTTCCAAGATAAGTGAAGTTGTCGACACGTTCGACTACTTCACTTCCTATCCTTAGTTCAGGTGTTGACTCAGGCCAGTTCTGAAGCAACAACTTGCATTTAGAGGGAGAGAAGTGTATCCCAAATATTCTGTTATTGTTGCTCAATGCTACCAAAAGACTGCATTTTATCAGCGTCTTCACTAAACAGGACTATATCATCTGTGTATTCTAATACAACAAGTGGACCTCAGTTGACGAGAACTTTATTTCCATCAATAGGTCTATGATGAAGTTAAACGAAAATGGAGAAAGTGAACAGCCTTGACGGACACCAGTTAAGGTTGTAAAAGCACATGACAGTTCGCCATAAGCTCTCATTCGATTGGTAGTATTCGAGTAAAGAGCCTTCATAAGGTTTATGTACTTCTGAAGTACGCCTTTCAGTGAAAGACACTGTCATAGGATCTCTCGGTGTACCGAGTCAAATGCTGCTTTTAAGTCAAGGAAGACCACCATTGTCGGACGCCGATAAGTATGCCTGTGTTCTAGAACCTGACGAACGGTGAATATGTGGTCTATGCATCCACGACCAGGTCTGAGGCCAGCTTGATCCTCTCGTGTTTGCAGTTCACGAGTCTTAGTTAGGCGTCCGATAATTATCAAGGCTAGTATTTTAGATACTATATTAGTCAAACTAATCCCTCTATGGTTGTCACAGGATGATTTTGACCCTTTCTTATATATTGGGACGATAAGTGATTGTGACCAGTCAGAGGGGATTACGTCCAACTCCCAGATTTTAGCTAAAATATTATTCAACCTAGTCTCTAGAATTGGACTACCATCCTTAAAGACCTCTGGAGCTAATCCATCTGGACCAGCTGCTCTTCCTCGTTTCAGATTAACTATAGCCTTTTGAACTTCATCTAGAGTTGGAGGACCTACTTCAATGTTCCAATCAAGCTGTCTGGGAATGGTGGGTAGTACCCACCAGGCAGTAATAGAATAAAATAGAGGATTTCATCAAATACCAGTAATTTAGAAAAAGGTGATAACTGTAGTGATTAAGAACTCACTTAAAGCGAATCAATCTATTGTTTTATACAAAATGAAACAGTATCATTGTAAATTCTAAAAGTTATGCACCAAATACATCATTTGCATATCATTACTCAGTTGTCCTTAACATAATTCATCATTCTTTCGACCCTATTGTGATTCCGATTACTCTTCGTTTTTCTTTCCATTGTGGTGTGGGTTACTTATCTCTTTACAAGTAGAATATAATGGTGGTCAGGCATAGAATGTATTTCAGTAGAAGGTCGATGAGGAAAGAATGGGAACGGGAACGGAACGTAATTGGTATGAAAACGCATGAACAATGAAATCTGAGACAATGGATTGATGTTCGGAACAGGAACACTCAAGTTTGATATGATGAATTGATATTTTTGCAAATTAACGATTTACTAATATAGTTCTCAAATTTTATTGAGATGCTCTGTAATTTCGTGTCAATTATATTCGAATTGTTCCAACTAGTGTTTTGGTTCACTACACCATTCTGTTTACTTCACTGTTCTACTGGTAAATATTCTACTTTCGATTTCTACCATATACTACTTATATTTGTCTATATAAGTAGTGTAAATCACGCTATTATCAATAATAATAATAATATAATATAATAATAATAATGATCATAACAATAGTAGTAATAATCATACTTTTCCAACTCCAGTTAAACCAGTAAACAATACACTTTGATTTACAGATAATAATTTATCTAACAGGTAACCATATCTAACTGTATCAACAGTTGGTACAATCATATCAAAAAATGGTATTTGTTTATTATAAATAAATGTATTAATCAATTTATCCCAATTATCCATACGACGTGTATCCATATCAACAAAACAAGACCATAAATCAGAATGTTGAGGAAGCTAAAAAAGAAAATAATTAAGTAAATCTTAATAATGAATTATATTTTCAAGTAATGACTGCTTAACATAGATTGTTTGATTGTTAGTACATATAAATAATGGATGAAAGAAGCAGTAGACGTTCAACTTCGAGTTCAACAAGCTGAATTCCGTAAGGATCGGTCGCGCACAGATCAAAATGCAACACTACGGATCATCGTCGAACAATCAGTTGACCGGAACTCGTCACTGTACATCAACTTCATTGATTATGAAAAGGCATTTGACAGTGTAGATAGGAGAACGATATGGAAAATTCTTCGACACTACGGAGTTCCTGAGAAGATTGTCTACATTGTCCAGAACTCATACGACGGACTACAGTGCAAAGTAGTGCATGGAGGACCGGAGTAAGACAAGGTTGTCTACTCTCTCCCTTCCTCTTTCTTCTGGTGGTCGACTGGATTATGATGACCTCGACATGTGAGAGAAAACACGGCATACAATGGACAGATCAGAACCAATTACACGATTTGCACTTCGCAGATGACCTAGCCCTCTTATCGCATACACACGAACAAATGCAGATAAAGACAGCCAGTATAGCAGCAGTCTGTGCATCAATAGGTCTCAACATACACTAGGGGAAAACCAAGGTCCTCAAATACAACACGGAAAACACCAATCCAATCACACTTGATGAAGAAACGCTGGAAGATGTAGAATCCATCACATAAGTGGAAAGCATCATCGATAAACAAGGAGGTTCAGATGCAGACGTAAACGCAGGAATTAGCAAAGCAAGAATCGCATTCCTTCAATTAAAGAAAGTATGGAACTCAAAACAACTTTCAACCAATATCAAAGTCAGAATCTTCAATACGAACGTCCAGGCAGTTCTATGGTACGGAGCTGAAACATGGAGAACTACTACAACCAACATCAATAATGTACAAGTATTTATAAATAGTTATCCAAGCAAGATACTCAACATCCATTGGCCAGATAACATGAGAAATAGCCTTTTGTGGGATAGAACAAACCAGCTTCCATCTGAAGAGGAAATTAGGAAAAGATGATGGAAATAGATAGGAAATACATTGTGAAAATCAATAAAACTGCATCACGAAGCAAGCCTCAACTTGGAATCCTGAAGGAAAGCGGAAAAGAGGAAGGCCAAAAAACACATTATGTCGGGAAATAGAATCAGATACAAAAAGGATAAATAAGAACTGGAAAGAGCTGAAAAGGATTTCCCAGGACAGGATTGGATGGCGAATGCTGGTGAGCGGCCTATGCTCGTTCACGAGGAGTAACAGGAGTAACATATTAGTAAGGCGTTTTTGGAAACTTGAGAGGAGAGATGTTTCCTGTGCAATTCAAAATAAGGTTATACAACTTTGCAAAAGTTATCATTGAGCGATTTCTATAGTAACTGATCTTCTGTAAGACTGAAATATTTACAATTCAGCGAGTAGCGACCAATTTAATGTATATATATGATTGGGTGGCGAGGACACACTTTAAGGAAAGCACCCAAATGCGTGCATCACAAGGCAAGCCCCCACATGGAATCCTCAAGGCCAAAAAAAAGACGAAGACCAAAGAATACATTACGCAGTTGAATGGAGACAGACATGAAAAGAATGAACAAAAATTGGATAGAACTGGAAAGGAAGGCCTAAAAGAGGGTGGGTTGGAGTATGCTGGTCGGTGGCCTATGCTCCATTGGTAGTAACAGACGTAAATAAGTAAGTAATATGATTGTTATAAAACTATGAACTACGTAATTTTCAGGTTAAATGTAAATCCCTATCTATGGAGTACTACCCTATAGGTTAAGACCAATAAACGTTTAACCGCTAGTTAGGAGTTTCAAATCAGAATCTAACTAATTCAATTTTACTCAGCAAACCTTAACCAAATCCGCATATTTCAAAATCGAGTGATTTTTTATTCGTTTTCATTACTCTTCGATTGTATAATAATTCGTGTATGTATTTAAGCCTTGTTTTACCACTTCTGTTCTCAGGTTTGAAGTCTGTCGTCAATTGGTGTCATAAATTGAATTCTACAGAAGTTTCTTACTAGTATGAAACTTGATGGGAATCAGCACCTGAAACCGAAGTAATTGGGAACCAGTTTTGAAAATGAAAATTTTAAATCATCAGTTTATAGAGGTTCGCTATTTAGATTTCGTTAACATAGTATGTAGTTCTAGTCTCATTCAAAGTCAAGTTTCATTTATGTTTGAAAGAATATCTAAAAATTAAAACTTTTCATTACTTTATAAACAAGATTTTTGTATGTAATGATGGATAGTGGTTAGCAGTGGAATCCAGTTTGACGCGCGTTTCGTCCTATTTGGGACTCGTCAGCTGGATAAACCTACATCTCACAGTTGATATTCACTCTGGGATTCCAACCCAGTACCATTCGCTTCAAACGCCATCACGTTATCCACTCAGCTACTGAGTCCTGATAGCCACTTGCGTTTGCAATGGGGTAAATTTAAATCTACTTATTATTGTTTGGCTTGTATCTTCTCAATGAGGTTAAAGACTGCAATTGATCAGTCTGTTATTGGCATATGTGCATACTGTGTGTATGCCTTGATATTGCCTTAATTCACAAGCTTTTTGTAAGCAATGATGGATAGTGGCTAGCAGTGGAATCCAGGCCGCGCATTTCGTCCTATTTGGGACTCGTCAGCTGAACGTATTTGCATCTCAGAGTTGATGTTCACTCAGGCAGCGACTCAAACTCAATACCGTTCTCCTCAAACGCTATCGTATTATCCACTTAGCTACTGAGTCTTGATATCTACTTCCTTGTGAAATAGGGTAAAGTTTTAAATTCCTGTGATATTGTTTACTTGTTTGCTTACATAGCTTGTAAATTAAGGCAATATCGAGGCAGTCTGCACAGGATTTCCATATACCAACAAGAGACGAATCAATTGTAGTCCGAAATAACAATGGGAAGATACAAGTAAACAACATCAAGTGAATTTTCAAAGCTTTAGATAAAGTTGAACACTTAATACCTTCTTATTATTGAAAAATGAAGTTATATAATTTGAATATCTTCATCAACTACCATTTGCCTCCATAAATTAATAAATAGCGATTTCAAATAAATCCACACTAAAGTAAGTTTTGTTGCGAAGTATGTTTCGACTATGAATTGATATCAATACGAAAACCATTAAGCATTAGGTAATATATCATGTACTATTTTGGGGATTCTTTAGCAATATGAATCTATACCTTCCTCAAGATAAAAGTTAGGTCCCTAAGGTCTAGCAATCTGTACACCATTTAAGGATTATGAAGTTAGAATTATTCACATTTCTAACTTCAATCAACTACAGATTTAAGTCAGTCTTTACTCAACTACAATCTCCTACTTTTTCGAACGAAGGTGCTAAAATAAATATAAAGACTTCATAAATCTTTAGTGTCAGTTACTATGTCAAGTTCACATAACTTATTCTAGCCTTCAGACAGGCCAATCTATTCATTCTTCTTGAGTTACATTTTGACCTAGTCAATTATTCGCTTATCAACTTTGACTGGTTTTATGTAAGCGTATATGTGTACATTTGTTATCCTATTCATCACATGTCTGTGTGACTATAAATATCGATTAACGCTTGATTAAATGGAGTTAGCTCACATACCTTCTCCAGTGCGCATCATTTTGCTTCACTCTTTTCTATTCGCTTCATCCCTCTAATTTTCTGTTTAGATCAGTGAGTGTACAAAATATACGCATTTAAGAATCCATTTTCGTATTTAACTTATTTAATTCCGTTATTCACTAACGTGAGTTAAGTCGACGATAATATGACGAGGATTGACGATATGTATATTTTTATATCCCGATAAGCATAATAAATGGTAACTATTGTGATCCATTTATGGACAAGTATTATGCGTATATTTTTATCGTATAATTGTTAAGTAACTAAACCATTCATATTCGTGTTCCTCTTGTTATTAAACGATTTACCAATCTTGAATTATTCCCTGTCTATTAATTACAGTCACCCACATTCACAGCCACATTTGACTAGATCTTGTACAAATGTTGTTGTCATATTTCATTGAACGATATGGTCTGTTTGATTGATATATAAACTCCGTATGTTTGAAATAAATGTTTCATATCACAGAGGCTGAAATTGGTGTTCTGAACTTAACTGGCAGGTAGCTAGGAGGAAAGCACGATCAATAAAGACTCTAGACAGATCATACGGGTTTTATGCATCACTGGTTCGATCAATAATCCATTGCTCCGTCATTGGTAGTCTATTGGGGACGATAATTCCCCCCCCCCAAAAAAAACTCACATTTGTAATTTTATCGATTAACTTATCGATTAAATGTTTAAATATTTGAATAACAATCATTTGATGAACTTATTGATGAATGTTTAAAAATTTAAATAACAATATCGATTATATATATTTGTATATATATGTTTTAAATTGTTTTGGTTGAATGACTCATTTCTGGTAGTTGTAGCATATACTTCTCATTTCAAACCTGAACTTCTCCCTCTAGATAGCTAGGGCTAGGATGCATCATTAGCTAGCTCACTGTTCGTTAGTCACTGAATCTCGTTCACGTTCTCAGACTATGTGAACCCATGAAAGCTTTCTTTTCAAACTATAACACAGTCACAAATAGAACATATATCTCAATAGAAATCAGAAATAATTAAACTGGAGTTAGATCCAGTATCAATTAAAACTCATTTATTCACATAGAAATGAATAAAAAAATCAATAAAAATCTACTTACTCTTGCATCACCTAAATCATCAAATAAATTACGAATAAATGTATCACATATATTCCAATTTGTATCAATTAAATTACCAGCTAATCCCCATAATAATGAAAATACAAATGACATAGCTAATAATGGATTTAATTTATTTTTATCTTCATTTATTAATGGACAACCTGAATGAATTAATAGAACTTCTAATAATTTACACATTGTTTGTATTCTTGCAATAGGTACCTATGAATTAAAAAAAATATATTAAATATAAAATAATAAATGAATGTATATGAGTTAACATGCATAAAATGATCTTTTATCAAATTTTTACTACCTGGAAAGAATATAGGAGAAACTTCCTTCCTTCCTTCCTTCCTTCCTTCCTTCCTTCCTTACTTACTTACTTACTTACTTACTTACTTACTTACACACTTACTTATTTACTTGCTTACTTACGCCTGTTAACCATCGTCGAGAAGCATAGGCTGCTGACCAGCATTCGCCATCTAACTCTATCCTGGGAAATCCTCTCCAGCTCTTGCCCAGTTGTTATTCATCCTTTTCATATCTGCTTCTATTTTCCGAAACTTTGCCTGTAGCTCTCCTAGAGTTACTGCCGGTCCCAAGCCCGGATAAAGGAGGAGGGTTTGGCATGGGGTTAGCGTCCCCATCCCGTAGAAAACTAACTCGCTAAAAAAACGCTAACCAGAAAAAATAACTCAAACCATTTAAACTCTGCCCTGGAAGTTAGAAGGTCTTCATTTAGAAGAAATATGACGCCTCAGGGTGAAAGCCGAGTTCCTTCGGAAGCCATGAGGTCGATGCCCCTTCTAACAACCAAAGCAAAAATTTTTATAGGTACATGGAACGTACGGACAATGTGGGAGACCGGGAAGGCCATTTAAATAGCAGCGGAAATGAGGAGATACAACTTGGCAGTACTGGGAATCAGCGAAACCCATTGGACCCAAGCTGGACAACAAAGGCTAAATACGGGAGAGATGCTGCTATACTCCGGTCACGAAGAGGAAAATGCTCCACACACTCAGGGAGTTGCTCTAATGCTGTCCAAAGTAGCACAAAATGCACTTGTAGGATGGAAATCTGACGGATCCAGAATAATCAAAGCATCATTCAAAACAAAGAAGGAGGGGATCACAATGAACATTATCCAATGTTATGCACCCACCAATGATAGCAACGACGACGTTAAGGATCAATTCTATGAGAGGCTGCAATCAATCATAGAGAAGTGCCCAAGAAAGGACCTCACCATTCTGATGGGAGATCTAAACGCCAAAGTCGGAATGGACAACACCGGATATGAAGACATCATGGGACTACATGGACTGGGAGAGAGAAACGAAAACGGCGAAAGATTTGCAAATCTGTGTGCATTCAATAAATTGGTCATAGGCGGTACAACATTTCCACACAAACGTATACACAAAGCTACATGGATCTCACCGGACCACACCACAGAGAACCAGATAGATCATATTTGCATCAATGAAAAGTTCCGAAGGACAATGGAAGATGTGAGAACCAGGAGAGGAGCGGACATAGCTTCAGATAACCACCTGGTTGTGGCCAATTTAAAACTGAAGCTAAAGAAGAACTGGACAACTGGACAAACAGCTCTGCAAAGGTTCAATATAGCCTTCCTTCGAGATACTGACAAACTCAATGAATCCAAGATAGCTCTCAACAACAGGTTCCAAGCCCTACAGGATCTACTGAAGAAAGAAGAACCTGCCATGGAGGATAACTGGAAAGGTATCAAAGAAACATTAACTTCAACGTGTCAAGAGGTTCTGGGCTCCAAGAAGCATCATCACGAGGAATGGATTTCTATAGAAACACTTGACCGGATCAAAGAAAGGAAGAACAAGAAGACAGCAATTAACAATAGTCGAACACGAGCAGAGAAAGTCCAAGCACAAGCTGAGTACATAAAAGCAAACAAGAAAGTGAAGAAGAACATTAGAGCCGACAAACAGAAATACGTGGAAGAACTAGTAACGACGGCGGAGAAAGCTGCAAGAGAAGGAAATATGAAACAGCTTTATGATACAACGAAGAAGCTAGCAGGGAAATATAGTAAAGCAGAGAGATTAGTCAAAGACAAAGAAGGAAGACCAATCACTGAGGTTCAACAACAGCGGAACAGATGGGAAGAGTACTTCGAGGAACTCCTGAGTAGGCCGTCACCAATGAATCCACCGGACATCGAAGCAGCACACACAGATCTTCCTATAGATGTCAATCCACCAACGACGGAGGAAATCAGAATGGCCATCAGACAAATCAAGAGCGGGAAAGCAGCAGGACCTGACAATATACCAGCTGAAGCACTGAAGTCAGACATCGAAGTAACGACAAACATGCTTCATCTTCTATTCAAGAAGATTTGGGAGGAGGAACAAGTGCTGATGGACTGGAAGGAAAGACACCTCATCAAGATTCCAAAGAAAGGAGACCTGAGCAAGTGTGAAAACTACAGAGGCATTACACTACTGTCAATACCAGGTAAAGTCTTCAACAGAGTGTTACTGAACAGGATGAAAGACGCAGTAGACGTTCAACTTCGAGATCAACAAGCTGGATTCCGTAAGGACCGGTCGTGCACAGACCAAATTGCGACACTACGGATCATCGTCGAACAATCAGTTGACCGGAATTCGTCACTGTACATCAACTTCATTGATTATGAGAAGGCATTTGACAGGATAGATAGGAAAACGATATGGAAAATTCTTCGACACTACGGAGTTCCTGAGAAGATTGTCTACATTGTCCAGAACTCATACGACGGAATACAGTGCAAAGTAGTGCATGGAGGACCGGAGTAAGACAGGGTTGTCTACTCTCTCCCTTCCTCTTTCTTCTGGTGGTCGACTGGATTATGAAGACCTCGACATGTGAGGGAAAACACGGCATACAATGGACAGATCAGAACCAATTACACGATTTGCACTTCGCAGATGACCTAGCCCTCCTATCCAATTCACATGAACAAATGCAGATAAAGACAGCCAGCATAGCAGCAGTCTGTGCATCAGTAGGCCTAAGCATACACAAGGGGAAAACCAAGGTCCTTAAACACAACACGGAGAACAGCAATCCAATCACTCTTGATGACGAAACTCTGGGAGATGTAGAATCCTTCACATACCTAAGAAGCATCACCGATGAACAGGGACGATAAGATGCAGACGTCAAGGCGAGGATTGGCAAAGCAAAGGGCCACATTCAGACAATTGAAGAACACATAAAAATCAAAACAAATATCTGCAAACCCACATCAAAGTCACAATCTTCAATGCGAACGTCAAGACAGTTCTGCTGTATGGAGCTGAAACTTGGAGAACTACTACAACCAACATCAATAATGTACAAGTAATTATAAATAGTTGTCTACGCAACATAATCAACATCCATTGGCCGGATAACATGAGAAATAGCCTTTTGTGGGATAGAACAAACCAGCTTCCATCTGAAGAGGAAATTAGGAAAAGACAATGGAAATGGATAGGACATATTTTGAGGAAATCGTCAAACTTCATCACGAAACAATCCCTAACTTGGAATCGTGAAGGGAAGCGGAAAAGAGGAAGGCCAAAGAACTCATTATGTCGGGAAATAGAATCAGATATAAAAAGGATGAATAATAACTGGAAAGAGCTGGAAAGGATTTTCCAGGACAGGATTGGATGGCGAATGCTCGTGAGCGGCCTATGCTCGTTCACAAGGAGTAACAGGCGAAAGTAAGTAAGTCTATTTCCCGACATAATGAGTTCTTTGGCCTTCCTCTTTTCCGCTTCCCTTCACGATTCCAAGTTAGGGATTGTTTCGTGATGAAGTTTCATGATTTCCACAATGTATGTCCTATCCATTTCCATTGTCTTTTCCTAATTTCCTCTTCAGATGGAAGCTAGTTTGTCCTTTCCGACAGTTGGGTGTTGATAATGGTATCCAGTCAACGGATATTCAGTATCTTGCTTAGACAACTATTTATAAATACTTGTAACTTATTGATGTTGGTTGTAGTAGTTCTACATGTTTCAGCTCCGTACAATAGAACTGTCTTGACGTTCGTATTGAAGACTATGACTTTGGTATTGATTGACAGTTATTTTGAATTTTATATGTTCTTCAATTGTAGGAATGTGAAAAGGGAAAAGTAGTTGAAATAATTGTAGCATCAATGAAAGATGTTAAGTTTTCTTTTCTTTTTCATTTCATTACTTCCGTATCTTCAATAATTGAGATTATGAGTCACCACCATGGAAAACCTGGGAGCACTGCACGACTGTTACGTCCTATTGTGGGATTCCTCAGCATTGCGCATCCACGATTTCGCTCCCTGCGAGATTCGAACTAAGAACCTCTCAGTCTCGCTTGCAAGCGCTTAACCACTAGACCACTGAGATTGTAGTAATTTCAATAATTGAAATCATGAGTCTCCTATCTGTCATACTACTTATCAATATCAAGGTTCAACCCCATAATAAATATTTTGCATATTTTCTGTTTATCGTTTATATTTAAGCTTAACAAAACCATTTGCTATTTTCTGATCTGTAATTTTGTTCTTGTTTAATTATTTGTAAATGGTCATTTTATAACGATATTATTTTTGATTATATAACTGACAAGTAGACATCTAATGTCTCAATACAATGTTCAAATATCTACTTAATGATAGCATATATAGATATTATATCTCAATTTAATTGTTCATAGCTTTAGAGGAAGCCTTTACAGCAGTAGACCTCAATATACACAAGGTAAAAAAGCAAGATCCTTAAATACAACACATTGAGCACTAACCCAATCACACTTGATGGAGAAACTCTGGAAGATGTGGAAACATTCACATACTTGATCAGCATTATTGATGAACAAGGTGGATCCGATGCAGACACAAAGGTAAGAATTGACAAAATAAGGATAGCATTCCTACAACTGAAGAACATATGGAACTCGAAATAATTGTCAATCAATATCAAAGTCACAATCTTCAATACGAACGTCAAGACAGCCCTACTGTATGAAGCTGAAACATAGAGAACTACTACAACCAACATCAAGAATGTACAAGTATTTATAAACAGTTGTCTAAGCAAGATACTGAATATCCGTTGGTCGGATACCATCAGCAACAGCCAACTGTGGGAGAGGACAAACCGGCTTCCATCTGAGGAGGAAATTAAGAAAAGATTATGAAAGTGGTTAGGGCACACATTGAGGAAATCATCAAACTGCATCAGAACTTGGATTCGTGAAAGAAAAACGGGAAAGAGGAAAACCAAAGAACACACTGCTTTGAAAATTGGAAGCAGACATGAAAAAGGATCAATATCAACTGGAAAGAACTGGGAAGGATTGTTTAGGAGAGAGTTGGATGGCGAATACTAGTGGTTGGTTTATTCTCCTCCATACGGGGTAATAAATGTAAGTCAGTAAGTAAGCTTTTTTTAAAATTCTACCTAAATGCTGACGAGCTAAGTAACGGTTGAGCATCTGTAACACAAGTTTCAACTAACTTAAACGATAATAACTTTATAATTATTGTTATAATTCACTTTTAAGTTTTGTCATAATGACGTGTATATTCGCTTTGGTTAAAATAGAATTATTTGTCTATTTTCTTTTAATCTATACATGTTCTGATAAGTTCGATTTTCATCCATCATCCAATGTACCAGAACTGCACAAATATGCTGTAACTTAAGAGGTTAGAAGAAGAAATGTATGTTTGATATATGAGTAGAATCCAATTAAGTAACACATCTTAATGACCATAAAATCCACTTTCATGATATGACACCAATTTTTCTAGCTTATCTAATGTCATTAAATGAAACAAATACTTGGTACAACAAGTTTGTGAACGTGCATTGGGCAGTCTCATGTTATGAAATAATATCTGTCCAGTAATTACTAGTTTTTAGTGGATGTCTAACTAAGGACAGTCCATGATGTGAACCATGAAATTCAACACTATTCACAAACTTCCTATTACTAAAAACAGTCACATGTTCTAGAATGAATAACTTCGAAATGCAATTCCTGAAATTCTAGTGTAAGGCTGTGACTAATGGAGTCCGAACATATCAATTAGTTACCCATGAATGGCATTAGATGATGGTTTCTTAGTATAGCATATTGATGGAAGTTAGAAATTTAAACTATTGGTCGCTGAGTCAGTGGTTAAAGGGTTAAACACTCGCTGAGAGATCTGAAGTTCCTGGGTTTGTTCTTCTATAGAGTTGTAGGTATGCAACAACAGAGAAGTTCCGTAGTAAAGTGTTACGCTGTCCAAATCTTCCTTGTTTTCTTTGGTTGTCTGGGTACATAAAACTCTACTGTTATGACTGAGTCCGATAGTAATATACAAAACGTCCTATATCCAAGCCTCCAACCGGCTACTATAGGAAGACTAAGAGTGAAGGCGGAAGTTTTTTGGTTTGATCTGAATCAAATTGTTGGAAAGATTCAGAAAATTCCTCAAAAAAGCAAAAAAAAAGCTCTGAAAACATTGAGAAACACTTTTTTCAATCCGCATTCAATAGAAGTTTTGCCACAATCATCTAGAAAGTGAAAAGTCACATGTTGAGTTTCTGATTGGATGATTGCCTATACTGCTATTATGTTTAATAGCATTCCAGAATTTTCCGGAAACCCAAAGCCATCTAAAATGTTATAAAAACCTTAGATTCTTTGTTCATAAACGAACCTTGAAGTAAAGCGTTTCTTTGATATTTCGTCTTATTTCCCTCATGTTCAAGTCGTTGTGTAGATTAAGCCTGTAGGTTATTAGAACAACTTAGGAAACCGAATCGAGCATTCAATTAGAAGACTTATCACAAATGAATAAGAGCTCCTTAGAGAGTGAAACAATTTCTTGACTAATAACATACACTTATTTATAAAGAGATATTCGATTGGTATAACATAACTCTCTCATTGGATAGTTGTCAATCTTCAAACTACCATTATATAATGTAAACTATTAATGTTAAGGTGAACACTTACTTGTGGAATGATTGTTGTACATTTGGTCATTACAAAATTCATAAAAGGATCTACATATTTTGTAAAAAGATTCATAATATATTCAATAACATATGGGGTTAGTTTTTCTTCGATTGTTTTAATCCATGACTAAAATGAATAAGAATACTTTTGTTTATCATATATACATAGAAAATGGAAATAATGAATATTGTATAATGACCAAAGAACATATTATACTAAGAAATGGAGTGAGATATAAGAAGAATGAACAACAATTGAACAGAGCTAGAAAGAAAGGTCCAGGACAGAGTGGACTGGAGAATAATGATCGGTGATCTATGCTCCATTAGGAGTAACAGGTGTAAGTAAATAATAATGACGTAATTAGACAAAGTACCAATCAGAAGTACATAAAGCTTGTAAAGACTCTTTACTCGTACACTACTAGTCGAGTCAGAGCTTATGAAGAACTGTCATCTGCTTTTACAACTTCAACTGGTGTCCGTCAAGGCTGTCCACTTTTTTCATTTTTGTTTAACTTCATCATAGATCTACTGATGGAAATAACGTTCTCGTCAAATGAATTTTCGGGCAATAATCTCCTACCAAGAGGTCCACTTGTCGAATTAGAATACTGAGATGATATAGTCCTGTTTAGTGAAGACGCTGATAAAATGCAGAGTCTTTTGGTAGCATTGAGCAATAATGTCAGAATGTTTGGGATGCACTTCTCCCCCTCTAAATGTAAGTTGTTGCTTCAGAACTGGCCTGAGTCAACACCTGAACTAAGGATAGGGAGTGAAGTAATCGAACGTGTCGACAACTTCACTTATCTTGGAAGTCTGATCAGCCCTAATTGGTTGGAGTGTGACAAAATCTCAGCATGGATTCGGAAAGTTCGTTTGTTTTTGTCAACTTACGTTACCTATGGCAAAGGTGACATATACGTCTATCAAGTAAGGGACGAGTACACTGCGTGGTAGTTTGTTCTGTTCTACTTTACGGCTGCCAAACGTGGCAATTAAGAATCGGGTTTCATTTGAATATCATAATCAGTGGTTGAAGACTCTGGGTAACATGGCTCAGATTCGATCACAATGGTGTAGGTGTATACACTCTTTGTTTTTCTTTAAACTACGAGATTAAAATCGCTTCATATCTATCCAATATATATCCAATATATCATCATCATCATCATCATTATGATCAGTAAACCATTATCGCATACAAAGTATGCAAAGAATCTCCATAAGAGGTATCCTTCATTACTTTTCCTCCAAGAAGCAATTCATGGTGAATGTAAAATTAAAAGAGTAAAATAAATAGGATTTTGTTTGACTCTTTCAATATACTTTAGTTCGTGGATTAAATATTACAGATTAATTTAATGGAGAATATTCGTAGCTCAGGTGGATGATTTTGATCTATCTGAAGTTTGTGCTGATGGTGTCGTTCAGAAGAACGATGAGAGCACCACTAACAAACCGTCCAGCTAAGCGAACAAAATTCCGTCAAGATCAGAGGGGTTTTTGTGAATATTATAGTAATTTCAATGGTTGAGATCATGAGTCAATTAAAGTCAGACCACCATAGAAAACCTGAAAGCACTGCAAATCCGTTTCATCCTATTGTGGGATTCCTCAGCAGTGCGCATCCACAAACTCGCCTGGCGAGATTCGAACCCATAACCTCTCAGTCTCGCGCGCGAGCGCTTAACCACTAGACCAACGATGTTAATGTGTAACTTCAACTAACCCACCAAATTGAGCGTTTCATCCACCATTGTCACCAGTGAGTTACTATCTCACAACTGACCCGGTTGAACTCCACTGGTCACTGCTTCTCACTAGAACTCCAGGATATACCTCTTGAAGCCAGTCACTAGTGAGGATATGTTGATTCATATCATAAATTTAGTGGTTTAATGGGTTTGTTTATTTAAAATATAATGTATGATGTAATTATTTCTGATGTGATTCCCAAAGGAACAAATCGTAGATCATTAATAGCTTCAACAATTAGTAAATAGATTTATTCGAAATAAAATATTAAATAAATATTTCAAATTAATGCAGTTAACTTACTTTAACATATGGTAACCAACCTAAATCTTCTGAATCTACATAAACCATACCACAACGACTTACTGTTGCCGGTGATGCAACAGCTAAATCTTGTACTTCAAATAACATATGAACATAATTAGTTAATTTAATACGTTCAGAATTAGCTAAACATAACATTTTATTATCATCTAATACTGTGTTCATATTTTCAATCCATAATGCATCAACTGGACCATCACATATAACCCATTGATGATCTTGTGTAGGATCCTTCATAGTGGAATAAATGAAAAAAAACAACAGAAAAAAGACATTTCAGAAGGGTTTTTGTAGATATTATAGTAATTTCATTGCTTGAGATCATGAGTCAATCGAAGCTAGACCTGAAAGCACTGAACAGCAATATCATCCTATTGTGGGACGTCTCAACAGTGTTCATCCACGATCTCGCTTCACGAGACATTTGTTTGCTTTTCAGCGAATGTATAAATGTTTTCTTTTCATATGTTCATTTATTGACTAATTATCCTTAAGTAGAAGCATTATAAACAGAGATGGATGGTAGCTAATAGCTGACCAGCACCCAGCACCTTGGTACGGCCGAGGGTGGAAAGAGTTAGCTCTCCCTCTCCAAATGCTCTCACATGGCCACGTGCATACAATCACTATTAGGGAATTCCTACTCATTACCTTTTCACGGCATTACTGTTGTTTACGAATTTGACAGGACGAAAAGTGAATGTCCGACGATATAACCGGATTGGTGGATACGGAAAGTTGGAAAACCCTCAATATCCTGAAGGAACGAATGGCGTATGAACCTATTGTTGGTCACCGGTAACCATGGGACTGCATCTCCTAAAGTTGCTCCACTGTCTTACGAATCAGACCTTAAGGTTGAAGGCTTCGGGTGTGATTCCCTAAGAAAGCCACCCGTTTCGGTTTGGGCACCCGGGCAGTATCCCAACTCTCACACAAATCGAATGATTTATTTGACGCATATCTATTTAGTGCCTCCTTTTACCAATGTTTATGTGGTTAAATTAAATAAATAGTAGCTGACGAGTCCTAAACAAGACGAAATGCTCATCAAACTGGATTTCACTATTAGCCACTTATAATACTTATGATTTAAGACAATTCCGAAGCAATCCATACAGAATGCACATATACCAATAAGTGACTAATCAATTACACTCCTAAATATCAATCAGAAGATTCAAACAACTAATACAAAATGGTTGAAATCATGAATCAATTAAAGCTAGACCACCATGGAAAACCTGGAAGCACTGGACTGCCGTTTCGTCCTAGTATGGGACTCCTCAGCAGTGCGCATCCACGATCCCGCCCCCCCCGCGGGATTCGAACAAATGAATCATAAACATTATTTTATAAATATGCAAGAATATACTATAATGATTTTGTCATATACTTACCATACATGTTTGTCTAACAATAGAAGCTAATAATCCATCATGCCATTCAAGTGTTAATTTATTTACTTCACCATATAATTCACCTATAGTTATAGATTTTGGATTTAAAACATACATTTTAACTGGTTGATATTCTGGTTTATTATTATTATTATTATCAATTAATTTAGATGTATGTAAATTACTTAAAACTTTAGCTAAAATACGATAAATTGTAGTTTTACCACCACCAGTTGGTCCAATTAACATCACTCCATGACGTACAATTAAAGTTTCATAGAATTGTATTATTTTTATTACTTGTTCTGAAATAATTTGTAAATTCATCTCTTGTAGAACTGTTTCAATTTCTGTAACAAATAATCCATAATCATGTTCTGGTAATGTAACACCAGGGAAAAGATCTTGTAAAATTGCCTATATAAAATAATAAAGATTTATATCTTATTAAAACTATTAACTATAATTTAAGATTATTATTATTATTATTATTATTATTATTATTATTATTATTATTATTATTATTATTATTAGAATAAATAATGAGACTAGATGGTAGTTGAAGGTAGTCGACAGGAAACTCTGGACCTAGGTTTCGTGCTACTTGGCACTCGTCAGCAAGGTACACCTGTAATCTTGAGGGAACTGATCCTCCCTGACGTATACGATCCCGTGTCACCCAGTTTCATAGTCAGAGACGTTACCACTGAGCTATCTGGGTGGCGACCAACCTCCTGTAGGACTGAGATGTATGTTATCTGTTATCTTATACCTGATTGGTTCGTTCATAAATTATAGTCTCATTATTTCACAATTGATTGATCACTGAGTGGTGATCAATATCATGTGTGTCTAGTCCTTATTATTAGTACAGATCGAATGCTATCGACCATGTTGCAATGTGTCCACCAATCTAAGTGACTCGACACTGCGGTCACTATTGTGAGGTGAGAGCACCAGTTCCCTCAAGATTACAGGTACACCTTGCTGAAGAGTGCACGAAACCCGGGTCCAGGGTATCTTGTCGACTACCTCCAACCACCATCTAATCTCAACATACTGCACGTGTAGCAAGCCCATTCCACTAATGTATTATTTGTCTACCCCACTGTGTTAATTTCCATATGAGTATGATTGAGCGTATGTCTGCACTTCAATCCCTATTCTATTCCCCCATTGGTTGAGACACATAGATAATCAATAATTTATCTTTACTGGATTAATACTCAAAAATATATATGGATTTTTAACACAGACACACACACTTTGATTTTTGTCTCACTCGGTGCTTGCTTGATGTATGCTTACGGATTTTAAAACTATCTTTATAACTGATGTTTAGGCTTTTGAATGATCTCGAGTAAATCGATAATTCTACTAGGAGATTAAGCCTGTATTAAATAACTCAGTTAATGAGATATATTTTTATTGGAGTCGGATATTGAGAAAATTTATCTCAACAAACTTGGTTAACCTCTACACACGCAATATCGAGTCCCCTAGACTGGTGGCCACATTGCAACATGATCGATAGTATTCGATCTGAACTAATAAGGACTTGACACACATGACATTGATCACCACTCAGTGATCAATCAATTGTGAAATAATGAGACTATAACTTATGAACGAACCAATCAGGTATAAGATAACAGATCTTGGGTTTTAGCATGAAATTCATTCATCCATTTGGCTAAATAGAGTTTTGGCATTTTAATTGATATCAATTGGTGATGAAAACTTTAAATCTAATCCCTAACCATCAACTATAAATCATAATACTAATTCCTCACACACTGGTTTATAATCCTCATTTGATCCTAATTAATAGTTGAACATTCTTAGAGTCACTTTAGCATCGCTTAAAGATCATCCATAATTTATAATTTCATCGAATAAATTAATTTCTAATAATTGAATACATGAGTCGATTTAAGCTAGATCATTGTTGAAAACCTTGAAGTAGTAGGCGGTCGTTTCGTTCTAGTATTGGACTCTTCAGTAATATACATCCACGATTCCACATCCTGAACTTGAATCCAGGACCTTCAGTCTCATACGTAGTATTTCAGTTGTCATAAATAATTCTTCTAACATCTTTAACTGTATTCAAGATCATCTTGTTAAGAATCAAAGATTTAAGCTAAATCTAAAACTATGCAAATGAATTCTATATGTTAAAACATTATTCTTTCTAAACTCATCAAGTTGTGAAAATTTATCAAACTAATCAAACTGTTTAAACTTACTGTAAATAGGATAGCATCTTGTTTAAGAAATTTCGGTAAATTACTATCTCTTAAAGCACGTATTAATACAACATCTTCTGGTTTATCAGGACTTTCACGTTTTAATGAACCAGCCATAACTAATACTGATTTTAATGCTCTCATACCAAAATCATAATGATCTTGTTGTGATAATTGTTCACTGCATAATTTATACATTTGTGTCATTTTTAATGCTAATGTTTTTGATGATTCAAATCCTTCAGAATAAAGTATAACTTCAGCAATAAGACCTATTTATAAATAAAATTAAAAATAAATTAGATGATAGAGAAACAGAATGAATGATAGAGAGTAATACATATTTAAAAAGTTCTTAGGAAATCTATCAAAAGTTGATTCAATTGAAGCTAGACCACCATAGAAAACCTGGATGTACTGAATGGCCGTTTCGTCCTACTACGGGACTCGAACTCAGGATCTATCATTCTTGCGCGTGAGCACTTAACCATTAGATCACTGAGACGGCCGGCATCCAACGGTGTTAGTGTTTAACTTCAACTAATCCATGAAATTGAGCGACACATCCATTATTATCACCAGTGAGTTACTATCTCACAACAGACCTGGTTGAACTTCACTGGTCACTGCTTCTCAAATGTTGAATTCTGTTAATCAAACAATAAGACATCGAAAAAATAATTATCAACGTGGATCAGAAGATCTAGTGGAGACTCTGAAAGACTATAATGATAATAATATTTGCTGTCTTTTAAATCTTTCGATTTCAGTTTTACTATTCTGATGATCACTGACTGGCTAACAGTACTGTATGATCATGATATCTGATATAATACTGGATTAACGGATTAATGCAAATACACTTAAGTTGATTCTGTTAACAATTGTTTAACGGAAACCCACGTAGCTCCATCTAGTTATTAAGAAACTCTATTTCGTATCATTTACTTAGTTAACTGATACGTCTTATTTCAACTTCAATTATGAATTAAAAGACACTGATTGTCATTCTTCTAATATGCAATGGAATATTCGTTTATACAAAAATGTTGATGATAATGACTTACGATAATCAGGTACCATCATTGAAATTGGACGGAATAATGATTTTAAATTATCAGGCAATTCTGTACGTCCAGCATAACCAGGATTCATTGTAATAAATGCAGCACATGTTTGCACTAACTTAATTTCACGTCCTTCAAACATGAATCTTGCAACCTATGTATTTAAAAAAAAGGAAACTAATTAACGAAATTGATGGCCCAGATATGTTGTCGGATATAAGTTTACTTCATGATTTCATTTAGCTGTATCTCTTGTTGTTGAAAGATCATCTGTTTTACGATATAATTTAGAGGTTAAGCGTTAGCACACGAGACCGAAGGCCCTGGGTTCGAATCCCGCGAGTGGGATCGTGGATGCTCATTGTTGAGGAGTTCCACAATAGGATGAAATCGGTTCTTGATCTCAGTCAAAAACTTAATAATCTCCATAACCCCATACTGATAATGTTGGGATGGCCCAGAAAAATTCTCGCAAAAGACACGCAAAGATCGTTTCATCCAATCAGCGTTCACTTGGAGTTTAGCCAGAAAACATCAAGGATGTGAAACGTCACATGTAGAGGTTCTGATTGGCTGATTGTTATACCGCTACTATGTTTAGTAGCATTCCAGAATCTTCGAGCAACCCAAGGACATTTAGAATATTATAAAAACCCTCTGTTTTCTGTATTAAAATGAACCTTGAAGTAAAGTACTTTTAGCGTACTTTACGCCTTCTCTCTCGTGTTCAGGTCGCTGTATAGTTCTAGCTTGGGGGTTTGAAGAATAGCTTAGGAACCGAGCATAGCGTTCAAAATCGCAAGACTTATCAGATAATGTGATTATATTTTAGCTGGATTATATGATCCGTAAATCTAGAAACAAAATGTATTTCTTAACTGGAATTTAATCAAACTATGTGAACTGATTATTCATGATTTCAACTATTGATATTAATGGGAACTTAGATATTACATGAATAGTAGTATATATTTACGTGAAACTGAACATAAGATTGTTTGGAAACATAATATATCGTCTTTGAAGTTAGTGAATATGTGTGTTAATGAACTTCCGGGTGATTTATGGAGAAGTCATTAATGTATTGTAAAGTAGAGATGGTGATTCGGTTGATAAATCTGGCAACCTTTTTCATGATTAAGGTATTTATACATTTTCAATCTATCCATATTCAGTACGGAAAACAGCAAGATCAAAACATATTATCAATCTTTGAAGTCATTTGCTATTGGCTTTGAAGGGTATAGGCAGCTGCCAGCCATTTGAGTGGGGACAGTAAAATATCCCTTTTTTTAATGGTTGATGAAATAACTTTAGATCTGAGATGCAAATGAGTTTAATCAAAGATCAAGTTATGTAACTGGATAGTCTATACTTGAGATTTGATTATTTTGAAATATCTTCCTATACAATAAGGAGTAAAAAACATCCAAGTTTGTGTATGTAAATTAAAATTTGTATTCAACATGGATACAAACTTGGTCTGAGTTACAGACATGATACTAGTTTTAATTGTTACCTTCAAGTCGACCAATGTATTGTGTACTCGGTAAGGGGGATATAATCGATTAGTGATAAGCTCATTTACAGAGGTTTAGCAAAGTTTAAGAATAAAGAGAAAGTATTACTCACTCGTGCAGCTTTAGCATTTCGAATTGTGATCAACTGTTGAGCAATAACAGACAAAACTTCAATATCAATGCGATTAAATTCATCAAAACAACACCATGCCCCAGATTGAGCTAAACCAGAAAAGAAACGACCCATCATTTTGTAATCTAAGCCATCGGAACAATTGAAAACAACGCATTGTTTTGCTACAGATTTAGCTAAATCTTTAGTTGTCTCCGTTTTACCAGTACCAGCTGGACCAGCGGGTGCACCGCCTAAATCTAATTGTAATGCACCCATTAAACATAGATAACATCTAAAACAGAATAAAAGAATTTATTAACTAAAAAATATATATGAGTTTGATATAAGAGATTCATTTTAGTTGGTAAATTGCTGCTAACTGTGATCAATAGAATAACATTTATTTCGCCTTAAGTTGAAACTCTTCAACAGTATACAACCATAATGTATACCATTATGGAATCTGTAGCCTACTAGTCTCATAATGAGCCAAGTACCTTCCGACAATTAAAGCACAGTTCAATAGTAAAGTGATTTTCCAAGTTGTTTAGCGATCATTTCATATCATCAGTAAGATGTTGTTTTTTGCTTTCAGCATAATCATACTCCATCAATTATAGGTGATTTTTATGCTACATCCTGTTTCATAGGAAACCTATCAATATGTAATTTCATATCAAGTAAATCATCGGTTTACGCTGATGATGTCGTTCAAAAGAACGATGAAAGCTTCACAATCAAACCATCCAGCTCAGAGAACAAAACTTCATCGAAATCATCCACCTGAGGTACAAATCTTCTTCACCATCTCAGATCTTAATATATCAGGATAGGTTTATGAAAAAGAAGTTAGCTTAAGCTTCATTCATTCTAACGCTTCGTATCGAATAGTTTTTTTTCAAATTAGTTTGATCTCAAATACTTCAATGGTGTGGTAGATCTTATTACGTAACGAGGATTGTAGTATCAAAGTTTAAGAAAGATATTTGGTTTCAAAAACGTTTAATTTTCATTTTGATCAGAATGGGGTAGTGACTTTAATAGTTAAATTCATAAATCGATTGATCGTAGACCACCATTGAAAACCTGGAAGCAATGGACGGCTGTTTCGTCTTAATATGGGACTCCTCAGCAGTGTGCATCCACGATTCCGTATGCTGGACTCAAGCCCAGGACCTTCGACCTCGCGCTTGATCGTTTAACCTATAGACCACTGAGCTGTTATCCAATAGTCTGAATATCTAACTTCAATCGACTCATGAATTTACACTTGACATGTTATTATCTTTGCGTTCACTTGAGATGATAGTTTGTTTTTAATTTCCCCGTGTATATCCATGAAGTCATGTAGATTTAAGTCTTAACTCTGAATAAACACATTCATTCAATTCTTTAAGGTTTTCAAAATATATGTCTTCATCAAAAATAATTTTACTGTAATACTTACCTATCAGTTAATGGAGTGATTACTAGACGAGGTGATGCACCTAAATATTCATAACCATAAATATAACATGCACTAGCCATTTTTACAACACATGTATCTAAATCTAAATCCCAATAATATCTAAGTTGACGTTGCCAATCAAAATTATCTAATGAATCAACTTTATTATTAACTAATTCTGTAACCATATCACGTGCATGTACATCAATTGTAATTAAAGCACATAGAAGTGAACGAAATAATTTTGGTAATTCTCCACGTACTAAACTAGCAAGTTTGTTAAGTCCCTAAAAATTAAAAGAAAAAGTTAATGATGTAGAGATTATTCAATTTTTAATTGAAATCATGAACCGATTGATATTAGACCACAATTAAGGACATAGAAGCACTGGATGGCTGTTTTATCCTATTGTGAGACTCTTCAGCGGTACGCATTCATAATCCCGTGAGGAGTCCCACAATAAGACGAAACGGCTGTCCAGTGCTTCCAGATTTTCAATATTGGTCTAACATCAATTGGTTCATAATCTCTATCAAATACTATTGTATTTTAAATAAGGTTGAATAAATTGATTCCGTTTTTATTCAGTTAATATGAGCTGACTAATTTCCTGGAATAAAATCCTTCATCATAGAGTCAGTAAAAACATCTATAATCTAAAAGTTAGAATCGTTCAAGATTTCAAGCATTCTTTGATTATTAATATTATATATTATGAACAAGACATCAACTAGAGCTTCTTAGCGGTTAGTATCAATCATTTCACATGTAAACGACACCTACTAACTAACTAACACTTAACGAAACTGTTTTACAATTGGTTAGTGATAGTTTGGAGAAACTGAATTCCACGAAGCCTACTATCCTTAAGCAATTCTCAAAGTTGTTATTCACAATATAGCTGGTTACTTATGGGTTGGTGCATGACAATGAACATTATTAACTGACAAGATCATGGACAATTTTTTTTTTGAATGATCTATCCCAGAAGTACTAATCAATTAAGGACAATAGGGAAACTGTATGCTTGTTAATGAAGTAGCACTAAAATGATAGTTTTTCTTGATGGAAAGATCCCCGGGGTGAAAAACCCCATCAATTTGTTTAAAAAAGCCTACTTACTGTATAACATTTCTCTTCATATTCTTTTAAACCATCAAGACGATCTTGTGGGAGAGGATCTTCTAAAATTAACGTGATATCACGTGACCACATTAATTGTTCTACTGTTAAAACAATTTGATTTGCATGTGATTTAAGCCATTCTTCACGATGTAAACTTTCAAAATCATTAATAGCAATTTTCATTAATTTACGAAGATTTGTAAACATTGCTTCTTCAACTTTACCTAACCAATCTTCAACATTACCTCTAGCTTTCAAACCCTTTAATAAAAGCGAAAAAATACAGAACATACATATTAACAGACTATACTCAAACAGAATAATGTGATTATGAATGGTGTTGTGAGGCAGTGACTCACTGAAGACAATGGTGGACCGTGGCGAGATTTCATGAATTGGTTGAAGTTAGATACCGATAAAGTGGTCTAAAGGTTAAGCATTCGCTCACGAGACCTAAGGTCTTGGATTCAAGTCCAGCATGCTGGATCGTGGATGAGCACTGCTAAGGAGTTCCATGCTAGGACGGAACAGCCGTCCACTGTTTCCAGGTTTCCCATAGCGGTCTACCTTTAATCGACTTAAGAATCCGACTATTAAATTATCTTACAGTTAGTAAACGGTAAATCTTGAACAGAAATATAAGATATGAAATAATTAGTGAAGCTCGTGTTTCTAATAGCTATAATACAGTTACAATAACTCGAAAACTACTGAAAACTAGGAATTTTCATGGAAAGTTGGCAATCTACCCTAGGGGATTTAAATTCAGTGGGTGATTGATAACTTGCTAATGAAAGGACTGACAGATTTAGCTACCCATGTGGTTATGAATATGTTATACTAACAGATCTCAGACTACATTCATCCAATCTACCTTGGTTTAAAATAATTGATCGGTTGATTTATGTCTGTTATAAAAAATTCCCTAAATAGACTTAATATATTTACTTTGAAGATAATGATCTATTGAATCCATTACAATTAATGTGGAAAAAGAAACGGTCTCTTCAACTTTATCCATTATCTCTAAAGGTTTATCTCTAATTTACCTGAATAAACCGACTTCGTTAAATAGTTTTTTTAACACATTCTTTTTACTAAGTTATTTTATATAGAAACTTGAAAATGGATAGCGGCTAGAAGTGGAATCCAGGACGCACGTTTTGTTCTAGTTGGGACTCGTCAGCTGGATGTACCTGCACCACAAAGTTAACATTCACTCAGGGACTCGAACCCAGTATCGTTCGCCATTTTCCACTGCTATCTACCATCAATCTTTGTTTAAAAAGCTTGTGACTTAAGGCGATAGCGACGTGATCCTCACAGGATGCACATATGACAATGAGACACTGATCAATAGCAGACCTAAACAACAATCGGGTGATACAAGCAAATAACACCAAGTGAATCTATAGAGCTCTAGTCGAATCCAGTTTATAGTTCAGGAAATTCATTGGAATTCAATAAAAATGCTACATACTGTGGTGTGTGTGCGTGTGGTGTGAAATCGCATTACTTCTACCAAACGATCTATAAAGAGGTGCTTGGTAGTACTGTAGATAACTCATTTAGATAGTTATTTCTAACAGTAAATATACAGACAATAATATTTTACTTTAAAGTAGTATACAAGTTGTAAATGTTGCTTTTAAACAGTTCCCAACCAAAATTTTAAGGTATGATATAATTTTTAAATTTACTTGGTATTGTTTGTTTGAATCTTCCCATTGATGTTTAGGACTGCAATCGATCAGTCTGTTATTGGCACATGTGCATCTGGTGCGTATTGCCTCGATATAGCCTTAATTCAAAAGCATTCTAAGCAAAGATGGAGAGTGGCTAGTAGTGGAATCCAGATACATCCAGCTGACGAGCCCCAAATAGGATGAAACTTGCTTCCTGGATTCTACTGTTAACCACTATCCATCTTTGACATAATTTTTATATTATCTAAATGTAAAATTTTTATCTAATGTCATTAACCATGGAATCACTACGGATCATCGTCGAACAATCAGTTGACTGGAATTCGTCACTGTACATTAACTTCATTGATTATGAGAAGGCATTTGACAGTGTAGATAGGAGAACGATACGGAAAATTCTTCGACACTACGGAGTTCCTGAGAAGATTGTCAACATTATCCAGAACTGATACGACGGAATACAGTGCAAAGTAGTTCATGGAGGACAGCTGATAGATGCATTCCAAGTGAGGACCGGAGTAAGACAAAGCTGTCTACTCTCTCCCTACCCGTTTCTCCTGGTGGTCGACTGGATTATGAAGACCTCGACATGTGAGAGAAAACACGGCATACAATGGACAGCTCAGAACCAATTACACGATTTGCACTTCGCAGATGACCTAGCCCTCCTATCCAATTCACATGAACAAATGCAGATGAAGACAGCCAGCATAGCAGCAGTCTGTGCATCAGTAGGCCTCAACATACACAAGGGAAAAATCAAGGTCCTCAAATACAACACGGAGAACACCAATCCAATCACATTTGATGACGAAACTCTGGAAGATGTAGAATCCTTGACATGCCTGAACAGGGAGGTTCAGATGCAGACGTAAAGGCAAGGATTAAGGAAGCAAGGTTCGCATTCCTTCAATTGAGGAACATATGGAACTCAAAACAACTTTCAACCAATATCAACGTCAGAATCTTCAAATCGAACGTCAAGGCAGTTCTACTGCACGGAGCTGAAACGTGAAGAACTACTACAATCACCATCAAGAATGTACAAGTATTTATCAATAGTTGTGCAAGCAAGATACTCAACATCCATTGGCCGGATACCATCAGCAACAGCCTTTTGTGGGAGAAAACCAACCAGCTTCCAGCTGAAGAGGAAATTAGGAAAAGACGATGGAAATGGATAGGACATACATTGAGGAAATCATCAAACTGCATTACGAGACAAGCGCTAACTTGGGATTGTGAAGGGAAGCGGAATTGAGGAAGGCCAAAGAACACATTACGTCGGGAAATAGAAGCAGATATGAAAAAGATGAATCACAACTGGGCAAGAGCTGGAAAGGATTGCTCAGGACAGGGTTGGATGGAGAATGCTGGTGAGGGGCCTAAGCTCGTTCACGAGGAGTAACATGCGTAAGTAAGTAAGTAAGTAAGTAAGTAAGTAAGTAAGTAAGTAAGTAAGTAAGTAAGTAAGTAAGTAAGTAAGTAAGTAAGTAAGTAAGTAAGTAAGTAAGTAAGTAGTAGTAGTAAGTAAGTAAGTAAGTAAGTAAGTAAGTAAGTAAGTAAGTAAGTAAGTAAGTAAGTAAGTAAGTAAGTAAGTAAGTAAGTAAGTAAGTAAGTAAGTAAGTAAGTAAGTAAGTAAGTAAGTAAGTAAGTAAGTAAGTAAGTAAGTAAGTAAGTAAGTAAGTAAGTAAGTAAGTAAGTAAGTAAGTAAGTAAGTAAGTAGTAAGTAAGTAAGTAAGTAAGTAAGTAAGTAAGTAAGTAAGTAAGTAAGTAAGTAAGTAAGTAAGTAAGTAAGTAAGTAAGTAAGTAAGTAAGTAAGTAAGTAAGTAAGTAAGTAAGTAAGTAAGAAAGTAGGTCAGTAGGGAAGTAAGCAAAGTAAGTAAGTAAGTAAGTAAGTAAGTAAGTAAGTAAGTAAGTAAGTAAGTAAGTAAGTAAGTAAGTAAGTAAGTAAGTAAGTAAGTAAGTAAGTAAGTAAGTAAGTAAGTAAGTAAGTAAGTAAGGTAAGTAAGTAAGTAAGTAAGTAAGTAAGTAAGTAAGTAAGTATAAGTAAGTAAGTAAGTAAGTAAGTAAGTAAGTAGTAAGTAAGTAAGTAAGTAAGTAAGTAAGTAAGTAAGTAAGTAAGTAAGTAAGTAAGTAAGTAAGTAAGTAAGTAAGTAAGTAAGTAAGTAAGTAAGTAAGTAAGTAAGTAAGTAAGTAAGTAAGTAAGTAAGTAAGTAAGTAAGTAAGTAAGTAAGTATTAACCATAGAATATAATTATATCATGAACAACAACTAGAAAGTTAACATCATTTTGATATGATATAGTTTAAGTAATAATAACTTCATAGACCCTTTCCATGTCTTGATCCTACTTCACCTAGATTTTCTTTAATTCACTCATTACTGTACTGTACTAATCAATTATTGTAGTCACTTTAAAAGATGAATATTCGCTAAGAAAAACTACCCAAAATCACAAGACAAATAATGTTTTCCATCAAAATTACCGACTTGCAAACTTTTCTACAATGTTTATATTTAAATATGAGCTAAAACAATATTACAGTATTACACTTGGCTTATACAGATATTTGTGAAATTACAGTTGATTCGTTATTCAGCTAGAAAATGGCAACTTGTAACTCTATTAATTACTATCTCCCACATTCACAACTACTTTTGGCTAAATCTTGCACAAATGTTGTTTTCTATTTTATGGTACGATATGGTCTGTTTGGTTTGTATATAAACTCCAGTATGTTTGAAATACATGATTCATATTGAAGAGGCTAAGATTGGTGCTCTAGACTTAATAGGCAAGGCTAGGTGGGAAGCAGGACCGATAAAAGCTCTAGATTGCTCGTAATTGTTTTATATGTGATTGGTTCGTTTGATAATTCACTGTTCTCTAATTAACAGTATCATTACATTATACATTGAAAGAGGTCTAAACCCACAAGTTATAACAACTCTAGTTTAGTGAATAGTACTGGGACTCAAAACAATTGGCAACCAACACCAAAGTCAGAATTTTCAATACGAATGTCAAGACAGTTCTACTATATGGGGTAGAAACCTGGAAAACCACGAAAGCCATCATCCAAAAGATACAGGTGTTTATTAACAGTTGTCTACGCAAAATACTTCGGATCCATTGGCCGGACACTATTAGCAACAACCTACTATGGGAGAGAACAAATCAGATCCCAGTGGAGGAAGAAATCAGGAAGAAGTGCTGGAAGTGGATAGGACACACATTGAGGAAAGCACCGAACTGCGTCACAAGACAAGCCCTCACATGGAATCCTCAAGGTCGAACGAGGGGAGGAAGACCAAAGAACACATTAAGCCGAGAAATGGAGATAGACATGAGAAAAATGAACAAGAATTGGCTGGAACTAGAAAAGAAGGCCCAGGACAGAGTGGGTTGGAGAATGCTGGTCGGCGGCCTATGCTTCATTGGGGGTAACAGGCGTAAGTAAGTAAGTAAGTAAGTACTATGAATAGTATAATCATCTAAAATTTATGAAAGTTCAGCGTTTAATATCTGATGAGTTTGAGTATGAACATAGTTGATCAACCTAAAATAGACCCAAAAGAAAAATAAACATTAGATTACCTTGCCGAGTGAGACACGTTCACCTTCTGGTGAAATCATTGCCAATATATCATTGGTATAAACAGGTTCATCTAAAAAGAAAAAAACAGAATGGAACGATTGTTTTTAAAAAGGATACTAACTAGTTAGTTAAATTATAAAAAATAAACATAAACAATCTTGAAAAGAATCAATAGGGATACTCTACCCCTAATTCAGGGTCTGAAAAGTCGGAAAAATGAAAATTTTTCAAATGCGATAAAAATGATCTTGGAGATGTTGTAATAGTATTCTGACAGCAGACAATGGATGTTAAGTGTTCTTCAAGCCCTAACGCTTCAGCCTGAGCTATTTTGTTTACTATCCTATATATGTGTTGTATGCAATATAAGCTATATTGTTATGTTGAGCTAAGTATCTCATATGAGACTGGATGTTCACATTTGATATTGTGGATGGTTCAGCCTTTTTCTGTGACAAGTTTTGCTCACTATTCATGAACAAAATTGATTTGCTGGTTGACCAATTTCATTCATATTGGTGGTTGCTTCTCAGTGTTCTCAAGGGTGATTGTCATTGGGACATTGTGAGTTATATCGCCATTGCTGACATTAATGATTTTGACTGTCGTGTAAGTGGAATAGATCAACTTTGGTCTATTCGTGATGTGTACAATTGATTCACGCAATCATTGATTGGAATAAATATACATGTGACATGAATGTGTATATGAATGATGCGAATGGTCCACCAGAGTGTTTGGTACCAGTGTGGTTGAGCCACAGTATTGAGCAGTACTATTCATATTGTAGCGTTAAAGTCTATATGGTGTGCGGTTCTCCTTTGAAGCGGGATTGAGCTGTACTGTTCGGGTTAAGTCTCAGTGGTATCTGGCTCTCCTGTTATACGGGATTGACCTGTACTGTTTGGGCTGTTACGTGAAATTTTGGATGGTGTCTGGTTCTCCTGTGAACCAATGTAAAATTACCCCGGCTGACAGAGGTATATTGTATAACTATATTATATAACTATAATTTATAAATGACATTTAAGTGACACTAAATTGACCTTGAGAATATCAACCTAGTAACTAGGAATAAATGAGGTTTATAAACCAGTGTGAGGAATTAGATCGATTTATGGTTTTCATCACGAACTGACATTAGCTAAAATGCTGGAACGGTATCAAGCCAAATTAATGGACGAAATTATACAATCGTATTTATAGGTAATTTTTCACATGTAGTAGTCTGTACGAAAATAGAAGAATATTAAACGGTCGTCCAGTGCTTCCAGGTTTCTCATGGTGGTCTAGCTTCAATTGACTCATGATTTCAACTAATGAAAATGCTAAAATCTCCACAAAACCCCTTCTGATAATTCATAATCAGTTAATAAATACCTTAATTATTAGGGAGAAATACAAAAGGTGATACTACACTACAAAACGTATGCTGTGTACTGGGTAGCATAATCAATGAACGTGGAAGATCAGATGCAGGTGTAAAGGCAATGATTGGGAAAGTAAGGACAACGTTTTTATAGTTGAAGAACATATGGAACTAAAAAAACTGTCAACTGACATCAAAATAGTTCAACTGTATGGAGATAAAACTATTACAATTAACATCAAGAAAGTACAAGTATTTATAAATATTTGTTTATGCAAAATACTGAATATCCATTGACCGGATAACATCAGCAACAACCAACTGTGGGAAGGGACAAACTAGCTTCCATCTGAGGAGGAAATTAGGAAAAGACGTTGGAAGTGGATAAAATATACATTGAGGAAATCATCAAACTGCATCACGGGGTAAGCGCTCCCTTGGAATCATGAATGAAAACAGAAAAGAAAAAGACGAAAGAACACATTGTTTTGAGAATTGGAGTCAAACATGAAAGCAATGAATAGCAACTCCAGGATATACCTCTTGAAGTCAGTCACTAGTGAGCATATGTTGATTAATATCAGAAGGTGAGTCCCACAATAGGACGAAACAGCCGTCCAGTGCTTCCAGGTTTTCCATGGCAGTCTAGCTTCAATTAACTCATAATCTTAACCATTGAAAATAAATAATAACCATGGTTATTTTAACAACAACAAAAAAAAAGAAAAAAATAAAAGAGAAAGACGAAAGAACACATTGCTTTGAGAATTGGAGTCAAACATAAAAGCAGTGAATAGCACTTGAAAACAACTGGAAAGGATTGTCCAGAACAGAGTTGGATGGAGAATGCTGGTGAGCGGTCTATGTTCCTTTATGAGAGGTAACATGTGTAAATAAGTAAATAACTATGCTGTGTACCAATTTTGAACAAAGTTCACACTTACTTGATACACAGAATACCATCCTCAATAAATATTGTAGTGATGTAAAATCCCTAATATACTGAACATAATATCATAGCAAAAACAAAACGTATTTTATACTGAACACTTATATAACAACAGAAATAATATTATTTAAGAAATTACAATGGAATAATCTACCAGGAATTAATATAGATCTTTTTCGGTGTATACTTAAATAATGCGTTAACCAATGATATGTATAATCTCAACCTAACAAATATTCATCATCAATATTCAATGCCCCCAAATGCCAAATACACATGGGCTCAAGGATCCTGAAGGAACACATGGAGTATGAACCAATTATTAATTAGTGACTATTATGGGATTGCATCTTCTGCCATTGCTCCACTGTCTTGTGAATCAGAATTTTAGATTAAAGTCTTCGGGTTTGACCCTCTAAAAAAACCATCTGCTTCAGTCTAGGCACCCGGAAAGTATCATAGTCCATACACAAATAATTGAACTTGTGTGGCCCATATACCCCTTTTTCCCATTATTTATATGTTCAAATAAATAAATAATATCAGAAGGGTTTTTGTGGAAACTGTAGTAATTTTTATGGTTAGGATCATGAGTCAGTTGTAGCTAGACCACCATAGAAAACCTGGAAGCACTGGACGGCTGTTTCGTCATATTGTGGGACTCCTCTTCTGATATTAATCAACATATGCTCACTAGTAACTGACTTCAAGAGACATATCCTGGAGTTCTAGTGAGAAGTAGTGACCAATGGAGTTCAACCAGGTCTGTTGTGTGATAGTAACTCACTGATGTCAATGATGGATGTGTCAATCAATTTGGTGGATTAGTTGAAGTAAGACATTAACACCATTGCATACCGACTGACTCAGTGGTCTAATGGTTCTGGGTTTGAATCTCGCATGTGGAGAGGTCGTGGATACGCACTACTGAGGAATCCCACGATAGATCGAAATGGCTTTGAAGTCCTTCCAGGTTTTCCATGGTGGTCTAGCTTCAATTGATTCATAATCTTAACCATTGAAAATAAATAATAACCATGGTTACTTTAACAACAACAACAACAAAAAGAAAAAAATAAATAAAAGAGAACAAAAAAAAAAAACTCAATATAATTGAATTATGATTACCTTTATTTATAGAATCTGTTGTTATACCAAATTCTAATTTTATAATAGCATCAAAACATTTTCTTAAATGTGGTTGTACAGCTAATGGATTACGTGTTTGGGCTAAAATTTCTAATAATTCATCATTAGATAAAAAATAAAAACGTGAAAATAATGAACGTTTTGATTCTAAATATGCTTCAAGACATTTTTGTATTTGATCTAATAATTGATTATTATTACGTAATGTATCATATAAACCAGGTTGTGTAGCAGCACGCATTGCTAATGGAACTTTTTGTATTTTACGCATTATATCTTTATAGGATTTATCAACAGACATAAAACTTTTTGATTCACTAGGTAATTGACGTTGTATATCTGGAGCAGAAAATATACTTTCTAAATATAACCAACTTTTTTGACATTGTATCCATTCATCCTAAAGAAATAAGAAAAAAATTTCTTTTTTTTTTTTTTATTTATTTAAACAATCAATAATTATCAATTTAAGCGTTGTGGAGATTGTTAAGTTATTGATTAAGTTCATGAATCGATTAATGTTTAGATCAACATTGAAAAGCTGGAATCATTGGACAGCCGTTTCATCCTATTGTGGAACTCTTTAGCAGTACGCATCCACGATCCCGCTTGCAGGATTACGAACCCAGAGCCTTCAGTCTTGCACGTGAACGCTTAACCTACTGGACCACTGAGCCTGTATCCAACGATATTAATGTCTAACCTAAACCAATCTACGAAGTTACGCGACCATCTTCCATTGTATTGAGGTAGACACTTGTTTCTACCCGACACGGATTACCTCCACTGGTCACAAATTTTCACCAGAACTCCTGTGGAATCCCACAATAGGACGAAACGGCCGTCCAGTGCTTCCAGGTTTTCAATGGTGGTCTAACATCAATCGGTTCATGATCTTAATCAATAATTATCAGTATAAAGTTGTAGATTATACGAAGTTACAGATTAATCTAAGACAATCATCAAAAAAAACAACCTGGAATTAGTAAATAACCATCTTATTCTAGTATAGAACTGATCAGTAGCAGGCAGTTATGACTCCAGGATTACAAATAGAACCTAGGACCTTAGGTATTGCATGTAAATACTTAAGCTCTATAATACTCTGAGCAGGATCGTGCGATGTCATGAATTCATTGGAGTTAAGCTAGTACATCATCGGATTCTAGTTTAGATGTCTAAAGGTTAAATGTTTACACACAAGACCGAAGGTCCTGGGCTTTGTTCCTGGTTATGGAATTGTTGATGTATACTATTGAGTAGTAGTCTTGTACTAGGACAAAACGATCGTTCATTGTTTCCAGGTTTTTTTGATGGTTATCTAACAGAAGTCAGTTCGTGATCTCAATAAAAATGATTTAATAAAACATGTACCAATATGCTAGTCTGTAATACTGATTATTTTTCATAATAAGAAAATTATTGAACGTAATTCTTCATAGTTAACGTTTTCAGTGATACAAAGAGTGGATAGGATTACATAATCAAAGATCTTCATTTATTAGATTCTTGTCAATTATTATTAAGTATCAATGTCACTACTGTGAAACGTCACCTAATCCTACTATGAAAACAAATAACTTAGCATTCTGACTTATGTCGTAGGTAAATGCTGGAAATATACTTTCTGAATGTTTTAGGAGATATATGTGATAGATTTTATTTCTGGAAGTTTATTACAAACGTATTCAATGAATTGACAGTCCTCGTGATCAGTGTAACCTTTGATGCAGACTATTTGGTCGGAGTCCGCCGGTGACTATCGTAACTAATGATTTGAGACTCTGGGTGAAATGGCTCAGAATCGATCACAATGGTTTAGGTGTATACAATTTCTGTCTTCTTTTTTTCTACGAACTAATTCTTCCTTTCTGTACTATATCCTTACATAAAATCTTTCTTTTATTTATCAAACCATTGAGTTAACTGCTTCTATGAATCCGGTGTTCGCCTTGCTTTGCTGATGATGTGTGGCAACTTGAACCGATGCATGCATGGGCCTGGTCCAACGTTGTAACTAACTAACTGACTGAGTACACCAACCAACCACTCACAATTTATATAGCCATTGAAAACTAAAAAGCATTAGACATCTGTTTTGTTATAGTAAGGAACTTCCCAGTAGTGGGCATTCATGACTCAGATAAAAGTCAAACTCAGAACCTTTGCGACTCGCGGCAATCATTTAACTTTATGATCATGGAGTTGGTATCTGATAGTTTATATTTCGAGCTTCACTCAATTCATAGTATTTCGCAACGGCCATCCACTGTCATTGATGATATCTGTCTCACTTCTAACTTGCTTGAATTCCTCTGATCACAAATTCTCGAGTTACTCCTATCCTGATGCTAAATTAGTTAGTTTTATTGCATTTAAATACTGAAGAAACATCAGCAAGCATCGATGATATTTTATTCATCTAAACATAATCAGCCTAGCAATCTCGTTCTTTTCTCCTTATGCCCTAGAAGAAATACTCTATTCTATTGTACTTCACTCGTTAATATACTATTTTTAGAATCAGAAGGGGTTTTGTGGAGATTGTAGTAATTTCAATAATTGAGACCATAAGTCGATTGAAGCTAGACCACCATAGAAAACCTAGAAGCACTGCAAAGCCGTTTCGTTCTATTGTGGGACTCCTCAGCAGTGCGCATCAACGAAATCGCTCCCTGCGAAATTCAAACCCAGGACCTACTGCATTCACGAGTGAGCACTTAACCACTAAACCACTGAGCTATCTGGCATCCAGTGGTGTTCATGTCTTGCTTCAACTAATCCACGAAAATGAGCGACACACCCATCATTATCATCAGTGAGTTACTTTCCCACAACAGACCTGGTTGAACTCCACTGGTCACTACTTCTCATTAGAACTGCAGGATATACCTCTTGAAGCCAGTCACTAGTGAGCATATATTGATTAGAATCAGAGGGGTTTTGTGGAGATTGTTGTTCGAAACCCGTAATTCGGGGTCGTGGATGCGCATTGCTGAAGAGTCCCACAATAGAACGAAACGGCCTTGCAGTGCTTCCAGGTTTTCTATGGTGGTCTGACTTCAATCGACTTATGATCTCAATTATTGCAAATACTATTTTTTATTGATGATCGACTAAAATGTCTACGAAATATTCGAGTCCCACGACATATAGACTGATTCTGTTTTATCAAGTACATAACATTTTACATAAATAAGTAAATAACAACTAAGTTACCAAGGTTCTTCCAAATAATTCTAGTAAAGTTTGCCATTCATCAACACGCTGTTTTATTGGACCAACATGACGTGATGAAGCAATTGTTGATATACTAATATTAGAATCATCCCATAATTGTTGTATTTCATCAGTTCCACCAATAATAAAAACATCTTTACTATCTTTATATGGTAGAACAATGAATTCAGTTGATTTCCATGATTCTTCAACCTTGAATCAATTGAATGAATAAATAAATGAAAACATAAATAACTAATTAGTTAAATAATATCACATGTTATAAATGAATATGAAACAAGTGAGCAACATATCAGGACAACGAGATCAAATTATGAAAAGGTATAACAGAGTTGGTCGCTTAGTAGTAATACTGTTGGTGCCTTGGCGGGTCGATGGAGCTATGGAGGCCAGCGCGCCGCAGACTCGACATTTTCACGGAGGGTGTAGTGTAGACTGCAGAAAAGATGAATGCGGCACGGTGGGCATGAACCACCGCAAGAACGAATGCTTTAAAGGGGGGAAGAGTGTGATGTAGGTTGTTTATATACACACAAGTAGTATATAACGGTGGTCAGGCATAGAATGTATTTCAGTAGAAGGTCGATGAGAAAAGAACGGGAACGGAACGTAATTGGTATGAAGATGCATGAAAAACAAAATCTGAGACAATGAATTGATGTTCTCAACAGGAACAGTCAAGTCTAATGTGATGGATTGATATTTTTTGCAAATTAACAATTCACTAATATGGTTCTCAAATTTTATTGAGAAGCTCTGTAATTTCGTGTCAATTACATTCGATTGTACCCACTGATGTTCTTGTTCACTACAACATCAGTGATAGTATTAAGATTAAACAAAGGATATATAATTAGAAACGATAAAGACAAATTCTTACGAGGTGACTTTTAACATCACCGATATTAATATCAGAACGAATATAGTAAAAGTGGTAATTGCCGAAATTATTTTATGGATTATTGTCGTATGTATTGGATTATTATATTTCTAAACTCCGCTACTTATAAGCTTCTACTCTCTATCACTCATGGCATGATTATATATAAGGTAAAATTCTTTATTTGAAGATTGCTACAGTCTGATTATTCATTAATGCTTTAAATATAACAATAGAAGATTTAGTTGATGCTGTCTTCTCTCATCGAACTCAATAGACGCGGGGGGGGGGAAGTAGAACTTGTATCTAGGTAAATAAGTCATTCGATTACCATATGACTGCTGAAGATCAGTCGTTGTCGATTAAAGTGAATAAATTGTTTAAACTTAAGATGATGGTCTTCAAGCGAAGAAGTATACTCAAAGTAGAAATTACAATTCGGATTCTTAATGGCAGACTTTTTCTATTGATATATTAAGATGTGTATAACGACCACAGCAAATGTGAAAAGTGAAAGATTGAAAAAAAGAGGTGAGAATAAAATGTTTTGTACTTGAACATGTTTAGTAATCAACTTCTCAACACCCTTTCCTAGTCCAAAAAAAATCTTCTACTCTTGATCTTTTGACAGTATAGGCTTGAAAGTAGATTCAATAATTATCCATTTAGGTAATCCTTTGAGAAAACGGGGATTACAATGAACGTCATCCAATGCTACGCGCCTACCAATGACTACAATGAAGACGCTAAAGATCAATTCTACGATAGGCTGCAGTCAATCGTCGAGAAGTGCCCAACAAAAGACCTGACCATTCTGATGGGAGACCTAAATGCCAAGGTTGGAACTGACAACACCGGATATGAAGAGACCATGGGAAGACACGGACTGGGAGAAAGGAACGAAAATGGTGAGAGATTTGCAAATCTATGTGCCTTCAATAAACTGGTCATAGGCGGGACTATATTCCCACATAAACGCATACACAAAACCACATGGACTTCACCGGATCACACCACACAGAACCAAATCGACCATATCTGCATCAACAAAAAGTTCAGGAGGACGATGGAGGACGTGAGAACAAAGAGAGGAGCTGATATAGCATCAGATCATCACTTGCTGGTCGCCAAGATGAAATTGAAACTCAAGAGGCACTGGACAACGGGGAGGACAATATCACAAAAATTTAATACGGCTCTTCTTCGGGATACTGACAAACTCAACAAATTCAAGATAACCCTCAGCAATAAGTTCCAAGCCTTTCATGATCTACTCAATGGAGAAGGAACTACTATGGAGAGCAACTGGAAAGAGATAAAAGAAGCAATCACTTCAACATGTCATGAGGTTCTGGGCCAAAAGAAGCACCATCACAAGGATTGGATCACGGTCGATACACTGGATAAGATTCCAGAAAGGAGGAACAAGAAAGCAGCAATCAATACCAGTCGAACAAGAGCAGAAAAAGTCAAGGCACAGGCTGAATACACAGAAGTAAACAAGCAAGTGAAAAGGAGCATCAGAACTGACAAACGTAAATATGTGGAAGATTTGGCATTGACGGCGGAAAAGGCTGCCAGAGAAGGAAACATGAGACAACTGTATGAAACAACAAAGAAACTCTCTGGAAATCACCGTAAACCAGAACGACCAGTGAAAAGCAAGGAAGGCAAGATAATCACCAACATTGAAGAACAACGAAACAGATGGGTAGAACACTTCAAAGAACTCTTGAATCGACCAGCCCCACTGAACCCACCCAACATCGAAGCAGCACTCACGGACCTCCCAATTGATGTTGGCGCACCAACAATTGAAGAGATCAGCATGGCTATCAGACAAATCAAGAGTGGCAAAGCAGCAGGACTAGACAGCATTCCAGCAGAGGCACTGAAAGCAGACGTAGCGGCAACTGCAAGGATACTCCACATTCTCTTCAGAAAGATCTGGGATGAGGAACAGGTACCAAAAGACTGGAAAGAAGGACTTCTAGTCAAAATACCAAAGAAAGGCGATCTCAGCAACTGTGACAACTACAGGGGAATCACTCTTCTTCCAATACCAGGAAAAGTCTTCAACAGGGTATTGTTAAACAGGATGAAGGACTCCGTAGACGCCCAACTTCGAGACCAACAGGCAGGATTCCGTAAGGATAGATCGTGCACAGACCAAATCGCAACTCTACGGATCATTGTGGAACAATCAATTGAATGGAATTCATCACTCTATATCAACTTCATCGACTACGAAAAAGCATTTGATAGCGTGGACAGAACAACCCTATGGAAGCTTCTTCGACACTACGGCGTGCCTCAGAAGATAGTCAATATCATACAGAATTCCTACGATGGATTAAACTGCAAAATCGTGCATGGAGGACAGTTGATAAAGTCGTTCGAAGTAAAGACTGGTGTCAGGCAAGGTTGCTTACTCTCACCCTTTCTCTTTCTCCTGGTGATCGACTGGACATGAAGACATCAACATCTGAAGGGAAGCACGGGATACAGTGGACATCTAGGATGCAGTTGGATGATCTAGACTTTGCAGATGATCTGGCTCTTCTATCGCATACACAACAACAAATGCAGGAGAAGACAACCAGTGTAGCTGCAGCCTCAGCAGCAATAGGTCTCAATATACACAAAGGGAAAAGCAAGATTCTTCGATACAACACAGCATGTACCAATCCAATCACAATTGACGGAGAAGCTTTGGAAGATGTAAAAACCTTTACATATTTGGGCAGTATCATCGATGAACACGGTGGATCTGATGCAGATGTGAAGGCACGGATTGGCAAAGCAAGAGCAGCATATCTACAACTGAAGAATATCTGGAACTCAAAACAATTAACAACCAACACCAAAGTCAGAATTTTCAATACAAATGTCAAGACAGTTCTACTGTATGGCGCGGAAACCTGGAAAACTACGAAATCCATCGTCCAAAAGATACAGGTGTTTATTAACAGTTGTCTACGCAAAATACTTCAGATCCACTGGCCGGACACTATAAGCAACAACCTACTGTGGGAGAGAACAAATCAGATTCCAGTGGAGAAAGAAATCAGGAAGAAGCGCTGGAAGTGGATAGGACACACATTGAGGAAAACACCCAACTCCGTCACAAGACAAGCCCTCATATGGAATCCTCAAGGTCGAAGGAGGAGAGGAAGACCAAAGAATACATTACGCCGGGAAATGGAGATAGATATGAGAAAAATGAACAAGAATTGGATGGAACTAGAAAAGGAGGCCCAGGACAGAGTGGGTTGGAGAATGCTGGTCGGCGGCCTATGCTCCATTGGGAGTAACAGGCGTAAGTAAGTAAGTAATCCTTTGTTTTGTAACAGTCTTAAGGTTTAACTAGATGTTGATTATTCCGATTATTTTCGGTATTTTCTTAACTTTTGAAAACTATTTGAAGATTTTTTCAACAATACAGAAAGAAGAATAGACGAAGTATTTAACAATAATTCCAAATCCTTCTAAACAACTACATTTGACCCTATTTATCTTCCATACGATCTACACATACACACACACACACAAAGTCAATTTCAACCCTGCTATTTCATATTACAAATGTATACCTTTTCATATCCACCTTCTGATGCATACATTAATACAGTGACAGGTTATATAAATTCATCACAATTGATTGATCACTGGGTGGTGATCAATGTCATGCGTGTCTAGTCCTTATTATTAGTGCAGATCGAATTCTATCGACCATGTTGCACGAAACCCAGGTCCACGGTTTCCTGTTGACTACCTCCAACCATCATTTAATCTATACAAATTCAACTTGATCAAGAATAACTTGACATTGATATGTTTAGACGTATTATGATTTTAAATTGATTTTACTTGAATATTCACTAAAGATACGGTTGAAGAAGATGCAAAACTGCTGACTGAAACACTAATATCAACATCAAATTCTCTTCTTAATTCTGATCCGAAGAAAAGTGTTTATACATCTCTACCATTTAGTGGTGAATCTATCAATATGATTTTAAGGCAAATTAAAAGAAGTCACCGAGAAAAACTGGTTGTGATTGAAAGGACTAAGCTCATAGTTCCAACTAGATCTAGACAATGCATAAAGGACTACATCACATCACATCCCATCCCATCGCATTTACCAATTTATATGTTTGTGTGAACAGAAATAGTAAATGAATGATATAGTCAATGGTTATGGAATATATGCCTAGATGGCGTTAAACTCAGTTCGTGTCAAATAAAAGTGGGATGTAGGAAAACCTGTTCATCGATATTATAACACATAACTGATACGGGGTACAGAAATGAACACTTAATACAGCTTTTAAACCGTTGTATAAAAATTGTCAAAGATGAATTCTGAAGTTAACAAAAGCCCTGACTATTATCAAATTCAAACGGTCCTATGCGATAAATTCCCTGATGTCAATTTTTTTTCTCTTTTATATTTACAATGATCTGTTTGTTTACTTGAATCTTTATTGAATTGACTTTTATTAATTTCCATATAAAATACCTTGACAATAATATCTATGATCCATTTGTTCAAAATGTATCCATCATATTTTTCAGATCAATTCTGTTTTCCTATTGTTCATTCGATAGTCAACAAACGTTTCTAGTCACTTTCTAAACTTTTCAAATGTTTATGGTTTTCAATGATTAAGATCATCAGTCAGTTGAAGCTAGACCACCTTGGAAAACCTGGAGGCACTGGATGGCTTTTCGTCCCATTATGCGACTACTCAGCAGTGCACATCCACGACTTCACTCCCTGCAAGATTCAAACCCAGGACCTACTGGTTTTGCGCGTGAGCACTTAACAACTAGACCACTGAGCCGGCCAGCCGGCATCCAACGGTGTTAATGTCTAACTTCAACTAATCCACCAAATCGAGCGACACATCCACCATTGTCTTCAGTGAGTTACTATCCCACAATAGACCTGGTTGAACTCCACTGGTCACTACTTCTCACTAGAACTGCAGGATATACATCTTGAAGCCAGTCACTAGTGAGCATGAGTTGATTATTGTCAGAAGGGGTTTTGTGGAAATTGTAGTAATTTCAATGATTAAGATCATGAGTCAGTTGAAGCTAGACCACCATAGGAAACCTGGAAGCACTGGACGGCCGTCTCGTCCTATTGTGGGACTCCTCAGTAGTGCGCATCCACGACCTCGCCCCCTGCGAGATTCGAACCCAGGATTTTCATTTTGTATTGTTTATTTGAATGTTCTCATTGATGTCTAAGACTGCAACTGATCAATCTCGGACTGAACAACAACTACAGGATGTACGTGTAGTGAACGAGAACAGAAATGGGGGACAATTGAATGTATTCGAATATGAAATAACAGAATGTCCTAGTGAAATCTGAGAACCATATAGTAAATACTTAATGTGAAAAATGTCAATCAATCGTCTCAGACTTCATTGTTCCTTCGTTTCTACAACAATCATTCTCTTTTCTCGTTCTTTTTTCTTTGATCTCCTTCACCTTCTGCCTCCAGGCACTTCACTTTTGATTGTTGATACACACTGCCTATATCTGTCGACATCAGTAGTACATCACACTGGTCCCCCGTTTAAATCGGTCATTCTTGCGGTGGTTCTGCTTGCCGTGCTACTTTCTTCTTCTCTGCAGTCCGTGCCACACTCTCCGTCAAAATGTTGAGTCTATGGCGCGCTGATGCTCATAGCTCCGTCGACCCGCCTAGTCATCTGAATCTGATGTCCATCTGACACCCAGAACATTGAACGTCTGCGCTCCACTGACCTTCTGAGCCATCTTCATCCGATGTTCGCTCGCCAGCAGCACTTCCGACCGCTCCACTCCGTCGATAGCACCCGCTGCGCCAATGCTACTGTGCCAGAACATTCCGCTCGACATCACCTCCTCGCACCAGACCGCCCCGACTAGAGCCTCAGCTCTAGGTCCTCAACCTCGTCTGCAGGTACAGGTACATCCAAATGACGAGTCCCAAAATAGAATGAAACCTGCATCCTAGATTACACTGCTAGTCAACACTCATCTTTGCTTATACTGTTTATGATTTTCTTTAGATGAATGTAACCAACTCTATTAATGACACCATAATTGCCATCAAATAATCCTATAAGTTCATTTGGATTTATGATTTAGTCATCGGTCTGTTTCAAATATGGTTTTTAATATTTATGATCATTCCATTACTAAATAAAGACATATTTTTACTTACCTTTTTAAGTAACATTTCCAAACTTGATTCAGAACTAGCTTGACCTGAGATTTCTTGAATTTGTTCAGCTTTATTAAAAGCTTTTAATTCATTTAAATAGCCTAAACTTAAAGGTGTTTCCAATTCCGACATTTGAAAACCGATTAGTTCTTCTAACATTTTCCAATGACGTGGTTTTAATGATGAATTGCGTAAATCCATAATAGTAGTTAACTTTAAAAAAAATAAACATTTTGATGATGATGATGATGATGACGATGTCGATCATGGTGATCATGATCATGTTTAGCGCTTAATACCATCTTTTCAAAACGAATTAATATTAAGCGAAAAGTCAAGTGTTGAAAGAATAAGGTTCATTTCTGATAAAATGTCATTTATGCATACAAAAAACGATGACTGATATATAAGTGGTTAGGAGATGCAGAAATCATAAATCGTTGACTTGACAATGAATTTCATGTTTAAAGATTAGAGCGGGTTATTTCTCTCCTTATTGTATCAAGGCCCGACCGTCGTTGCTACCTTGACGTGGTGGTCGGGCTTGCCTATCGTGATGCAGCAACTGAGCTATACTGGCTGGAACAACCGTTCCTCAAGGTCCTACCATGCCAGACAGATTGGTTGAAGAGCGATAAGACTAAAAGCAACAAATCCAAGGTCCGAAGGCGAAGTCATACTACTGACTGTACAGAGGTGTGACGTAATAAGGTGTTTTCTTCAGACAACCAGCATAACAGCGATGCTGCCTTCTCACAAGGAGGTGTGAGGTTAGAAGAGGTCGAACCTAAAAATACACACCTCGCCTTATCCCACGGATATCCATCTCCGGAGGTAAGGTCTCAACAAGTACTTAGGTAACACAAAAACTACTCATAAAAAGTTCATGTGTGACTGACCTCAAGCAGCTGTCGCTTAGGCACTGCGGTCACGCTCTCAGGTCACTATGACCACCTCTAATCCAATTTCCTTTTCAAGTACCTCCAGAAGAACTTTTCGACGGTGTGGGCAACCGGGAAGTGATAACCGCCCTCATACCTCTAACAGCACTCAAGATCAATGTATTGTATCAAGGACTTATCATAAAACATACCTTTGAATGAAATTAAAACTTGTTTAGTACTGTTGAAATTTACCTATGATCAGAGCAACAATCTTACAGGAAAGATATTTCAGCATCAAGTTAGATATCAATATCATTTCTAGTCAGCCATTACCAAACATTTAGGACATTTTGATTGCGATCATGAAGTGATCAATCTTAGATCACCATTGGAAACCTGGATTATGGGTGAACACTGCTAAGGAATGCCATACTGGAACGAAACGACCATCCAGTGCTCTTAGCTTCTCAGTGGTGGTCTAACATTGATCGACTTATGATCTCAATTTAAACTCAATAACCGCCAAAACCCCATACTGATATTTAAAGCATTCTTAGTTTTATTATGAACTTTGATAATATACGTTTACTTATTAAGTCCATATGTAAAAAGTAAGAGACATTGAATAGACATTTTCAGATCTTCAACTCATACGAAGATAATGAAAAATGTACCATTTTTTGGAAAATGTTCCTCTGTAGTATATAATAAACTAGACGAATATAAATATTTGTAGAACAGTAATCGAGTGCCCCCGAATGCCCTGGTATGGCCGAGAGTGGGGAGATTAAGCTCTTCCTACAATAGTTCTTTCTACATGAACAACGGAATATGTAGACAATATTATATTTTTGTACTCCAGCATTCATAGAATACCTTCCGGTTTAAAGAAATGGACAGGAATATTTAGTCCCAACTTTTGAGCATACTGACATTCAGAATTCCTGAAGGTACTGATTTTCTCCATCAATTGTGAACACATGTCAACAACTGCAATAATAACTTATTAGTGAACTATCTGGATTAGAACAGATAGCTTATCAAACTGAGATATTTATACTGATTCATCACTGAGAATTAATTGATGTTATATATATTCACTTGGTGTTGTTTTACTTGTACCTTCCCATTGTTACTTAGGACTTCAATTGATCAGTCTCATGTTGACATATGTGTATCCTGTACGGATTGACTTGATATAGCCTTAAGTCCTAATCCATTGTACAAACAGGTAGTTATCAGGACTTAGTATCTAAATGAAGAACGCGATAGTGTTTGTAGCGAATAGTATTGAGTTCGAGTCTAGAAGTAAACATCAATTATGGGATGCAGGTACATCCAGCTGACGAGAACTAAATAGGACGAAACGCGAGTCCTTCATTTCACTGCTAGCCAACATACATCTTTACTTATGATGTTATATATATGTCTAGTTCTTAGAGGTGATTGAATTTTGTCCATAAGGTGTCAATTTAACTATTTATATAAGTAATTCGCTAATATCAATTGCATTTTACCATCTAAGATAAAATACACTGTAAAGTTTGATCAATTAGAATTGTAGGAGGAACTGATATGCTTGTTTCATTACTAAGGATTATTTATTTATTTTTATTTGAACACATAAATATTGGTACAAGGAGGCACCAAATAGAGATATGCGCCACACAAATCTCATTTGATTTGTGTGAGAGCTGTGATACTGCCCGGGTTTACTTAGGGGGCCACACCCCGAGCCTTCGACCTGAACATCTGATCCACGCAGTCCCATGGTAGCTGTTGACCAACGATTGGTTCATACGCCATTTGTTCCCTCAGGATACTGAAGCCCATGTGCACCATTGGTTTGGAATCCGGTTACAGTGCCGGACATTCGCTTTTTGTCCTCTCATTTTCGTAGACAACGCCCCCATCACGAGAAGGCAGTGAATAGGACTTCTCTAGCAGAGGCTATATACGCGTGGCCGTGTGAGAGGATTTCAGTAGAGATAGCAGGCCCACCTCACTCTCAGACATACCAGGGCATTCATGGGTCATTACTAAGGATCAGATAATAAGTTATTCATATACATGAATGAAACCTACTTTTACTCTCATATCTTCTACTTTTTCTTTTAATAATGGTACAACAGTATTTGGTGGTAAACCTTTTTCCATTAATAAAATTGATTTTACATATTTCATAGTTGTATTAGTTAAATTTTCTGGATTTAATTGAAAAAATTCAATATTCATCCATTCATTTATTGTTTTATCCCATTCATCAATTGAATTCCATAGTAAATATTTTAATTTCATTTCATTAATTATTAAATCTAATTCTTCAAAACGTGGTGATTCTACCTTAAAATGAGAAATAAAATAAAAAAAAAAAAGAAAGAAAGAAAGAAAGAAAAGAAAAATCAATAAAATTTATGAATAATATAGTATTAGTTACTATGTTAATTTTTATGTTTATGAATTGAAGAACTATTATGTTAATGGACTAGTGAAGTTTACACATCACGATGATTTTATCTAATTATATTGATCAAAGCATTAGTTACTTGAAGTTCTCTACTAATGTTAAGATATTTGATTGAAAAGTTATGAAATGAGAAAAAAAAGCAAACTTAAGATCTTTGCTTCATTTGTGGCGTAGGCGAGATATCTGTCTATCAATCAAAAGACGTGTTTACTGCACAACAGTTTGTTTCGTCCTAATTTATGGCAGTGAAACATGGCCGGTAAGAGTAGACGATATTCATAGGTTACTAGTATTTGATCATAGGTGTCTTCAAAGCATTACTCGTATATCCTTGGACCACTGAGTAAGTAACTCAGCTGTTAGGAAACAGGTACTGGGTAAGGATGGCAAATCAACTGATGAAGTGGTGAAACGTCATCAGGTGAGATGGCTGGGACATGTGTTACGTATAGCCAACCACCGACTTCCCCGATGTGCGATGTTTTGTGGTCTAGGAGTAGGTTGTAAGAAAGGTAGAGGTGGCCAGACCAAAACATGGCACAAATCCATGAAGTCACTGACAAGTGGAATGAGCCATGTAGGTAGGTGTAAACTAACGGGTTTGGGTCCGCGAAACGATTGCAACCAATGGTTAGAGACCTTGAATGAAATGGCTCAACATCGTTTGCAATGGTGTGCGCAGGTTCATCTACTCTGTGTTCTCTCAAACTCTAATCTTCTTCATTTCCTTCATTTTCTTTCCAAATTTATTCCACTGGATTATATTCCTTGAATAACATCATCAAACCCTAATGTCCCCTATTACTACTTATACTTTTACTACCTCTACCATTATGGGATTTGAATCGATAACTGAATCTCTGTGCTAATGTTGTATGTCAACTCGAACTGATGTACGTACGTACGAAGTTCCATGTTGTTATTGACTGACTGACTGACTGACTGAAACTTCAGATCTAAGAATGAAGTTACATTGTCATGATTGTATGGTGTTTCCTTTAGAAAATCGATATCTATAGAGACTCTGTATGTATATGATAAAAGGAAGGAACTAGAAAACATTGATTCTAAAAATAACACACCTTATCTGTAACATCATAATTATACATCATTAGCTTTAAAGTCTAAAAAATATTGAGATTAATTATTATTAGATACTACTTATAAATAATCAAAGCTAAAGTAGTAGAAAGGAACAACATATGAACTAGGTCTGAACAAGTCAGGTATGATAAAACTGTAGTAACGTCATGGTATAACAGAAGAACTTTAAAGAATTATAAAACAACATAAAATTAAACTATAATATAAAATGACCAATACATTTCGAAAAACTTCCCTTTATGTCAATATGGAACTTTGTTTACATATTAGGTTGTATCGATTGTGATACCTTCTATATTGGAGAGTCATCTCACGAAATGTTGACTTAAGCCAAAGAACATAATAGGTACACAAAAAAAACACCTAATAATCCTGTAGAACTAGATAGACTTCAAATCAAATCGATAATAGCAGTTCACACCATTCTCAACAACCATCAGTTCGATTTCAAAAAACATCAAAATATTCCAAAATGGTTTTTCCAATTACAAACAAAGGAGAGTAGCTGAAGCATTCCATATAATGCTTAATCCTATTGCTCTTAATAGAAAAGAAGGCCTTAATATGCATCCAACTTGGACTATCTATCTAAGATACCATATCTGATATTATTCACATTTCACACTGTTATCGTACTTACAAATTATACTCAATCGTTTCTCAATATGAAGGTCACATTTCTTCATCACTGACCTTGCACACGTACACAGATACAAATTTACATAAATGTCGTTTATAAATCACTCTGACCGGAAATGGCACGACATTGACTTGTTCCGTTCTGGTTTTGATAATTGATCGCACATAATATTCTTGCATTATTCTTTTGTACTATTTAAACTTGGCTTAATTTTGATTAGGTTATTTATTTACTCTCTGAAGAAGTAGCTTATATTGAGTGACGAAACATCTAATTTTTCTACTCATTGAAATATATTTATATCTATATTTATTTAAACTATAATCATTATGAACTGTTATCAATTAAAGGAAAAAAACGACTTATGTAAGGAATTATATCCATTCAATAGATAACACCGCCGCCACTGCCACCACCACCTTTGCCACCAACGCCACCACCACCACCGCCACCAATAACAACAACAACAACAACAAAACAGAACTTGAACAAAATGTAAACAAACTTAAGAATTGCTAACCTTTATAAGTTTTGGAAATCGTTTAATTAAATACTTCTAAAATATATTTACATAATGCTTTATTGATTTTAGCATAAAAACATTGATACAAGGAGGTACCAAATAGATTAATGCCATATAAATCATTCAATTTATATATATATATATATATATATATATATATATATATATATATTTCAGAATGTAGATCGAAAAAAAATGAAAAATCAACACAGTTGTTATAACTTGTGACCTGTGTGTCCCTATTTATTGTATAACATAACGATACCATCAATGAGAAAGCAGTGAACTAATGATCGGACCAATGAAGAACAGCCTAGAGTCCTGATTAGTACTGGTTACTGCCTAGTCCAGCCAGTTAAGTCTAAATCACTAATCTTAGCATCTGCAATATGAATCATTATATTTCAAACATACTAGATTCATATACAGACCAAACAGACAGCATCGTACATTATGATAAGAGAGACATGAATATGAATAGTTTAGTTACTTAACAATTATACGATAAAAATATATTTGCATAGTATTGGTCCATGAATAGATCCAGATTATTCACATCGGCATGTAACAACAGTCAATATAGTTTTAATAATAATGATCCAAGAATACATTTCACTTACCACAAATGATGAAGGTTTTACACCAGCTCGTGCAAGTATTTGATCCTAGAAATATGAAAAATATGAAATTTACAATTACCAAGCCCATATAAATGGTCTATGTATGGGAATGAATATATATATTTTTTGAATTCGATGCTTTATATTGTACTTTCGATTCACACCTATTCATATTAATTTAAACTTTCGAAACCTATATTACATCAAATCACTACTACTGTAGTGTATGCTACTGATGTTGACATGTATAAGTAGTATGTACCACAAATCAAGAGTAGAAGATTGAATTGAGTAGTTTTACAGGAGGTCGGTCGCCGCCTGGATAACCCAGTAGTAACGTCTCTGACTGTGAAACTGGGTGACACGGGATCGAATCCATCAGGGAGCACCAGTTCCCTCAAAGATTACAGGTACACTTTGATAACGAGTGCCAAGTAGCACGAAACCTGAGTTCAGGGTTTCCTATCGACTACCTCCAACCACCATCTAATCTCAACATAACGCACGCAATGATGAGTCACCTAGACTGGTAACGACATTGCAACTTGGTCGATAGCATTCGATCTGCTCTAATAAGGACTTGACATGCATGACATTGATCACTACCCAGTGATCAATCAATTGCGATGAAATAATGTATTTAATGTATGACTTTCATATTTTGCTAAGCCATTATGTGATTTTTCATTGAACAGTAAATTGGTTTCCAACCCCCCTCACTGAATTCTCAATACTACATAACTTCTAGTTATAGTTATATAATAGACCCATGTAAGCCGGGTTAATTTTATATTGGTTTTCAGGAGAACCAGACACCTTTCAGACTTTCACGTGACAATCCAAACAGTACGGCTCAATCTAGTTTGACAGGAGAGCCAGATACCATCCAGACTTAACCCGAGCAGTGCAGCCCAATCCATTCGAAGAAGAACCAGGCATCATTCACGCCTAAAATATATACAAGCCGAGCACTACAGTTCAATCCTGCTTCAAAGGAGAACCGCACACCATATAGACTTTAACTCTACAATATGAATAGTACAGCTTAATCCTGTGGTTCAACCACACTGGTACCAAACACATTGGTGGGCCATTCGCATCATTCATATACACATTCATGTCACATGTATATTTATTCCAATCAATGATTGCGTGAATCAATTATGCACAGCACTAACAGACCAAAGTTGATCTATTCCACTTACACGACAGTCAAAATCATTAATGTCAGCAATGGCGACATACTTCACAATGTCCCAATTATAATCACCATTGAGAACAATGAAAAGCAATAACCAATATGAATGAAATTCGTTAACCAGGTAATCAATTTTGTAAATGAACAGTTCGAACCATCCACAATATCAATGGCTAACCTCCAGTTGCATATGAGGTCTTCAGCTCGACATAACCAAAACTTCTACTCACACTATTATTACTACTACTACTGTATCACTAAAATTTCCAAAAACATTTTCTAGTTTATCTGAAATCATGTTTTGAATGTTTTATTTTCATAATCTATAAAACGAGATACCTAAGATTGTAGGTCATATTGACTCCATAACCTGTAGATTCTATGACAAAAATATCAACTTTTAACCAATGAAAGATATTTACAGTATTCAGTGTTTGTTGTTATTAAGCAAATTGAAGAATGCTTTCAACCCAGTATCTAGAACCAATTAAAGTTAATAGATTAGTGCGCATCCACGATACCACATTTTAGAATCGAGTCCAGAATCTCCGGTCTCACTTACAAACGCTTAACTTCTAGACTACTGGGACAACATACAACAGAGTCTCGTACTACGGCAGGACGGCCATCCGATGCTCTCAGGTTTTCAGTATTGTTCTAGCTCAGATTAGTTAGTAATTTAAAACTGTATAAATACTACAATATCCGCAAATTCCCCATACTTGTGTTAAGAATAACAAACATATCCTCACTAGTGACTAGATTCAGAATGTCAATCCTGCAGTTCAAGTGTGAATTATTGAAAAGTGGAGTTCAATACTTTTTGGATGTGAAACATTTATCCTCCACTGTTAGTCATTGGAAGATTACACGATATCATAGATTGATCATAGTTAGACATTAACACGATTGGATCACAGCTCAGTGTTCTTAAGGTTAAGTGTTCACAGGTGAGATCGAAAATCTAAGGTTCGGTCGCTGGGTGGGGGTGATAGTTGCTTACTGCTGAGTAATCTCATACTACAATAAAATAGCCGTTCATTACTTTCAGGTTATTAGTGACTGGCTAATTTAGATCAGTTCATTATCTCAATTAAATTCAACAGTCCTTATAACTTTATACTGATAATAGAAGACAAATTAATTTACCATCCTCGATTTCTAAAAGGTCATTAGTAATGAAAGGAGTTGTATGAACCGATAGATATTGTTGATGACCATTTGTGTGAATAGTTAGAGAAAAGATAATTGATCTAATAAGAATAAACTAACTTATCATAAATATATACTACTAGAAAAATTGTGTGAATATTATTAATGTAACAAAATTTTTGATGATAACGTTATATACTACTTAATATTAAAATGCTGTACATAATTGAATACTTATTAACTTACTTCAATTGATGTTCCTGTTAAAGCTTGTGCAAGATCCTACAAAATTAAACAGATTGTTCAGTTAATAAATCTAATTTATGACAGCATTAATAAAAGAAAGATGATGGTAACCAACTAAATAGATGAAATACTACTAACTTATCTATATACTATTATATTCACAAAACCCCCTCATTATATTAATCAATATATACTCGCTAGTGACTGACTTCAAGAGGTATTTCCTGGAGTTCTAGTGAGAAGTAGTGACCAGTGGAGATCAACCAGGTCTGTTGTGAGATAGTGACTCACTGATGACAATGGTGGATGTAACGCTCAATTTCGTGGATTAGTTGAAGTTAGACATTAACACCGTTGGATGCCGGCTGGCCGGCTCAGTGGTCTAGTGGTTAAGTGCTCGAAAGCGAGACTGATAAATTCTGGGTTCGAATCTTGCGGGTGCGCACTTCTGAGGAGTCCCACAATAGAACGAAACAGCCGTCCAGTGCTTTGAGGTTTTCCGTGGTGGTCTAGCTTTAACTAACTCATTATCTATATAACTTAATTTAATCATTAATAATAGTAGTTAGTAGTCAGTTGAGTGGATAACGCGATGGCGTTTAAAGAGAATGGTACTGAGTTCGAGTCCTAGAGTGAACATTAACTTTGAGATGCATGTACATCCAGCTGATGAGTTCCAAATAGGACGTAACGTGCTTCTTGGATCTCACTGCTAGTCACTATCCATCTTTGCTTATATAGTAGTCAGTTTATTTGTAGTCCACAATCACCGAGAATAATACATATTTAATAATGAAAGGGTGTACTGAATTATGTTCATTTCTTATGTCATTTTTTTAAAAATTAATATATGAAATAGATTAACCTGATACTAATACTATAGAAAATTAACTGTTCATGGGTAATTATTTGATACTGATTAACTAACGATAAGGTTTGTATGTATTTTAATTCATCGAGAAACTTCAGTAGTTGAGATCATGAGTCAATTAAAGCTAGACCGCCATGAAAAACCTGGAAGCACTGGATGGCCGTTCCGTCCTATTTTGGAACTCCTCAGTAGCGCGCACCCAAGACCCCTCCGCAAGATTCGAACCCAGAATTTATCAGTCTCGCGTGCGAGCACTTAACCACTAGACTACTGAGCTGGCATCCAACGGTGTTAATTTCTAACTTCAACTAATCCACGAAATCGAGTGACACATTCACCATTGTCCTCAGTGAGTTACTATCTTAGACTTAGGTTTAATTCTAGTTGTTAGGCTCCAGAAAGTTATTTATTCAATACTTCGAGAACTGATTATTATTATTAATGCGTTATATAAACTAACAGTTTCCAGTGTTAGAATCAGAAATGCTATAATTGAGTTGTCCAAAACACTACTGATAGATTGTTTATCACATTCAATCACTTGACATTAAATATTGTCAATCTTTGATACATTCTATAGCCCATAAATCCTTAGATGTATCTTTATGTATGCTGTAATTCCTTGTTGAACACGTTAATATAAATGACAGTTTGGCGTATGCTACGTATATCGACAGATATAAATAGTATGTAACACCAATCGGAAATAAAGAACCTGGTAACAGAAGGCTACGAAGATCAAGTTGAATGGGAAAATAGAAGGGAATGGTGAACTAAAAGAATAATACTGAATATGAAGGGCAATCGATGGACGATTTTCAGATTAAGTATTCATTGTATTAAACAATAAATCGGTTGTCCCAGTTGAGTTCTCGTCAACTATAACACGATATGAATAACCAGCAAAGTTATCCATTCAATATCAATATGGATTGAATGAACTAGGACTCATTCCTGATATGTTTCCCATTTCAAGAGCATTGATGATGAATGTTTAACATATCTTTTATTAAAAAATTTATGGTCATCTTAACAATGTTATAATGAAGACCACATAATGTTACCATTAACTCTTTCTATATTTTATATAATTCAAAACCGTTGAAAAAAAAACATTTGTATCATTGTATAAACAAATAGTCTCTTTTTATAGTTGGGTTCATGAGTCAATTGAAGCTAGACCATCATGGGAAACATGGAAGCACTGGACAGCCCATTTCATTCTAGTACGGAACTCCTTAGCAGTGCGCATCCACGACCTCTCTTGTCGGGTTCGACCCTAGGAACTTCGGTCTTAGGCGCGAGCGCTTAACCTTCAAACCACTGAGCCGGTATTCGGTGGTGTTTATTGTTGAATTTCAACTAATCCACTTAATCGCTCCACCATCTAACATTGTCTTCAGTGAGTTACTATCTAACAACAGATCCGGTTAAACTCCACTGGTCACGGCTTTTTTTTAAGCAATTAAATATAAACATATCTTAAATATAATGTACTTTTAGAGTTTAATGTGTGAGATTATGAAAATTTACGTTTCATCAATTGTTACCTGAACCATTTGATTACTTCTATCAATATAGTGGATTCGTTAATATTGTAGTGTGGTGAGTGAAGACATCAGATTAGGTGAATTAAGTTATTGTTGAACTCAAAATCACACAGTATGTTAATAAGATACGAAAATCATATATTAAGTACATCTTCTTTGAACTGTACTTTACCAACTCCATTATTCCTCTAATTCTGTTGTTATTTTGATTGCTCCCTGATTTATTTACTATTCTCTTCAATTCAATCTTCTACTAGTAGGCATTTCACTTTCAAATGATGCTACATACTACTCATGTAGTGAATGAGAACACAGTGGGGACAACCATATGTGTCTTAAAACAACATTACAGAATATATTGGTAAAATCTGAGAACCATACAGTGAATACTTCATTTGCAAAATACTCATCAATTGTCTCAGATTTGTGCTCTTTCGTTTCGCTTCCAATCACTCTCTGTTCTCGTTCTCTTCTCTTCGATCTTCTCAACCTTCTACTGACAAGCATTCCACTTTCGATTGATGATACATACTACTTACATCTTTCGATATCAGTAGTACACATCACTTTCATATATGCTAACATAAGTAGCATATACCATAGTAGTATTTTATCAGTTTTAAATTACTAACTAACCTTGGCTAAATCAATATTGAAAATCTGGGAGCATCGGATGGTCGTCCTGTCGTAGTATGGGACTCCATTGTATATCGGCTCAGTAGTCTAGAAGTTAAGCGTTTGCAGGTGAGACCGAAGATTCTAGGATAAGGCATCTTGGATGCACACTAATGAGAAGTTCCATTCTGAAAATAAACGACCATCCATTACTCTCAGCTTTTCAGTGTTGATCTAGCTAAGATTAGTTCGTGATTTAAAACTAATTGAACTTATATTGAAACGTTGCATTTAACGACAGGATGTTCTGTTTTATTTGGTTCGATCATATTCTTATATACTATAGTATCGTAAAATATATTCGAACTCAAATCAGAATGAGTAGAATGAATGATATTACAGTCTATGTCACTTGTAAGGGGTTGGAATAACCAGTTTATAAGAATAATTGAAATTTCATTAAATGATCTTAAGTTTATTTATTTAATTGGTACAAGAAGACACCGAATTTCTATCCGCCACACAAGTCACCTGATTTAAATGTAGGCTGTAATGTTGTCCGGGTGCCCAGACCAAAACAGGTGGTTCTTTTAGAGCGCCACACCCAGAGCTTTCGACCTATAGGTCTAATCCACAAAGCATTAGAGCAACGTTAGGAAATGGAGTCTCTTAGTAGTCAATCACCTACAAAAGGTTCACACACCATTTGTTCCTTCATGATCCTGGAGTACATGTGTACCATTAGTTTAGAACTAGGGTTTTCTAAATCCCCTTAAGTAGATCCTTAATTTTCATCAACCCAGTTAAAGCGTTGGGCATTCGCTTCTGATTATCTCAATCTCGAAAAAAAACAGTAATGCCACGAGAAGTCAGTGAGTACGACTTCCCTAACAATGGTTATATACTCGTAGCCATGTGAGAACATTTAAAGAAGAAGAAGAAGAAGACATGACTCTCACCACTCTCGGTCATATATCAAGGTATTTGGAGGCCCTTAAATACAACCATTAAGTGACATATTACAATGAAATGAAATTAATTAATGGGATAAATAAGTATGGCTGATTTAACAATGAATCTTTTAGAATTACTCACATTGATTAGTTCGTTCACTTACTTTAAATTTTCGATGATACATTTTATAAGTTGTAGCTCTATTTTGTAAATCATCCGTTATTATCTTTAATCTAGATAGTTCAGAATGAATAGTTTCACGTTCTGCTGTAATATCTAAAAGTATCGGGTTCTGTGAACATGTACATACATAAAAAGAAAAATATAATTCAGATCATTGTCAGATTAAAATCTTGGATTATTATTATTATTTTCAATGATTAAGATCATGAGTCAGTTGAAGCTAGACCACCATGGAAAACCTGGAGGCACTGGATGGCTTTTCGTCCCATTATGGGACTACTCAGCAATGTGCATCCACGACTTCACCCCCTGCGAGATTCAAACCCAGGACCTACTGGTTTCGTTCTCGAGCACTTAACCACTGGACCACTGAGCCGGCAAGCCGGCATCCAATGGTGTTAATGTCTAACTTCAACTAATCCACGAAATTGAGCGTTACATCCACCATTGTCATCAGTGAGTTACTATCTCACAATAGACCTGGTTGATCTCCACTGGTCACTACTTCTCACTAGAACTCCAGTAAATACCTCTTGAAGTCAGTCACTAGTGAGCATATGTTGATTATTATCAGAAGGGGACTCATGATCTTAATCATTGAAATCACTACAATTTCCACAAAACCCCTTCTGATAATTATTATTATTATTATTATAATTCAGTTTAAGTTATCATAAATTTAGCCAACTATATCGATAGAGGAAGTAATTAGGATGACAAGTTGATATTAGACTCAAGATTTAAAGTAATATAGTGAGCAAATACTACTATAACTAATTTAGTATTATGCGAACCTATTTTTCTAATCTCTAATTACGATTAATATAGAAGTATGGACCGAAAATTCTTCACTTAAAAACGGACTTCAGGAAACCAACATCTATGTTAGTCAATATTTCATATTGGCGTGATCAATGGTAAAAGTTGTGCGAGACAGTTATTTGAAAATAATTAGATCAGAATATAGTCAGAGACAAATCCTGGGGTTCGAATCTCGCAAGATAGGATCGTAAATACGCACTACCGAAGAGTCCCATACTAGGATGAAGCGACCTTACAGAGCTTCTAGGTTTTTCATGGTGGCCTAGCTTCAATTGACTCATGAGCTCAACTATTAAGTAAGATAAATCAGTATCTCATTTCCATGGTTCAGTAATAGGAATCAACATCGTAATTAACATTTTTTAAATATCAGAATTGAGGGGGGGGGATGGTGAAATTCAAGAAAATTATTAAAATATAAAATCCAAAGGAATATAGATTCATGCTATCTATATATTTGCGTTATGTAACAACTTAAAAGGTCGTCACTTATGATTGATTTCAATCTTGAATAATCCTTAATTAATTTTTCTAATGTTTATTTGAATCTTCTCATTGATAGGTCGAATCTGGTGGAGGGGGGGCCGGATCATGGATGCGCACTGCTGAGGAGTCCCATACAAAGACGAAACGGTTGTCAAACAGTGCTTTTAGGATTTCCATGGTAGTCTAGTTTTATTTGACTCATAATTTCAACTATTGAAATCTTCTCATTGATGTTTAACACTATAATTGATCCGTCTTGAAGTGAACATCAACTCTAGGATTCAGATACATCCAACTAACGAGTCCTGAATAGAACAAAACACGAGCCCTAGATTCCACTGCTAGTTATCGTTTATCTTTGAATAATTCTGTTTTTTGAAATATTCTCCATCTTATTGTAGACTAGTTCAAACTGTCTGTTTAATGAATAATAAATAGTAAGTCTATGGAATAGCTTATTGTTCTATGAAAGTAATCATAAATCACTTACATTAATAGCTTGTTTTACTTCTTTAATATCATGAATTAATTCATTTATATCTTTTTCCAAAGAAATAAAAAATTTATCAACACATACATCACGATCACCAAGTGCTCTATCCATAGCATTTTTAGCTCGATCAATAGATGGTATAAGACTCTTAGAGATGAAACAGAAAAAAAAAAGAATATTAAACATCATGTCACTAGATTCCTTATGAAATATAAGGACTCAAAAACATTTTCATTTGTTTAAATCTTGAGTTAGTCAGCTACAATGTAGGACCTGGCACATATATATGCATCGGTCCAAGTTACCATACCGCATTAGCACAACAAGATGAACACCCGATTCATAGAAGTAGTCACTTCAAAGGTAGTAATATATAAAAGAGAGATCACACATAAGGATTTAGTTCGTAGAAAGAAAGACATGAAGCGATTTTAATCTCATAGTTTAAGGGGAGACAGAGAGTGTATACATCGACGCCAGAGTGATCGATTATGATCCATGTCACCAAGAGTCTCCAACCATTGGTTACGATAGTCATGCGGACCCCAACCAGGTAGTCTGCATCTACCAACATGGCTCAGACCAGAAGTTAGTGACTTCAAGCACTGATGCCACGTTTTGGTTTGACCGCCCCTAACTTTCTTCCAACAATCCTTAACATCGGTTAGCATTGCGCGTCGTGGTAATCGGTGTTCAGGCATACGCAACACGTGGCCCAACCACCTCAGTCGATGAAGATTCATAACCTCATCAACTGATTTACCATCGTTCCCTAATACCCTGCGTCTAACCTCACTATTACTTACTCGGTGATCCCAGAAGATGTGAGAAATATTTCTAAGGCATCCGTGATCAAATAGTAGAAACTTACGAATATCTTCTACTCTTAAAGGCCATGTTTCGCAGCCGTATTGTAGAACGGAACGAACTGCCGCGCAGTATACTCGACCATTAATTGATAGACGGATATCTCTCCTGCGCCATAGGTGACGTAATTTGGCAAAGGCCAAACGAGCTTTTCGAATCCGTGCTGAGATTTCGTCAGACACCAACCCATTAGGGCAAAAACGGTCGGGGTTTTAGATCTTGAAGTTCAATAAAGTCTAGATGTATTTTGGATTTGAAGAAAGTGGAATCATTGAATAAACCAGTCATAGAATTAAATCTGAACTAAAAAGATTACTTGTTCTACCGGTATGAAATGAAATGCACAGAAAAACCAATTAAACGTCGATAAGTACTCTTTTTACAGTCTCTTCAAACTCATTTTCTCAATTTTCTTATATATGCCAAACGTATATACATTGAAGGAATAGAGATGAGATTACATATTTGTATATGTGAATATGTCCAAAAGAACTTAAAGTTAAAATATCCCATAGCTTTAAACAATATACAATAACTCGACCATTGGGAATCTTAAATCTTTGGGGGATTTTATTTCTGTATTTTTTTTGTGATTCGTCAATATGGGGTCATAAACATGTTTCAATGGAAGAAATGAATTGAATATACTAGAATAATGTAATGTATTTATTTAATGATATTATGAATATACTTGATAGATTGCATAATCTTCTGGTGGTACAGGAATAACAAATGCTTCAATCATTTCATATAGTTCTTTAATAACTTCAGCTTCTTTCTCAATCGGTTCAATCTAAAAGTGAATAAGCAAGTTTTTTTGGGGGGAGGGGGGCGAAAGTTCAATTGTAAAGAAAATATGAAATTCACAGTTGAAAAGTAGATAGATTGATATACAAATTACTTACTTACTAACTTACTTATTCCTATTATCCCTCATGAAAAAGCATAGAATGTTCACCAGCAATCTTTATCCAACTCTGTCCTGGACAATCCTTTCCTGTTGTTTTCAGTTGCTATTGATCCTTTTCATGTTTGACTGCAATTCTTGAAACAATGTGTTCTTCGGCCTTCCACTTTTCTGTTTCCCTTCTTGATTCAGTTTGGTGATTTCCTCATTGTGTATCTTATCCATTTCCAACGTCTTTTCCTAATTTCCTCCTCAGATGGAAGCTAGTTTGTCCTTTCCCACAGTTGGTTGTTGCTGATGGCATCCGGTTAACGGATATTCAGTATTTTGCATGAACAACTGTTTATAAATACTTGTACATTCTTGGTGATGGTTGTACAATAGAACTGTCTTGACGTTCGTATTGAAGATTGTGACTTTGATATTGATTGACAGTTATTTTGAGTTCTCTATGCTCTCCAATTGTAGAAATGCTATCCTTACTTTGCCAATCCTCGCCTTTTTGTCTGCATCGTAACCTTCTTGTTCATTGATGATATTGATCAGATATGTGAAAGATCCCACATCTTGCAGACTTTCTCCAACAAGTGTGATTGGGTTGGTGTTCGCTGTGGTGTATTTGAGGTTTTTTGGTTTTGCCTTTGTGTATGTTTAGGCCTACTGATATGAAGACTGCTTCTACACTAGTTATCTTCATCTGCATTAGTTTATGTGTATGAGATAGAAGGGCTAAATGAAATGGAATAAAGCTTACCATAAGAAATAAAACAGTTTATGTATATCTAGAAAATAACAAATTTATTATGTCAGAAGGAGTTTTTTGGATATTGTAGTAAGTTGAATGGTTAAGATCATGAGTCAGTTGAAGCTACACCGCCATGGAGAATCTGGAAGCACTGGACGGCCATTTCGTCCCAGTGTGGGACTCCTCAGCAGTGAGCATCCACGACCTCGCCCCCTGCGACATTCAAACCCAGGACCTACTGGTTTCGTTCGCGAGCACTTAACCACTAGATCACTGAACTAACCGGCATCCAACAGTGTTCATGTCTAACTTCAGCTAATCCACGAAATTGAGCAATATTTAATGTAAATTATGCAAGTGGATTACAGATCTTAGAGTATAACTCAAATGTAGAATCATTCTTGAAGTGAATTTAATTTATAAATGAAATAATATAAAATCTTTCAAATCAATGCAAATGATTTTATACTATATCCTTATGCAATTGTTAACTTAACGAACAGTATTGTAAATCCTTGGAACATCAAAACAACTGTCTGCAAACCAATATGCAAAGTCACAATCTTCAATATGATCGTCAAGATAATTAGTACTATAATATGAAGCTAAAACATGGAGAACTTCCATAACCATCATCAAAAATGTACAATTATTATTTATAAACAATTCTCTAAGCAAGATACCAACGATAACACCCTACTATGGAAAAGAATAAACCAACTTCTAGCTGAAAAGAAAATTAGAAATAGACATTAGAATCGAATATAACTTACATTATAGATATCGTTCAACTCACAATTGATTGATCACTAGGTGGTGATCAATGTCATGTTTGTCTAGTCCTTATTATTAGTACAGATCGAATGCTATCGATCATATTGCAATGTAGTCACCAGTCTAAATAATTCGACACTGCAGGCACTATTGTGAGATGATTAGATAGTGGTTGGAGGTAGTCAACAGGAAACTCTGGACCCAGGTTTCATACTACTTGACACTCGTCATCAAAGTGTACCTGTAATCTTTGAGAGAACCGGTGCTCCCTGATGGATTCGATCCCATGTCACCCAGATTCACAGTCAGAGACATTACCACTGAACTCTCCTATCAACTACTTCCAATCACCATCTAATATCGTTAGACTAAATCATAAAACAAAAATAAAACTAACTTAAAATCTTGAATGGAAACGAAAAAAAAAATAATAATAATAATAATATCAGAAAAGTCAAAGAACACATACTACATCTCTAAAAACCATTAAAAACAATTGTCATGGTTACAGTCGGATAACAAATGTCAGCGAGGGTGGGGTGTACGAGGGGGTAACAGATATAAGTAAGTCATTATAAATCTTTATTTAAATCAATTAATCAATGAATTAAAATCAATAGAACATATATATATATATATATATATATATATATATATATATATATATAGATAGATAGATAGATAGATATAGATATTCTTACTCTATTTTGTATTTGATTTAAAAATCCAAAATAATTTACATAATCTATTGTTGTACTTGGTATTATTGATAATGTATATTCAGCTTCTTGAGTTTCATGAATTAATCTATCCAGTTCATTATGTATATATAATGGTAATAGATTATGTAATAGATGTAAACATTTATTAGATGATGGTAATAAATTATTACGTAATAATTTAGTATCAATTAAAAATAATCCAATCGATTTTTCTATTGGGACTAATTCAGCAATTTTTAATTGATGATGATATTTTAATAAATTTCTTTTAAAATATTGTAAAGCTGTTTTTTTTTTTGATAAAAGAAAAAAGAAAGAAAAACAGAAAGAAAAAAAGAGAGAGAAAAAAGAGAGAAAAAAGAAGTAAATGAATATTGTTTAAGTTTTTATTGGATGAATATTTATTAGTATCAGAAGGGATTTTTGTGGAGATCATGAGTCAATTGAAACTAGACCACCATAGAAAACCTGGAAGCACTGCAAAGCCGTTTTGTTCTATTGTGAGACTCCTCAGCAGTGCGCATCAACGATATTGCTCCCTGCAAAATTCGAACCCAGGACCTACTGGTTTCACGAGTGAGCACTTAACCACTAAACCACTGAGCTATCTGGCATCCAGTGGTGTTCATGTCTTATTTCAACTAATCCACAAAATTGAGCGACACACCCATCATTATCATCAGTGAGTTACTATCACACAACAGACCTGATTGAACTCCACTAGTCACTACTTCTCACTAGAACTCCAGGATATGTTTCTTGAAGTCAGTCACTAGTGAGAATATGATGATTAGTATCAGAAGGGGTTTTGTGGAGATTGTAGTAATTCCAACAGCTGATATCATGAGTCAGTTGCTGAGGGGTCCCACAATAGGATCAAACAGCCGTCCAGTGCTTCCAGGTTTTCCATGGTGGTCTGGCTTCAACTGACTCATGATCTCAACTGTTGGAATATTTATTAGGTTATAAGAATTGACTAGAACTAGTAGTTAGCAATGAAATCTAGGATATGTGTTTCATTCTATTTGGTATTCCTCAGTTGGATATGCCTTCATTCTAGAGTTGATATTCACTTTGAAACTCAAATCCAGTATTGTTCACTTTAAATACTATTGAGTTATTCATTTAGTTATTGAGTTCCAGTCCTAAAGTGATCATCAACTCTGAGAGACGAAACAAGCGTCCTCCATTCTACTATTACTAGACACTAGACATCTTTACTTATAATGCTTGTGATTTAAAGCAATATTGAGGCAATCTGAATAGGATGCACATATACCAACAGGAGACTAATCAATTACAATCCTAAATAACATTGAGTGAATCTACGTAGAGTTATAGTTGACTCCAGTATATAGTATATGAAATTCATTAAAATTCAATACCATGGTGTGATTGAGTTACCAACACGTGCTTTCTAAGCTTATTATGTGTAGAGAGTGATTAAAACTGGGATAAGAAGCTTTATTTACTGTGATAATCTAAACTGTGAGGTTTCATTTTTACTGGACAACTAATTCAGTCTGTCATGATCAATGCAGAGTTTTACATATAAGTATATGTTTTCTCCATTAATCTTTTCTAAGTAAATTACAAATGTATCATTCAGTTTTGTGGAAGAGAAATTGTTATTTCAAGATGTGTAGTTTGACAGTAACTCAATGCAAATTTTAACGACTCACCTTGCTTATCTACTCTGTAAATACTTTATTACATTTTAAAGATCATAAACCGATTGAGCACCGATAGAGCACCATTGAAAACTTGGAAGAACTGGACGGCCATTTTTTTTTCTATTGTTGGACTTCTCAACAGTGCGCATCCACGATCCCGCTCACGGGATCCTCAATCTCTCTTGTGCATGCTTAACCTACTGGACCACTGAACCCGCATCCAATGGCGTAAATGTCTAACCTAGTGCTTCGAAGTTTTCAATGATGGTCTAACATCAATCGGTTCATGATCTTCATTAAAAACTTAATAATCTCCATAACACCTATACTGATAATTTGTTACATATTGACATATTTAAATATGTTACATATTTGAATTTATTCGGGTTTACAGCTAGTGAGTTCGACATCAAACCATCATCACCTTATATTGCATTGATTCAGTTTGTAACATATTCATAGGGACTCGATTAATACTTGTACTGTGGTGTGGGTTACTTATATCCACACAAGTAGTATATAATGGTGGTCAGGCATAGAATGTATTTCAGTAGAAGGTCGATGAGGAAAGAGCGGGAACGCAATGCAATTTGTATGAAAACGCATGAACAATGAAATCTGAGACAATGGATTGATATTTGCAACAAGAACAGTCCAGTTTGATAGGATGAATTGATATTTTGCAAATTAACGATTTACTATATATGGTTCTCAGATTTTATTGAGATGCTCTGTAATTGTCCCGATTGGTGTTCTTGTTCACTACAGTAGATTGATGAAGAAATTTATGTTTTACATGAAGTAAACCATTATAATGTTGTTAAGAATGTTAGTGAAATCTTTGAAATGACGTAATCTGGCTCATTTTATAAAATGGCTAGTTTGCTCGATGACTGTTGTAGTTTCGATTAATAATAAATTGGTTTTGATTTGACTTATAACAAGTAATCGGTACAATGATTGTTTGTTTAACATAGAATTCTTAGTTTCGACTTTTGTTCAAGGGCTACTGCCGATCCTAAGTCCAGGTAAAGGAGGATGGTTGGTCATAGGATCGACAACTTCATTTTGTAGAAGAAAACCTTACTAAAAAATACGATAACGACAACAAACAATTTAAACCAATTAAACTCTACCCTCCGAGTTCAAGGAAGAATTATAATACTGTAGGATGAAAGCTGAGATTCTTCGTTAGTCCCTAGGCCAATGCTCCTTCTAACAACCAGAGTAACAATTAATACAGGTACATGAAATATCTGGACAATGTGAGAGATCAGGAAAACCAGTCAAATAGCAGTGGAAATCAGGAGATACAACCTAATAGTACTCGAAATCATAGAAACCTATTGAACCCAAGCTAGATAGTGAACAAACCAGCCTCCAACTGAGGTGTAAATCGGGAAACGATGGTAATAGTGGATAGGACATACATTGAGGAAATCAGCAAACTGCATCACAAAGCATATGTGAACTTGGAATCTTGAATGGAAACAGAAAAGATGAACGACAAAGAACACACTGCGTTGGGAAAACTTACTTTCATTAAGACGTTCCACATGATTCATTTCATTAATCTTTGCTAAATTACAAATAAAAAATAGAGATAAAAGAAAAAAAATTAGTAGATAGTTCTTCATGTTTTATTTCAAACTATATTTAGATGGCCCAACTGTGTATTCAGATCTGATTGAAGTGATTTCAGAATGGTAATCATTCGAATTCAGCTTATACATTTGATAATGTAGATAGACAATGAAAGTGAAAAGTTATTTCACCATAGTGATCATTGATATATAAAAAAATAACAATCAGAAAGTAGTGACGAGTCTAGACAATATCTATTTATTTAGCTCTTATCATTCAAATGGTTTGCCTTGTTTCGCCTTTTATATATCACTTTTGTAGCTGTAGCTCTTCTAGAGTTACTGTCAGTTCCAAGCTCAGATAAAGGAGGAGGGTTGGGCATGAGGTTAACGATCCCACTCCGTAGAAAACTAACTCACTAAAAAAAAGACGCTAACCAAAAAATGTAACAAGATAATATAAGCAAATATATATCATTGTTAAAGTTTACGCCATAACTATAAAATTGAACTGTTACAGTTGTATATTTATTTGAAAATATAGAGAATAGACAATAACTTCTTAGAAACTTAACTCTTCTATCAATCAATAATCAGAAAGCATCTTAGCTCATCATTGGATACAACAAATGCTAATCCGTGTCGGGTAGAAACAGGTGTCTACCTCAGTACAATGGAAGATGGTCGCGCGGATTGGTGGATTGGTTGAGGTTAGACATTAACACCGTCAGATGCCAGCTCAGTGGTTCAGTGGGTTAAGCGTTCGCGCGCGAGACTGAAGGTCCTGGATTGGAATTCCGCGAGCGGGATCGTGGATGTGCGCTGCCGAGAAGTACCACAATAGGACGAAACGGCCATCCAGTGCTTCCAGGTTTTTAATGGTGGTCTAACATCAATCGGTTCATGATCTCAATCAAAAACTTGACAATCTCCACAACTTCTATACTGATAAATGCCAAAATGCTTCAGGCTTAAAAATCAAATGACAGAATACCTATTCATTTTCACTATCAATTATTTTGTCTAGCATTCCGATAGTTTTCAATTTTCAAAAAAAATTCTAGTAATCATTTATCAGTCAGTATTAAAAATAAGCAAAGAAGGATAGTGGTTAACAGTAGAATTCAGGACGCGCGTTTCGTCCTATTTTGAACACGTCAGCTGCATGTATTTGTATCTCAGTGTTGATATTCATTTTGGGACTCGAACCTAGTACGTTCATTTCAAACATCATCATATTATCCATTTAGCTACTGAATCGTGGTAATCACTTGTGTGTCCAATCGAATGAACTTTAAAATCAGTTGAAATTGTTTACTTGAATCTTCCTATTGATGTTTAAGATTGAAATTGATCAGTCTTTTGTTGGTATATATGCATCATTATGTGTATTACCTCAATATTACCTTTATTCACAAATGAACAATACTAGGTTCGAATCACTGAGTGAATATCAACTCTAAGATGTAGGCACTTCAGGACTTAAACCCAGTGCCATTCACTGCAAACTCCATTGTGTTATACACTTAGCTATTGGGTTTGAATCTTAGGGTGAACATCAACTCATTGATGTAGATACATCCAACAGACGAGTCCTAAATAGAACAAAATTCTAATCTTGTACTCCATTATTTATTTATTTGAACACATAAATATTGGTACAAGGAGGTACCAAACATATATGCGTCACACAAATTTTCATTTTATTTGTGTGTGGGCTGTGATACTACTCGGGTACCCAGACCGAAGCAGGTGATTTTCTTAGTAGGCTACACCCCGAGCCTTTGACCTAAAGGTCTAACCCACAACGCAGTGGAGCATCGTAAGGAGATGCAGTCCCATGGTAGCCTATGGCCAACGATTGGTTCATACGCCATTTGTTCCTTCAGGATACTGGAGCCCAATGTGCACCATTGATTTAGGATCCGGTTAAAATGCCGGATATTCGCTTTTCGTCCTCTCAATTTTCATAAACAACACCCGCGCCAGGAGAAGACAGTGAGTAGAACTTCCTCAGCAGAGTTTGTATACACGTGGTCATGTGAGAGCATTTTGAGGGAGGGAGGGGGGCTACCTCACTCTCGGCTATACCACGGCATTTGAAGGCTATTCAATTGCTAATCACTATTCATCTTTTTGTTTAGAATACTTGTAACCTAAAAATGTACATATACCAACAATTCTAAGCATCAATGAAACGATTCATACAAAACAAATATCAATTAAATATAACATTATAAGTAGTTAATTATAAGTAGTTTGGAAAGAAATCAAAAAAAAAAATTGAATACCTAAATAATCATTTTGTATACTATCAATTGTAATTTCATGATTCTCTTGATAGAATTGATGTATATCATTAAATGTATTCTTATAACAATGAATAGCTTCAAATGAACTATTTAATGAAGATTGTATATGTTTAATAATATTATGTAATTTTATATCTTCATCAAATATATTTTTTAATTGTGGTCCATTACCGCATAATTTCTCTTCTAATTTATTATTAATAAATGGTTGAGTGAATGCATTAAAATATGGATCAGATGTTAAATTTTTAATATTAATTACTTGTTCCTAAATCAATAAATCAATAAATCAATAAAATGAAGAAAATTGATGATATCAATGTTATAAATGATAATCTATGATATATATTCAATGGTTAAGATCATGAGTCATTTGAAGCTAGACCAGCATGGAAAACATGGAAGGACTGGATGGCCGTTTCGTCCTATTATTGGACTCCTCAGAAGTGCGCATCCACGACCTCGCCCCCCCCTCCATCGAGATTCAAACCCAGGATCTACTGGTTTCGTTCTCGAGCACTTAACCACTAGAACACTGAGCCGGCCAGCCGGCATGCAATGGTGTTAATGTCTAACTTCAACTAATCCACGAAAATGAGCGACACATCCATCATTGTCATCAGTGAGTTACTATCTCACAATAGACCTGATTGAACTTCACTGCTCTCTACTTCTCTTTAGAACTCCAGGATATACCTCATGAAGTCAGTCACTAGTGAGCATATGTTGATTATTTTTAGAAGGGTTTTTGTGGATATGTCGCTCAATTTCGTTAGACATTAACACTGTTTAATGCCAGATAGCTTAGTGGTCTAGTTGGTTAAGTGCTCGCGCGCGAAACCAGTAGGTCCTGGGTTCGAATGTCGCAGGGGGCGAGGTCGTGGATGCGCACTGCTGAGGAGTCCCACAATAAAACGAAACGGCCTTGCAGTGCTTCCAGGTTTTTCATAGTGATTTAGCTTCAAATGACTCATGATCTTAAACTATTGAAATTACTACAATCTCCACAAAACCCCTTCTGATAATATATATTTACTTATATTTGTTACTCATAATGAAGTATTAAGTTAACGAATAGTATTCACTAATATACTCTGTTCTAGATCTTTCTTTCTAGTTCTATTCAATTGTTGTTCATTCGACTCATGACTATTTCCATTTCTTGGTGTAATGTATTCTTTCGTCTTTCACTTCTCCTCCTTTGTTCTTAAGTAATCCAAGTGACGGCTTGCCATGTGACACAGTTGCTTGCTTTGCTCAATGTGTGTCCTATCCACTTACAGCGATTATTACTGATTTCTTCCTCCCCTAGAATCTGGTTTGTTCTCTCACACAGTAGGTTGTTGCTCATAGTGTCTGACCAACGGATCTGAAGTAGTTTGCATAGACAACTGTTGATAAACACTTGTATCTTCTGGATGATTACTTTCGTAGTTCTCCAAGTTTCCACCACATACTGTAAAATTGGCAAATATTTGTATTGAAATTACTGACTTTGGTGTTAGTTAATAGACAGTTGTTTTGAGTTCTAGATGTTCTTCAATTGTAGATATGCTGTTCTTGTTTTGTCTATCCGTGCATTCACATCTGCATCAGATCAACCATGTTCATCAATGATGCTGACCAGATATGTAAAGATTTTTATATCTTCCAATGCTTTTCCGTCAAGTGTGATTCGGTCGGTGCATGCTGTGTTGTATCGGAGAATCTTGCTTTTCCCTTTGTGTATATTGAGACCTATTGCTGCTGAGGCAGCTGCTACACTGATCGTGTTCTCCTACGTTTGTTGTAACGTGTGCGCAAGAATAGCCAGATCATCTGCGATGTCTAGATCGTTCAGCTGCATCCTAGCTGTCCAATGTATCCCATGTTTCCTCCCAGTAGTTGACGTCTTCATGATCCAGCTGATTACCAGGAGAAAGAGAAAGAGTGAGCGTAAGCAACGTTGCCTGAAACCAGTCTTTACTTCGAACAAGCCTGTGAGCTGTCCTCCATGAACGATTTTGCAGTTCAATCCATCCTAAGAATTCCGTGTGATACTGACTCTCCTGTTAGGCATGTCGTAGTGTCGAAGAAGCCTCCATGGTGTTGTACTCTTCTCATTATCAAATGCTGATTACCACGAGAAAGAGGAAGAGTGAGTGTAAGCAACGTTGCCTGACACCGGTCTTTACTTTGAACGAGTCTGTGAGCTGTTTAATATGCACGATTTTGCGGTTTAATCCATGATAGTTATTCCGTTTAGTGTTAAATATCTTCTCAGGTACACCATAGTGTCGAAGAAGCCTCTATAATGTTCTCCTATCCACACTGCAAATGCTTTTTTACAATGAATTTGATGTATAATTACGAGTTCCACTCAATTGATTGTTCGACGATAATCTGTAGTGTTGAGATCTGGTCGGATCTAAGTGACTAATATAATCATATAATATACCTCAGTGGTGTAGACCTCTATATTAGGGTTTATCTCCCTAATAAAATGTCAGACTGGATAGAATAAGAACTAAAATATAGTTTTCATGTTGTTTGAAAAGGTTAATTATTCTATACAATGACATCTCATTTACATTCTATCTACTCAAATACCAACGGATAACATTTAGATATTTTCATACGAATTAATACAATATTGTTTGCTTAAGGGAAGTTATACTTCATGTGGTTCTATATATTGATTTATGTGTAGGCTGTGACACTGCCCGGGTGCCCAAACTGAAGCAGGTGGTTTTCTTAGGGGTCTACACCCGGAGTCTTTGACATAAACATCTAATCCACAAGGCAGTGGAGCAACGTCAAGAGATGCAATCCCAAGGTAGTCGGTGACCAACAATAGGTTCATACACTATTCGTTTCTTCAGAGTACTGAAGTTCATGTGCACCATCGGTTTGGAATCATGGTTTACCAACTCCTCTAGGTGGATCTTCACTATCCATCAATCGAGTTTAAACTTCGAATATTTGCTTTTAATTATCTCGGTTCCATAAACAACAGCAATATCACGAGAAAGCAGTGAGTAGAACTTCACTGGCAGATTCTGTATACGCGTGAGAACATGTGAGAACATTTCGAGATAAAGAGAGAGAGAGAGCTGACTCTCCTCACCCTCAACCACACCAAGGCATTTAGGGTGGGAGCGATTAAATGAATGAATATTAACCATACAAGAGAATAGATAATCTTTCTATGGGAAAGAAAAGTGTAACAACAAGTGTTTTACTTGAAATTTATTAATAATTTCCATAATTCCATCTTGAAATAAAGATTCTTCAGGAACTAAATATAAACGAGATGGTTCCAATATAATTTCCAATGTAAACAGTGGGGTTGGTTTTGATTCTTCTTCTTCTTCTTCTTCTTTAATTTCATTACCAGATATGTTTAGTTTAATCTATTATAGAAGTTTAAAGATTGCATAATCATTCATTGTAATCATACATAGATCAATGTACAATCATCATAAAGAATGAACTAAATGTAAAAGAGATATATCCTCAATCAATATGTAGTTGTAAATGTTTCAGTGGAATAGTTCAAACAATAATAAGTCATCTGTCAGTTATACAGAACTTGAAACCTGATACGTATGTACATCAATTCAAGTTACCATATCACAATAGCATTGTCAGATGAAATCTTAGAGTAGTAGAAATGGTAACAGTATTAGTAGTAGTAAAAAAATGGATGAAAATTAACTATACGATTCATGAAAAGATAAACTGGTGAAATACAAAGATTTTGAGTCATCTCATTTATAATTTCTAGCCTAAGTGGACTGAGCCATGTTGGTAGATGTAGACTACCTGGTTGGGATTCACGAGATGATAGCAACCGATGGTTAGAGATCTTGAATGACATGGCTCAACGTCGTTTGCAATGGTGTGCTCAGGTGCATCCACTCTTGTGTTCTTCCAAATTTTAATCTTCTGAATTCTTCATTTCTTTCATTTTCTTTCCAAATTTATTCCACTGGATTATATTCCTTGAATAACATCATCAAACCCTAATGTTCCCTATTACTACTTATACTTTCACTACCTCTACCACTATGGGATTTGAATCGATAACTGAATCTCTGTGCTAATGTGGTATGTCAACTCGATCTGATGTACGTACGTACGAAGTTCCACGTTCTTACTGACTGATAATTTCTAGCCTGTCATTGTGATAATCATACCGATTTCAATCATATAGTCTAAACTTGTTAATACGGCTCAGTCCATTTGTCAGTGACTTCATAGAATGATGCTATGTTTTAGTTTGGCTACCTTTAGCTTCTTTCTGATAATATCGTTCGTTAACGTGGGCGGTTGTTGGGGCATACGTCGCACACATCCCAATCACTTCAGTTGGTAAAGATTTATTACTTCATTGATCGATTTGCCACATTTTCCTAGTCCCCTGTCCCTAAACAAGATATTGCTTACTATGTGGTCTCAAAATAAACAAGCAGCGTTTTGAAGACATCCATAAAGTAGAACAGAAAGAACTATTGCGCAGTAAATTAATCTTATGATTGGGAAACGAAAATTTTGCCTACACCACAAGTGATGCAAGTTGACAGAGCCAATAGAGTCTTCTGAATGTTTGCCGAGATTTCGTCAGATATCAGTTCATCAGGACTGATGAAACTTCAATGACAAATGATGCAGTTAACATGCTCAACTAAATCATTTTCGATCATTAATTCTAAAGTATCATTTTGTATTTGGAGGGAGAGAATCGTATCCTAAACATGGTTGCATTTTTGTTTAAATTGATTGAATGACTATGGATATTTTCAAAGTCTTTACCAAAAAGAACTATATCATTTGAATATTTCAAGTGAACAAATGAATCTGCTGATAGAAGATCTATTCCTGAAAATTCCACCTATCAAACATATCTTTGATAGAGTTAAATGGAAAACTCTGATAACCACTACGTGGATATTATCGTTCCTGATGACAATTTGTCAAAATCTTTAATCTGATCATTGATATTCAAGTAAACAGTTTGTACAAGATTAATCTACGAGTTTTTCACATCTTCCAATACAAAATACTGCCAAAGAACTATATACAATCAATTGAGCTGAATGTTGCTTTAACTACTGTTGAACGTCTGTTACGGAACCTGCCGAATTGTATATAAATCCATATGCAGATCTGAGATCAAGATGCTTTTCTCAGGTTCACTCTTTACGAACTCTAATTAGACATTATATAGATCAAATTGATTTCTATTTGATTATTACTAGACATACTTTGTACTTTCTTATAGAGTAAAGAGATCAGAGATAGGGATCAGTGATATAGGATGAAGTCTAGTTCCTTGATTCTAGCTAAGATTATTCAAAAGTTCAGATTAAATATATAATGTTTTACGTACAAATTAACTAATAAAGTAAAGTAAACAATAACTAGCTCTATACTGAAATACTGTAGTGAAATAAAACACCAGTGGGGACAATTCAATCTAACAACCATCCATATATTGAATTGTTAATTTGCAAATTGTTCATCAATTGTCTCAAATCACTCAGAATCCCCTTGTTCTTGCATTTTCATACAAATTGCCTTTCGTCTTCATTCTTTATTGTTCGATCTTCTTATCTCTCTGCCGCCAGACATTCTGTTCAGTGCTCACGTCATGTACTACTTATGTCTACATAAGTAGCACACACCACAATACTACTTAAACAACTACAATATACTCGTATATCTTTCTGATTCTCTTTAATCGTTGATGTATAACACAATGATTGATTATCGTCTATCTCTAGAACAATACATATTATTCATAATATGCTCATTTCATTACATGATTGTTCAAGTTAATGTACAACATAGTTTCTTTTTCAATCATTTGATAAAGTCTATTATTTCCATATTATAGTAACATATAAAACTGTAATTTAAAGTTATTAGTGCTACGACTGAATCTAATACCTCAAGAATAATATTCTGAAAGTGTTGAGGATGGTTGAAAAAAAGTTACGGGCGGTCAAACTAAAAACGTGGGATCAGTGCTAATTTCTGGTTTGAGCCATGTTAGTAGATGCAAACTACTTGGTTGGGGTCAGCCGGTGACTATCGTAACCAATGGTTGGAGACTGTGGGTAACATGGCTCAGAGTCGATTACAAAATGGCGTCGGTGTATACACTCTCTGTCTTCCCTTAAACTATGAGATTAAAATCGCTTCATATCTTTCTACGTACTAAATCTTTCTTCCTGCATTATATCCTTATATACAATGTTTCTTTTATATATTACCACCATTGAATTAACTACTTTTATGAATCCGGTGTTCATCTTGATGGAGTTTCGTTCTCTGAGCTGAATAGTTTGATCGTGGAGCTTTCTATCTGAAGTTTGTGCTGATGATGTCGTTCAGAAGAACGAAGAAAGCTCCACAACCAAACTATTCAGCTCAGAATACAAACCTCCATCAAAATCATCCACTTGAGCTACAAATCTTCCCCACCATCCCAGGTATTTATCTTGCTGTGCTAATGAGGTATGGCAACTTGTACCGATGTATATATGTGCATGGTCCTACGTTGTAGTTGACTGACTGAATGAGGCAAAAATGGAGGAAAATCAGATTTTCAAGATGAAAATCTATAGAAGGATAAGTGTATCTTGCGATCTGTGCTGGAACATGATCACGATGTTTGACTGAGTGTCTTCGACTAGTAATGTCGCCTATAACTAACAGAGTTAGTATGAATATTGAGTACCTGTCAAGTTATTTATTTTGACCATACCTGTTTCAATCTCATGAACGCTAAAATACATTTTTCTAAGTTGAATTCCCGTAACTAAAGAAAATAATCACTTCTGACTGTTGAAACTCAACGGATTGTTATAGTTTAAATTGTCAACTGATTCTAGTTAGACCATCATTAAAAATCTGGAGGTAATAGACAGCCATTTCGTCCTTGTATGGGACTCCTCAAAAGTGTACATCAGCCACCCCACATCTATGAATCGGACCCAGGATCTACGCAATTTGTCACTAACAGCTGTAATAAATGTTATAGTCATTATCTTAAAAATAGAATACAGATAACTAAACACTGATATCTCATTGTAAATGTCTATTGCTAAGTGTTTTTTGCCAATACTCTTTTTAGAAAAACTGTAGGAGCTGGTATTATATCAAATCTACATACGTTATTCTAGCCTCTGGACAGATCAGTGTATTCATTCTTCTCGAGTTACATTTTTACCATATCACTTATTCGCTTAACATCCTTGTCTGTTTCTATGTAAGTGTATATGTATGTGTTTCTTATTCTATTCATCACATGTTTGTAACTTATTTTTGTTCGGCTATAAATATCGATTAGTGCTTGATTAAATCGAGTTGGCTGGCTTTCCTTCTCCAGTCTTCTTCACTCTTTCCTCTTTGTTTTATCTTCCTGATTGCCTGTTCAAATCACTGAGTACATGAAACATTACTTACTTACTTACACCTGTTGCTCCCAATGGAGCATAGGCCACCGACCAGCATTTTCCAACTCACTCTGTCCTGGGAGTTTCATACTAGTTCTATCCAATTGTTGTCCATTCTTCTCATGTCTGTCTCTCTTTCTCAACGTAATGTGTTCTTTCGTCTTCCTTTTCTCTTTTGACCTTGAGGATTTCAAGTGATGAGGGTTTCCCATGTGACACACGCAGTTGGGTGCTTTCCTCAATGTGTATCTTATCCACTTCCAGCGATTCTTCCTGATTTCCTCCTCCACTAGAATCTGTTTTGTTCTCTCTCACAGTTGGTAGTTGCTGATCGTGTCTGGCCAACGACTCTGGAGTATTTTGTGTAGACATTCGTTAATAAACAATTGAATATTCTGCATGATGGCTTTCGTAGTTCTCCAAGTTTCCACCCCATATAGTAGAACTGTGTTGAGATTTGTATTGAAAATGCTGATTTTGGTGTTGATTGAGAGACAGGTGTTTTGATTTCTAGATGTTCTTCAATTGTAGATATTCTGCTCTTACTTTACCGATCCGCACTGTTATGTCCCGATAAGAATAATGAATGGTAACTTTTGGGATCCATTTATGGACCAATACTATGCGTATACATTTTTATCGTATAATTAATAAATAACTAAACTATATATATTCATGTCCACCTTATTGTGAGCTTTAGTTTGATCTATGAACTATTATCATACGATTTACCATTCTTGAGTTATGCCATGTCTATTAATTACCGTCTCCCACATTCACAGCCACATTTGGCTGGATCTTAGACAAATGTTGTTTCCATATTTTTTTTAACGGAACGATATGGTCTGTTTGATTGGTATATAAACTCCGTATGTTTAATTCATATTGCAGAGGCTGAGTTTGATGTTCTGGACTCAATAGACAGTCAGAGCTAGGCAGTAATCAGGACCGATAACTACTCTAGACTGCTCGTACGTGTTTTACGCGTGATTGGTCCGATAGATAATTCACTGCTTTTTGATTGGCGGTATCGTGGCGTTATCCATTAACAGGGTACACAAGCCATAAGTTATCACAGGTTCATCTATAAATGATAATCTCATTGTAAAAATTTACTTCATCATATGAAGATAATTCAAAAGTAAAAGATTCTATTACAACGTTTCAAAACAAACCGTATCAATACTTACTGGCTTCTTTATAGATTCTTTACGTTGATCTATACTACTACTACTACTACTATATCCTATATTGAAATCATTCAATGGAGCTTCTAATAATTCATCAACTTTAATTTTATATTTTTCAATTTCATTTAATGTTGGTGTATTCTGTAAATGTTCATTGAAACAATTTAATAGTGTTTCAATTGAATTCACTGTTAATACATGTAATGTACTAAGAATTTGATAATCAGCAAGACGTATAAAACTATAAGAATCAAAAAAAAAAAAAAATAGAAATAACATAATACACAGTTACATCAGTGGCTATACGAAAACTTGATCAGTAAAATTTGATCTGTGTTGAGTCAACTTCGAAGAACTTCAGCGTAGCCTTCAGAGGTCTTAAAGGAACCGAAGAGTTCTAGCCAATCAGAACATGATGGGGCTTTTTAGAATATCAACGTAGCATGCTACTATTGGTCAATAGCATAATATATGTCTCTTAACGGATTAGTCAAAATATAATGTTGATTAATTAAATGCTAATATCTATAAATACCTGTATTTTTCTGTACACTTTAATTCTTCCAATAGTTGAAATCATGACTTAATTGAAGCTAGACCACCATGGAGAACCTGGGGCGGGATCGTGGATACGCACTGCTGAGGAGTCCCATACTAAGACGAAACGGCCGTCCAGTGCTTCCAGGTTTTTCATGGTGGTCTAGCTTCAATGGATTCATGATTTCAACTATTGAACTTACCAATTCTCCACAAAATCCTTTCTACTTTGATTTTTACCAAATAAATACTTCTCCAGCTTTTTTTCTGTCTTCTGATTTGAGACGATGAAGTTCTAACGTTCAAGTAGGAATGCATCTGCTGATTTTGCTTCACTACCTTGTTGATCAGACCTTTAGGTCGAAGGCTCTGGATGTGACCCCTTAAGAAAATCATCTGTTTCGGTTTAGCGGACTCTGTCAGTTATGTATGAAGTTTTCACGAATGATCCTAGTTCCCAACCGATGTCAGCAAATATTTGCTTAGGTTTCGATTGACCACGCATTAACTTTTCTAAATACTGTGCTTACTGATATGGAACTGGTATGATGATCATTAAAATGATTAAATGTAGGATTATCTTCAACTAAAAGTAGTTCACAAAATGACAAGTCAATAGTAGCTACATTGCAACATCAATCAATTTACATACCAAGTTAAACGCTGACAATATTGACGTTTTGTGGCCATTTCTGTAAAAGTCATTTTTTCTGGTGCATCTGATAATACCTCCATATCACAAGCTGAAGAAATATAACTTGTTCCAACAACTAAAGGTTCTGAAATATGAATTAAGATAGGAAAGATTATATCATCTTCATCTACACATGTAAATGGATCTTTTCGAAAACTGAAAAGAAAATATCCACTAATTGAAGAGCTTCTAGCGTAAGTGGAACAAAAGCAAGAATGCACTGTTTATAAGTCAGAATCACCATTACTGCAATGAAAACAATCGGGATTTTCAACGCCTTTACATGACATTTTAGTTTAAACTGAATATTTTTAGCTTGGGTGAATTATAATTTCCATATCAATTAATTTTTGAAGAATAATTTAACTACTTAAAATAAAAATAGTAGTTAAAGTAAGCTCATAAAATTTAATTGCGATGGAGTTTGTAAAGCATTTTTTTCAACAGCGTAGGATAGTATTGATCATATGAACTAACTATATTGATAAAGTTTCACTTAAATTCATCCGTGAAAATCTTTCCTTAATTCTTAGTTCACATTTGCAGTTGTTTTTTTTTCTGAATTAATTTTGTTAGATGATCAATTTCTTCACGTAAACTTTACAATCAGTTCGTATGTGGCACGGTAATTATTTATTGTCCCCATTTGATAGTTTGCTTTCAAACGGGTGACCATCATTCAGAAATGGATAAACCAGATAAAACTTAACAAACCACATGGCATTTCATCAATCACATGTCAGAATAGGAGGAAATATTTCCGGTTATAATGAGTATGTGAAGCGTTTTTTAATCCAAGGGTACGTCTCAAATTATTGTATGAGTTACTCAAATTTCTCATATATACGTATCAGTTGTAAGCACAGGTATTCGGTATTGAGTAATACAGAGCCGATAACGCCGAAGCATTATTGATTAAGTCACACAGTATGGTTAGTCACGAAAGACTTCATCGGGTATTATGGTATAAGTAAAGGTTTATAATTCAAAAATGTACTAAAATTTGTAGCTAAAAGGAATTATTGAAATCAGAGACTGATCAACTATAGCCCTGAATATAAATAAAGAGAAAATACAAGCCTTCAATTATGAAAACACATGTATTTAGGGAAAATATTCAGGCAAATGAAGTATTCATTAAAATTCGATCGTTGATGCGCACTATTGAGGAGTCCCACAATAAGACGAAACGGCCGTCCAGTGCTTCCAGATTTTCCATGGTGGTCTAGCTTCAACTGACTCATGTTCTTAACCATTGAAATAAAACTCTGTTAAAGGTTTTATTTAACTGCTGAAATTCAATCATAGACGGTTTCATTCAGTCTCATGAATAATCCTCGAACTTTTAGATCCAACGGTAGTGAAGTCATTCTATGAACTGTATAAATCATTAATTTTAATTCATATATATATATATATATATATATATATATTGGTTGTTTAAATCTTTCGATTGATGTTTAGAACTGTAATTGATTAATCTCTTTTGGAATATGTGCATTCTGTGCAGATTGCCTCGGTAATTTGTCAAGATTTCAAGTAAAGATGGATGGTGCCCAGTAAGATCGTCCTATTTGGGACTAGTCAATTGGATGTATGTGTATTACAGAATTGATCTTCACTTTGAGACTCAAACCTAGGACCTTTCGCTTCAAACCCGATGGTTCTTTTCCTATAGATAAAACTCGAATTTCACCAATATCAAATATTATGTTATAAATTATTCGTTGCCATATAAGTAATAATAGTATATTTAAGCGATCACAGTTGGAAGTATAGATAATGAAAACTCAATGATTCAGAGGTGAATAGGCAATCCTGAAGTCAAGATAGTTCGACTTTCCGTCTCATTTGAGTTTCGTATGTATATAATCTTTAGGAACCCCATACTAAGATGATACAGTTGTTCAGTAGAAACTGGTTTACAGGTAGCTAAAGCCCATCCAACATGTTAATGATCTTTCTAAATCACTTGAGAATTTCTATCACTATAAGTAAGTGTCCGTAACGTAGCTAGATCGAGACGATATTCACAAGATGTTGACAAAGATTGATTACAATTCAGTCTTGAATATAAAGAACAAGATAAATCAAATCATTACTACTAACGCTACAAATGATTCAGTAGCTCAATAGAAAACATGTTAAGATTTGAAATGAAAGGTATTTAGTTCAAGTTCAAATATTCAAGTATATCCAGTTAATGTATCCTACAATAGAACAAAACAAACATTCTTCATTCCATTGCTATTCATAATCAATCTATTCTCTAGAGATTTACTAATCGGCGGCCTGCTTGAATATTTGGGCTACCTGTTCCTCCCATCTAGATATTTCGTCAAGTTATCTGTTTTCTTGTTTGTTTTAACACATTATTATGTCTATTGAGCTCACAATCTATTCAAGCGCGTTTATGAAAAGTTTACAACCTTTCACTGTACGAATTACAAAAAGATACAACTAGCGACATCATGGTGGCTTGCAATACACATTGAAACAAATGAACATTATTCAAATGTCGATTATCGAACTCCTAACATTTAACTGGCCATCACTCAATATTTATCGTCAGGATTGATCAAGATATAAGAAAAGGAAACTTGTTGAAATACATTATGCTGAGAATTCAATAGTGTACCACAAATATAATGTTGAATAAAGCTTATAATAATAATAATATAATAGTTGAATTCATAAATTAATTAAAGGTAGACCATAATGAAAAACCTGGTAGCATAAAACTTCTCAACAATGCCCATTCATGATCTCGCTATTGGAATTCAAACCAAATATTTATCAGTCTTACACGCAAACACTTAACCTTCAAACCGTTTCATTCTAGCATGAAACTCCCCAAAAACGCACATCCACAATACCACTCTCGGGATTCGAACCCCAAAACTTATCGATATTTCACATGAAAGCTTAACTTCCAAATCGTTTCATTCCAGCATAAGACACCTTAGCAATGCACATCCATGATCCAGCTCTCAGAATTCAAACTTAAAACTTATCAGTCTTTCACATGAACACTTAATCTCTAGATCGTTTTTTGTTTTTTTTATTCTAGCATGAAACTCTTCAACAACAACAACAACAACATACAATTTCACAATTCCACTCATGGGATTCGAACCCAACATCTAATTAAAAATATATTTAAAAAAAAACAATATAATATTATAAATAGATTACCTGTTTTTAAATGATCTATATTGTCATTATTATCATTATAATCATTATTATCTATTCTATAATCATCTGGTATATAACCATATTCTAATAATGCAGTACGACATGCTCCATGGACAATTTGTTTAATCAGTTCACGAAATTCATATAATTTAATAGAAATATCATTTAATTGATGAACTTGATTTAATAAAAATTCTATTAAACTATATAATTTATCATGATTTAATTTACAGAAATTCATTTGTTTTATACGATAACACATTTCATGTATATTGAATATAGCTGGTCTTAATGATGTATTTAATAGAAATAAATGTGAATATAAATATTGTTTAGATTTATTCATTTTTATATAATTTATAATTTTACGCCATAATATAAATCCTTTCCATAAACAATATCTAGAAAAGGTTGGAATCTATAAACCAAAAAAAAAAAAAAAAAAAAGAAAAAAGAAAAAAGGAACAGGGGTGAAGGCGAGAGTGGGGATTGAGGGTGAGGGTAGGGGGTAGGGGGTGGGAGGGTTGTCACATTTTTTAGATATACTAATATCACAATAATAAAAAAAGTTTTTAAAAAGTATTTATTGAACCAGGGGTGAGGGTGGAAGTTGGGGTGGGGGTGGGAGTGTTGCCACATTTTAAAAATATATTATCAATAATCAAAAAAAATTTTTAAAGTATTTATTGAACCGGGGGTGAGGGTGAGAGTGGGGGTGGGTTGTCATTATTTGAGATATGCTTTCAATAATAAAAAAAAATATAAAAAAAGAATTTATTTAACAGGGGTAAGGGTGGTATGGTAGTAGTAGTAGTTGTAGTAGTAGTGGTGGTGGTGGTGGATTGTCATGCTTTTTTCTTTAGATATACTTTCAATATTGAATTGATAAGAAGAGTACGTATTTTTCAGCTTATATAAATATTAGTTGTTTTGGTAATTATTTGTTTTAGTTAGTGATTACAAAAGAAAAAAAAAGAAATTGAAATCTAATTGTCCCAAAACGGTATCCTATTGAGATATTGATGAGACTATAATTTAGAGATGAACCAATCAAGTATAAGATATTAAGTTTTGGATTTTGGCGCGAAATTCATTCATCCATCTGGCTAAATAGAGTTTTGGCATTATAGCTAATGTTAGTTTGTGAAGAAAACCCTTAAATCTAATTTCTAACCTTAACAATCAACTGTAAATCATAGCTCTAATTCTTCATACTGATTTATAATCCTCATTTGATCCTAGTGAGTAGTTGGACACTCTCAATATCATATGAGAGTTGCTCAAAAGTCGTCCATAAATTACAATCTCACCGAGATATTTAGTGGCCCTGAATCTGATTCCAGTTATATCGTATGAATGATTAATATTGAGATGTATATATCCACTTAATCAGATGTATATAAACATTCACTTAATTCACGTTAGTGTGTAGCGGAATTAAATAAGTACATTTTGTATACTCATTCATCCACACAGACGATCGAGGAGACAGAGCAAGGGAAGCGAATAAGAGAGAAAGGAACAAAACAGAATGACATGCACTAGAGAAGGTGTATAAACCAACTCTATTTAATCAAGCGTTACACAAAAAATAAGCTACTTCTTCGACGTCCTTTATGAACTAGTATACAAATCGTTTGAAACCGACTAGTGGCGAATACAAATCAAAACACATTATATGAATAACAGTTTAAACTATCTATGAAGATATAAACTTTCTAAATTAAGATCAATTCAATGAATTAAATCAATAGTTGGTTGCCTTCAAATCATACAGCTCAAAGCTGATTGAATTAAGAGTGTTCTTCTATCACTGATTTCACTCCATACATAACATAGTTAGATTTGATTATTTACACTAAAAGTATATTCTTTTATGTATCACATTAATACCAAAAAAAAAAAAAACCTACTGAATGATGGCTATTATCATTCCAGTTTAGAAAACAAGTTTCATTTCATTAGGTACTTGTCAACAAAGATATTTGTTTGTTCCAGTGTTGATACTCACAATGAAACATAAAATACAATACCGATTAATCTAACTACTAATGGGCTATCTAATAAAGTGTAACATTAAAGAAAAGAAGAAGAAAAAGAAAACACCAATTAACTACTTACTTGACATATTTCTTTAAATGTTTTATATTCTGTTTCAAAACGTTCCAATGTAATATGCTCTATATCATCATTTGCTATTAAATGTGTACAACCATTAAGACTTAAAGTATAATAATCATCACGATTGATATTTTGAAAGCTGACAACCCTGTTTTATGATAAGAATTGGGAATGGAGATTAAAACAAAGAATGACAAGAATATACATATTCATTATTGATAATTATATCAATATTGTATATTGAAATATCATTCTGAAATTTGCTATCTATTTCAAAATATCATGATTTTGCCTGAAAGTTTCTTTATATATTACTTTGCTACTTACTATATTTCAGTAGTTTGATTCTTTTTTTAAAATAATTATATATTTTTGGGTTCTGTAAGAAGTTGTGTCATTTTATTGTAACATCAGGTTATTTTAGTGATATTTACCTATCCAATATGTGAATTTTTCGATCAGAAAAACAGGATCAGAAATTAACAGGATACGAAACAGTTAAACTAAGAAGAGTGATATTAATTACAACAGAAAGTTAAACAAGAAACATTTAGTTCAAAAGGAGAGAACAGATTCAGAAAATGAAAAGTATGGAAAGATAATAAACTGAAAATTTAGATGGTGGTTGGAGGGAATCGACAGGAAACCCTGGACTCGGGTTTCGTGCTACTTGGCGCTCGTCTTCAAGGTGTACCTGTAATCTTTGAGGTTATTGATGCTCCCTGACGCATTCTATCCCGTGTCACCCAGCTTCACAGGGTTTCTTGTTGACTACCTCCAACCACCATCGAATGTCGAGTCACTTAGACTGGTGGCCGCATTGTACCATGGTCGATAGCATTCGATTTGCACTAATAAGGACTAGACAAGCATGACATTGATCACCACCTAGTGATCAATCAATTGTGAAACTGAAAATTTAGAAGAAAGTAAATGATGAATAGAACTCAACCATGAAACGTAACGATTCTAAACAAAGATTATGATTATCTCTTAGATCTTGAATTGAGAGTCTATACCATCCAATATTTCTGATAGTAAAGCAATCATTTCACAACATGATGATATATTTTGGTTTAGCCAGTCAGTATTACTCTCAAGTGCCACAAATATCTAATACGCTGTGGAATTACAGCTTCATACTAAGCTTACTACTAATGCTATAGTACTAGTACCAAAAACCCTACATTGGGAATAACAATTACACAGTAACGGATGTGAAGCACAATATTAAATGAGGTAGATAAAGTTATAATATTGAAGCTGTTGATTTGGAGTAAAGGTCGTGAAACCATACATCGCTTTAAATGGTGACATTGCTAAAACTTTTACAAATGTAATAGGTCAATGAGATGAATAATTTAAAGCGGCTTAAGAAAAATTAGTCTATCTGAAGATAGTTTTCATTACAGATAACCTCAATATATTCAATTTCTGATTATAGAAAGATTAGAAAAAGTTGAATACTATCCAGTGTATGGTTTATTCCACAGTCATACTGAGAGAGTAATGGGTGTAGAGTAGAGTATTGGACTATAACTTAATGATAGAATAATATAAGATTTAGTTGAACCCAACAAAACAATGGGTTTACAATCCATCGAGAGAACAGCTTTTAGTTTCATAAAAGCGGTTTTTTAAAAACAGACAATGGTGTTATTTAAATATTGGGAGGCCAGTGTATACAGATCATTGTGAAACAATCAACTGAATGGAATTGATCACTCTGTTATGTTCTCTACTTGAACACACACGAACACTATATAACTGATGACACTCGAACGTTAGAACCTCCAAAGTCTCTCAAGTAAGAAGACGAAAGACGTTTGAGAACACTTATTTGACAAGAATCAAAATATACAATAAAACATGCGTATTTATACAATTATATATATAATCAATATTGCCATGAAAGTTTTTAAACATTAATCGATAACTTAGTCAATCGACTGCCATTTTAAATATTTAAACATATGATCGATATGTCCGTCAATCGACTAAGTATGTGGGTGGCTTCTCGTTGGCCTTCTTAACACACTCAACATCAACTTCATTGACTACGAAAAAGCATTTGATAATGAGAACAGGACAACACCATGGAGGCTTCTTCGACACTACGACATGTCTAACAGGAGAGTCAGTATCACACGGAATTCTTAGGATGGATTAAACTGCAAAATCGTTCATGGAGGACAGCTCACAGGCTTGTTCGCAGTAAAGACTGGTTTCAGGCAACGTTGCTTACGCTCACTCTTTCTCTTTCGCCTGGTAATCAGCTGGATCATGAAGACGTCAACTACTGGGAGGAAACATGGGATACATTGGACAGCTAGGATGCAGCTGAACGATCTAGACATCGCAGATGATCTGGCTATTCTTGCGCACACGTTACAACAAACGTAGGAGAACACGACCAGTGTAGCAGCTGCCTCAGCAGCAATAGGTCTCAATATACACAAAGGGAAAAGCAAGATTCTCCGATACAACACAGCATGCACCGACCGAATCACACTTGACGGAAAAGCATTGGAAGATATAAAAATCTTTACATATCTGGTCAGCATCATTGATGAACAAGGTGGATCTGATGCAGATGTGAATGCACGGATAGGCAAAACAAGCACAGCATATCTACAATTGAAGAACATCTAGAACTCAAAACAACTGTCTATTAACTAACACCAAAGTCAGTAATTTCAATACAAATATTTGCCAATTTTACAGTATGTGGTGGAAACTTGGAGAACTACGAAAATAATCATCCAGAAGATACAAGTGTTTATCAACAGTTGTCTATGCAAACTACTTCAGATCCGTTGGTCAGACACTATGAGCAACAACCTACTGTGTGAGAGAACAAACCAGATTCTAGGGGAGGAAGAAATCAGTAATAATCGCTGTAAGTGGATAGGACACACATTGAGGAAAGCAAGTAACTGTGTCACATGGATAGCCGTCACTTGGATTACTTAAGAACAAAGGAGGAGAAGTGAAAGACGAAAGAACACATTACACCAAGAAATGGAAATAGACATGAGTCGAATGAACATCAATTGAATACAACAAGAAAGAAAGGCCCAGGACAGAGTGGGTTGGCGAATGCTGATCGGTGGCATATGATCCATTGGGGGTAACAGGCGTAAATGTAGTGGAATCGAATCGAGTGAATATTTGTACTTGTACTACATTACACGTTTTCAATGTCTAAATTTACAAATCAAGATCATTATCAATATAAGGTTTTGTAGATTATTGAGCTCACATTGATATTATGAATGAATCAATTTTAGACTACTATTAAACACTTAAAAACACTGAATGTCGGTTTCGTCCTAGCATTGCACATTCATTCATGATATCAATTTAAATTTGATTATTTACATGATCATATTATCTCTATGAAACAATACAACAATAATGATTAGATGGTGGTTGGAGGTAGTCGACAGGAAACCCTGGACCCGAGTTTCGTACTAGTTGGCAGTCGTCAGCAAGGCGTGCCTGTAATCTTTGAGGGAACTGATGCTCCCTGACGCATTCGATCCCGTGTCACCCAGCTTCACAGTCAGAGACGTTACCATCCACCACCCAGTGATCAATCAATTATGATTACAACAATAGTGATCGGAAAATATTATGTCCCGATAAGCAAAATGAATGGTAACTTTTGGGATCTATTTATAGACCAGTACTATGCGTATACATTTTTATCGTATCATTTTTAAGTAACCACACTATTCATATTCATATTCTTCTTATCATAAGCTATATTTTGACCTATGAAGTGTTATTATACAATTTACCATTCTTGAATTATGCCCGGTCTATTAACTACAGTCTCTCACATTCACAGTCACATTTGGCTAGTGCTTATATAAATGTTCACTTGGTGTTGTTTTACTTGTATCTTCCCATTGTTATTTAGGACTCCGATTGATCAGTCTCATGTTGGTATATGTGCAACCTGTGCGAATTACCTCAATATAGCCTTATTGTTTCCTATTTTATGGTACCATATGGTCTGTTTTGATTGGTATACAAACCGATTATATATTTGAAATATGATGATTCATATAACACTGGTTTAGATTAGTATTCTGAACTTAACTGGTTGGGTTAGACAAAAAGCAGAACCGATAACTACTCTAGGCTGTTCGTACAGGTGTTACGCGTCATTCATCTCTAATTGGCGATATCATCACGCTATACATTCATTAACAGGGTACATACATAGGTCATAAATTATAGCATAAGACATAGTTCACATTAAACATATAACTTACTTAAGATTATAAAAGTTATATTTAGTTGATCGTTTTGATAAACAATTAGTTAAATAAAAAAATTTAATATGTTGATTTTCTCGAAGGATATTGATTATTTTCAATATATCCGTTTCACCTTCATAACTTGCAATTTCTATGAATCAAATAAATCAATCATAATTGTTTATTGATAATTGATTATACATTTTAATATTGATCTATTAATAAAATTTAATTTATGATACTTTGATATTGTGGTGTGTGCTACTTATGTAAACATAAGTAGTATATGATATTAGTCGTGAGCAGAATGTTTGGCAGCACACAGCGGCATTATATGTGGCGGGTGCTGTCGACTGGAAGAGGCGGTGGGACGTGCAGCTGCTGGGCGGACATCAGATGTAGATGTCTCAGCACGCCGGTGGAGCATAGGTGATAAACGTCCCAGGTGCCGGGTGGATGTCGGATGTTGGTGCCCCGGCAGGTCGATGGAGATATAGAGGTCAGTACGCCGCAGACTAGACATTTTGATGGAGGGCGTAGCACAGAATGCAGAAAAGAAGAATGTGGCACGGTGATCATGAACCACGGCAAGAACGACTGGTTTAAATGGGGGACGAGTGTGGTGTGTGCTACTTATGTAGACATAAGTAGTATATGATGTTAGTGGTGAACAGAATGTCTGGCAGCAGAGAGACAAGAAGATCGAACAGTAAAGAATGAAGAAAGAATATAATTTGTGTGAAAATGCAAGAACAAAGGAAGTCCGAGTTATTTTGAGACAATTGATGGACATTTTTCAAATTGAGCATTTACTATATGGTTGTTAGATTTTACTAACTAGTTCTGTAATTTCTTGTTAAATACGTTCGATTGTCTCCACTGGTGTTCTTGTTCACTACAGTATGTGCTACTAATATCATTGAATATATAAGTAGTATATATCATCAATAGAAAGTGAAATACCTGATGATAGAAGGTTAAGAAGATCAAAGAGAAGAAAATGAGTGCGAAGAGTAATTGATGTAAAAAAGAGGGAACAATCAAATCTGAGACAATTGACGGATATTTTGCAAATGAAGTAGTTACTGTATGGTTCTTAGATTGTACTAAAAGATTGGATAATTTCGTATTACACATACTTAGTTGTCGCAATTGATGTTCTTGTTCACTACAATACTATTCAACTTACTCAATAGTAGTAGTAGTAGTAGGTAGACTGTGCTGTTTTAGTTACACGTAAATGATGTCAATTAATCATTGAGAACATACATTCAAATAAGTCAACTGAAGCTAGACCACCATGGAAAATTTGGAAGTACTGGACTGCCGTTTCGTTCTAGTATGAAACTCCTCAACAGTGCGAATCTATGATTCTACTCGCGGTCTGTTGTAAGACAGTAACTCATTGAAGACAACAGTGAATAGTGATGCAATTTCATGAATTAGTTGACGTTTAAGAAAATGTAAGCTATATTTGAACTAATGACTAAGTTTCACAATGATTAGTTATGTCAATGAATTTTAATCACCAATCTTCATTATACAATATTTTGAAGTGGCTTTATAGAGTATGATATGTATTATGTACGCTCAAATGTGTTTTAGCGCTTTGTAGAATCGAAATAATCTACAGCATGTATGATTTAAAGATAAAACACAGTGAGTCGCAAACAAACCCTCTGTAATGCTATAATTCAACAATTGAATTGACCAATCAGTCGAACTGCCAATTTATAATAGAAATCTTTGTCTTTATCAAGGATAGCTGAATTTCATTAATCATGTTACATTTTGATTCATATCCTGTATGAATTCAGTCAAACTTCTAGAAGAAGTTCAAGCTTAACTACTCTTTAAACAAGCTTAAAACATACATTCAGAACATTGAATGTGCTAATTAACAAAGTCATATGAAAAAGGTGTCAATAATATTTACTTTTTCATTACAGATGATTTAGATCAATAAGCTACATTTGGTTACAGTACTATGAGTAACATAGTACTAAAACGTCTAATATTTCACTGATTACTTCAGATAAAAGTTGGGTAGATAGACCAACCATTTGATTTTCTGATGTACTTAGACAAAATCCCTGAAAATATTCGCAATTGACATAAGACCATATTTTAATTTATTTTGACAAGGATTGATGTATTTCATAAATGATTCTGCAGATTAAAATGAAAGGTTTTAGTGGTATTTGTATAAAATGCTGATTGATTTTTACTTTATTGCATGCCCACATCTAGTCCCAATAAATTTACAAGTTCACATAATCTTCTTACTGTTTTTCTGTTCTGGCTCATTAGTGATTACTCATGTATGTTTTGCATAAACTTAAAAATCACTAGTTTGTACGTTAAATTTCCAACTAGTTCTTCTAATTCTAATAGTTCAGTGTTTCAAATTGTTCAAACAGATCAAGCGGTTGTGGATGGAATCGAAGAAGTTCTCGTTTATAGATTTCTCAGTACATGAAACAAACAAAAGTGTATGTGAAATACTGTTCTAAGCCTTTAAAAATATTTCAAGCGTTTTCCTGTTGGAACGTCTGGGTAGTCACTTTAACCACTTTGGCCAACAGGGAATTACAAGTCATGATAATTCGTTTCGATAAGCCTAGGATTCAGTTTATTTAGAAAGTCATCAATGGGTTGTTTCTTGACAGTTGTAGCGTATTTCATGCATAAATCTTGTTGCGCTACGGCAATTAGAAGTTTGAAAAAACCGTTCATGCAATAAATATTGCATTATAAGCGTACGCGAGCGGTTTATGTTAATTCATTGCCGCGGAAAAGTCTGTGGTTGCAAGTGAAGGTAGTAAAAATATATGAGGACGATATAAATCCCTATATTTTTTGTAATGATCAGCAAAGATATACTACATAAATCTGGAAGATACATACTGTATAATATGCCCATAATTATGTGCTTATAATTTACGGTGAATTGTAGGTACTGTCTCAATAAAATATTGTGGTATTTATACTAACTGATGATTCCCTTGTGCTTGACTGAGCACTTATTACGAATCACTAATGTGATACGTTCATTTTTGCCCATGTATTTCTACTTGCTTTAAATTGCACTATTCTGGAAATTCTGAGTTAGTGCATGAATCTGAATACTTCTAATTATCATATTGGCGTTGCGTTGAAGCCTGGGATTAGATAGTTGAGTATTAATTCAAATCCTAAAACTTTCGACTATCACATGAAAAAGTTCAAGATATGGTTTATGACAAGGAACGATGTTAAGGATAATAAAATTAAGGGTCATCTACTCGCATGCACAGAAAAGGATACCTACGGTCAAATAAAATATTTATCGTTTCCAGACAAGCCCATATCACTTCTCTACGCAACACCGGTAGAATTACTACTGAATAATTTGAAATATGCAAATTTTGAGTGCCATAAAGAGTGAAATTTCACACGACAGTTCGCCAGGACAAGAAGAAGGTTAGAGCTTTTATCCTCGAATTGCAGGAACAAGTTGTCAAGTGCAATTTGATTGACCGACTTCATGTAAAGCCGCATGGCGGAATTATTTCAGGAATTAACACACTAAGTTTGTGAGGAAGAGAGCTTACGCATATTCCGAGGTGTTTTTTCAAGATTCTGGGAATGCGTGTATTAATTATGACACAATACATTAACTTGACTTCCAGGACATCAAGAATTATACTATACTGCTTATTTACCCTAATCCGATTTGTACTCAAGGTTATAAGGATAGGCGTTCAATTGACGAAAATCATCATTTACGTGAAATGATAGATGAAAGCTCATTCAGGATTTGTGAGGCAGGATACAAAAGTGAGCACTAGCATAGTAAGTGTTTATACTGCGGTAAATTTTGCTTACGAAATTCATGTGCACTTCGTCATACTAAATGCCTTCACTGTAGCGAAATGGGACACATTCAGTCGATTTGTGAAACCAATATTGACTTTTCCGCAGGTAAAACTAGACTTTGGTTCAAATCCTATTAATTTACGTGCAAAATTCACAGACTCGAAGCGGAGAATAGATAAGGTCTTTCAGTGTGGAATTACCACAACGTACTCACAAGAAACAAAAATGAGATTGCCAAAAAAGAAATCTCCGTCCAAATTAAAAACGTTTACAGTCTGTTGATGTTACAAACTATCAAGGAACTGATTTTCCATAACCTTAGAAAAGGGTCTGCTTAAAATGATTGACAAATGAATGGTTCATATCCAAACCAGCCTTAACAATCGAATACATTTCAAGGGCTCAGGTGAATCCGCTCCACTTACCATTATTTATTCTGAAACTAATGAGTACATTCCACACTATTTCAAACGATTTCAAATGTTATAAGACTTAATGAACTTTGGAGTAGAAGAAAATGTGAACAATCACAATGTAACGACAAAGTATTTAAAAACCAATCATGAAGACATCTTGAAGACTCACCATCCAATGTTTCTGAAACAGAACAAGTACCTATTAATAAATAAAATAAGGAGTTAAACAGAGTACTCTACACATTTATTTAAAAGTTACCTGGATGTGCTCTGTATGGATGAAATCTAAGTAGGCTACTAGGTTTAGGATTTTCATCTCCTTCGACTAGTTCTGAATTTGGCAACTTTTCCTAACAGAACTTTGTAATACAAACTTCTTACCTCTAGCGAAAATGAACTTTTTGAGCTTTGAGGCACACTTCGTATCAATGGTCTTTCTCTGTCGAAAGGCATGACCCTACGGAGCTTCTCACCCTTGTGGGAAACATAGGGGTGAGTTCCTGAAAGTGACTCATGTGCTCTCTTTTGCATTGATTCAGGTTTATTAAACTCTTGAAATTCCTGTAACTGTGACTGAAGAATATATAAATATCTCCATAAATAAATAGTTAACATTACTAAGGGTTCAACGAAAGGATGTGCTGGAACAGAAAGTCTTTTCGCTTGAGCGACAGTGGGCTTCTTAAAGCATAATCTTTCTTTTATTCTATCCTCTATATTCAGTTTAACATTTACATCCCTCGTAACCATCTGTTTTTGATGATTGACCGTATTTTGTAAATTTACCAACGTAATCTCTATAGCGCTTTTTAATATGGCATGGTAAAACAAAATGCTTCATCCAATCTTACTTTATATGTTATGTGTAACTCGCATAAAATCTATGCCTGCCTACTTGTTTATTAATTAAAATTCTCTCTTATTTTTACTGTTTTATTCCAATTTCTTAGTACAGACTGACGCTCCAGGAACAGTTTCAGTTTGGAAAGGACAGGAGGCTTGATGGCCTGTGTTAGTCCTGGTAATTGTGTTCTCTCAATTGATCCAACTTTCTTTTGAAAGAATCTACGGATGGAGCTTCAACCACATGTTGAGGTAATGAATTCCACTCGTTTATGATTCGGTGGGAAAGTCGATAATCATCTGACAAGTAATTTGTTCTGGGCTTGTGAACTTTTTTGGAGTGTCCTCGTAAATTCTCTGTTTTGGAAAACAAGAAAAATGAGGGCATATCAGTTGCAAGTTTATCACTAAGCAATTTGAAAACTGTAATCAAGTCGCCTCTAGTTCTACGATATGACAAAGGGAATAGGTCATCAGTCTTTATTAATAAAACAAAATCATTTGACTGATTTCGGGTTTTGTTTTCTCACTTTCGTATTGTAGGGCCAGTGAAATTCCACTGAGCCCTAGCCAAATCATCCGGTAGTTGGGTAATTGAATATCGAACAAATCATCGATCCTCGTCAATGTTAATGACAACCAACGCGCATCACTTAATCGTACTCCAAGGACTGGCCCATGCGACAGTGGTCTTACCTTCGCTTGCATCTACTTTAACTAATATATTTCTGTAATAACGTCCTCTGTGTTGTACAGTCTTCAAAGCATCTATAGTACCTTGATACGTCAATAGGGTAGTCTATGTATGGTGCTGATCAAGAGGTGTGACTTCGACACTAGCTAGTTCGTCACACCATTCCAGTTTAACTCGAGTAGGCTTCCGATCATTCGACATAGATCATCTACGTTGGTGATCTACAGTATAATTTAGACCGTCACTTTATCTTTAATGGTTCCATATTTCGTACAACAAACACAACATGAATGATAGGACATGTTTACTTTCTTTATAACAGATAATTTGAATCTCATGGTCGTGCACAAACTCTCTATCCATAGCTACTTAGGTATGGTATATACTACTCAATATTCGCAGCTTTCTAGATAAGGTTTAGGACTAATTGAATTATAGGTTAGAAACCCTCTGATCCCATATTTTTTAATTGTCAAACTGATATAGTCCTGAGTATTCCATACGAACTTGGAGTTTGATAACGCCATTACACGTAACACCTTTATGATTCAAAGAAATCAACCCAGTCAAATCAGAAGTCAGAAAGCATATTTGGGAAGCTTTCGATGTATACAAAGCCGTTTGGTCCAAGTTGGCTATCAGTTTGAAGGGATGCGAGACACGGTATAGCCACTATTGATTTAGTATGGACGCGTGAACTAGCGCTTTCAACTAGGGTGTGTCCAGCAAAACCTACGAGACTAACATAAATGTCGAAGACCTGAAGAACTATTTTTTGGGGGGATTCACTTATCTCTACAGGCATTTCGAAAACTCATAGGTAAAAGTGGTGCAGTTGTAGTTAAGTAAATATCGATCATATCGGTCTGACTACGAGGACCACCTATATGTTTATGATTTATAACAAGGTCAGGTTCAAACATTTTTCTACTACAACCATTCATATCTCTACAATTCTGACCACAGTCCACTATGAGAAGTCACAAATAAAATTCTGCTGATTGGTATACCAGTTAAAGATCACATAGCAGCAAACAAACTGATACTTGTGTTCATAAATAATACATATTCAGGTTCTAAGTGGTTTAAATTGTGTTCCATGCAGCTTATCAGTTAAAAGTCCTTAAAAACTCTCCTAAATGATTCTGAAATCCTTTACCAACGCTGATAAGACTTTTTTTATAGATTTAAGAGGTTAATTCTTCACTTTGACTTCAAAATATAATGACCCGTTGAGTCCATGCTTTCCAACAGGCTATTTCTCGTAGCGTCACTATGAATCTACTGTAGAATATTTAGAAGGCAAAATGTCAGCTGTTGGGGAAAGTGTGTAATGTTGACAACCTATTAGATCCACATACACTGGATGAGTAAACACATAGTAAAGTGAGTGCTTGAGAAATAGAAAAATGCACACATATTTCACGGGTGTTAATCAATATGTGAGTACAGTTATTGATTGTCTGTGCTTACAACCAATGAGTGAAGAGATAAATGTAGGGATAAAGACATAAATCCAGTCCAACTGACACATTCATTTATACAGTAAATTAAATACCTAAATTAAAGCAGGTATTAAAAATAAAATGAGGCTTTTTGGCCTCCCTTATGTAACCTGGGAAAATAGATCGCACAAATAGATTGACGATAGCCTGATTTAGGTTCTAGAAGTATTCGAACATACCCATCCGATAGCCACAGTTATTGAACGTCTCATCTAAGTCAGAAATGCGGAAATGTAACAAAACCGACATTTTCCATTGGAACATAATCTTTCGCAGGAGTGTGAAATGCTATTTATACTGTACTCAACATGAAAATTACATGGAATAAATGGGTTATTCCTTCAGTGTTCTGGAGGCTTCCATGTATAAAAGCGTATTAGAAATCACCTCCATATAACTTCAAACTATAAGATCTCGTCAACTACAGTGATTTAATGACACATCTCTTTGCTTTTATTTTATCTAATTTCTTCTTAAACTATTGTGCTCGCATTATTTCTGAGAGATCCAAATGTCAGTCACATTTTCAAACTCAATGATGAGCCCTAAAGTATACTAGTTCCTTTTGTGCATGGGTTTGTATGTATGTGATGTGAACCGGGAAACAAGAAGCTCTGACAAACTACGAAGGCTATTTTTCGGAACGTTATTTCATTTTATTCAAAGCTTGTAAAACACTGACATTTATTTTTATCCCTAATCTATTCTACAGAACATAAGCTTTCGTTCGAAGTATCATTCACTGCCATACTTTTTTCTGTTCCGAAGCTATTGTAATTTAAACATATTATTTTGCACCCTATTTTCTACTGTAATTCCCAGCTTTGGACATAATTGTATTTTTCCTAATTATTGTACGTTGCGGTCGGGTTATTCACTTATTTATTCATGTACCTTTTTACACTAATCTGAATTCAGTGAATCCAGTGAGTTCAGTGGTCAGGGGAATAGATCGAGTAGTGTTCCAGTTGTCTTGTCTTCTCTCATTCGTGTGCTTGCCCATCAATCAGGTGACAGAATAGTTTTCTTCTCTCTACCCCATCTAGAACTCACGCGTACTAGTCTCAAGGTTAAGCCGATCAGCCTATCGCATCAAGGTCGAAATCTAGATTAGACAAGTATCCTCGGCACCAAAAGTGGGTAGACAAATCAACGTCATAACAGTATGTCTTTGATTGCTTGTGAAAATCCTCAATGTATCTTTTCTACATGAAAGACGTACTTTTCCATGATTTTCCGTTCCTTTATTTGAATATTCCAATTATTTTTTCGTTCGAAATTAGATTGTTATCGTTCATTTTACTTACAGTTCGGTATTCAACGTGTGTCATCTTATCGTTGGTTCGTTATTTAGTGTTAATTTTGTTCTAACGACTTTCTAGATTGGGTGACTGCCGTACTGTTTCTTTGGATGTAAAATTCTACTGCTTGAATTGACTTGACTCAGAAAACAAGGCTCTCCAGATTGTTGGTTCTCTTTGCACTGGATAAGTAACTTATTCACATCCCTTAAGGCTTTAGACGTTTGAAAGGTTTTGGGTTTCAACCATTCTACTTTTTACCAAATAATTTTTTAGCTACAGAGCCTGATGTCAATAATAATCCAAATATTTTGTAATCCTTATGATTAGAACACTTATGTTTTGAATATATCTTTGAGAAAAAACGTATGCCTAGTTCATGATTCGCACGTATGTAGAATCTGAACCTTATCAGTCAGGATGTAACAGTTGCATCATAATATGCGTCTAAAACATATATTGAAAGTGAATGATCATGCTGACCTGATTTTCTAACTAAAAACATGAAATTACGATATTTATTACTGTCTCAATTACTTGCCAAAGTATTAACTTTACACTTCAGTTTGCTTTAGAACTCTACGAGGACGTTCACAAGACTTATCATTTGTGTAGCCTCTACTGTCATGTCACTTTCCGATCCCAATTCAATACTCAAAATGAACTAAAATGAAGATTATAAATTAGCGAGCCTATGATTAATGAACTAACTAATCCAATATAAGATAACAGGTTTCAGATGTTGACGAGAAATTCACTCACCCATTTGGCTTAATAGGATTTTGACATTATAGGTGATATTAGTTCGTGATGAAAACCATAAATCTAAATCCTAACTCTTACCATCAACTGTAAATCACAATTCTAATTCTTCACACTTCTTTATATTCGTCATTTACTCGTAGTAATTAAGTGGACATTCTCAAGGTCACTTTAGCATCACTCAAATGTCATCCATAAATTATAATCTCACCTATAAATTTATGATTTTTATCAGAAGGGGTTTTGTGGAGAATTGGTAATTTCAATAGTTGAAATCATGAGTTAATTGAAGCCAGATCACCATGGAAAACATGGAAGAACTGGACTGCCGTTTCGTTTTAGTATGGAACTCCTCAGCAGTGCGCATCCATGATCTCGCCCTCCCTGCGAGATTTGAACCCAGGACCTATCAGTCTCGCTCCAAGCACTTAACCAACTAGATCACTAAGCTAGCCGGCACCCAACAGTTTTATGCCTAACTTCAACCAATCCACCAAATTGCGCCATCGTCACCATTGTCTTCATTGAGCTGATATCTCACAACAGACCTGGCTGAACTCCACAAGGTCACGGCTTCTCACTAGAATTCCAGAAGTATCTCTTGAAGTCAGTCACTAGTGAGCAGATAATTATTATCAAAAGAGGTTTCGTAAAGAATGGATACTTTCAATAATAATAAAAAAGAAGAATAAAACAGCATGGATACTTCTACATAAAAACATTACAATTTAAGAATGATTGAATACTTTGAAAATAAAAAATAATGTTAAATGTTACAAGTTAATAAGAAAACAAAAACCATGGTACGATATATATATATATATGTATATATGAGAAAGTGAGAGTGTGAGGTAGAATGTTGAATACTGCATTACATTGAACATTGAATAAAATAAGCATCCATTGAACATTTTCATTGAATCAATACTCAACACTTTTCAAATGTATCCATTTGAATGTTTGTTTGTTTGTTTGTTTTTAATATATGACTTTATAAATAAAATGAAGAGGTAGAAGAATGAATTGATTATATAATACTTTTAATAAATTGTATCTATTGTATATACTAAACAAGTATTAAACAAATAGTCTATTGATATACATAGATATTGAACAATTGAATATGATATGATTTGTACATTGATTTAAAGAAATGTTATATTATTAATATTATCAATGTATATACTTATAATGAATGTTATATATATATATATATATTCAATGATTTGTACTATCTTTAATGATAAATCATCTATTGTACAGTAAGTTGTGGTAATATTAATCGACTTAAATTACGTTTCACTCTATTACTATTATTATTATTATTATGATTATTACAAAATAAAGCACGCATTTGTTGTTCTGAATTATAATTTCTAAGAGTTGATATAGATATACCTAATAAATTAGCTAATAAATCTGTATTCACTTCATATAATGCTAATACATCAATTAATTTCATACGTTGTGGATTAGATAAATAACCACATGTTGGATTACATTGTGGAATTAAATGATCAATAACTGGAATATATTTTAATGAATGATTTATAAATTGTTTTGTATAGGTTATATTTTTATCATTACTCATCAATGTATCATTTAACATATTTTTACATAAATAAGCACCATGGATACCATCAATTGAAAATAAACCACATGAATCAATAATATGATACATAAATGAATTTGAATATTGACCAAATATTGAATTAATATGTTTTCGTGGTTTTTTTTTATATTGTTTTATTAATTGTGAGAATTTTTTTTGATTTGGTCTAGTCATTGTTAATGCATATGGATAAGATTTTAATATAGTATAATCATTAAAATTAATAAAACTACGTTTATATCTTTTAGGATATTGATTAAGTAAATTAACAAGACGAGATAAAAAGATTAGTGTTGAATTAGATGTTGTTGTTGTTGTTGTCATGGTGGTGGTGGTGGCGGCGGTGGTTGTTTTGGATGTTATCTTAGTAACACTTTCTTTATGTTCAGATTCTTGATGATTATTTGTATTTGATTGTTGAGCTTTAAGTAAAATATTTGGGTAATGAATTGAGAAATATAATAATTTTTGTTTTACCCAATGTCTATAATGAATAAAAAAAGAAGTAGTATGGTTAGTTTTTTTTTAATAATAAAACAAATATCATATTGATGATTCTTGGAGGAAAAAAATCAAGTTAGATATATGATTTCATTAGTTGAGAACATGAGACAATTGAAGATAGATCATTATGGAAAACTTAGAAGAACTGGACGGCTGTTTCTTCCTATTGTGGGACTCTTCGACAATCGGCATCCAAGATTCCGCCTTGCGATATTTGAAACCGTCCAATGCTTCCAGATTTTCCATGGTGATCTAGTTTCAATTGACTCATGATCTCAAACTGTTCTAATTAGAAATATGAATCATATAATTCAAAACCCAGTAAATTAAGAAAAAATGTGATTACTATAAAATTTAATGATGATACTGAAGTATATATAAGTATAGATATATGGTGGTCAGGGGTTGGATGTAGGATGCTTTTTATTTTGTTTTGGGACTCGTCAGCTGAATGCACTTCCATCTCAAATTTGATAATCACTCCGTGACTAGAGTTCAGTACGTTTTGCTTTAAACACAGTCGTATTAGCCACTTAGTTACCAAGTCCAGATAGACAATGAGTTTTATAATGGAGTTAATTTTATTTCATATATGATGTTCAAAATAATCAATAAATATGGATAATAAAGTCAGGTATCGAATAAGTTTCAGTTCGATTGCCTGACTAAGTGACTTGACATCAACTATACTATATCTGAATGTTAGGTAGCTGAGAGAAACTGACAAGAAGCCTTGAGCTTAGGTTTCATGCTATGTGGCACCCGTCATTAAGGCTTGTATATAACCGTCAAGGGAACGATTCCAAATCACTCGACTTACTTACTTACGCCTGTTATACCCCACGGAAAAGCATAGGTCGCCTACCAGCACTCTCCATCCAATCCTTTCCAGCTCTTCCCAGTTGTTATTCATCCTTTTCATACATGCTTCTACTTCTCAACGTAATGTGTTTTTCGGTCTTTCTCTTTTCCGTTTCCCTTCAGGATTCCAAGTAAGCGCTTGTCCCGTGATGCAATTCGATGATTTTCTTAAAGGATGTCCTATCCACTTCCATCGTCTTTTCTCAATTTCCTCTTCAGGTGAAAGTTGGTTTTTTCTCTCCCGCAAAAGGCTGTTGCTGTTGGTATGCGGCCAACATATGTTGAGGATCTTGTGTAGAAAACTATTTATAAATGCTTGTACCTTCTTGATGATGGTTGTAGCAGTTCTCCAGGATTTTTCTCGTATAGTAGAACTGTCTTGACGTTCATATTGAAGATTGTGACTTTGATATTGGTTGAACGTTGTTTTGAGTTCTATATGTTCTTCGACTGGAGGAACGCGGCCCTTGCTTTTCCAATCCTTGCTTTTACGTCTATATCCGATCCTCCCTGTTCATCGATGATGCTACACAGATACGTAAAGTATTCTACATTTTCCAGAGTTTCGCCACTGGGTTTGACTCAGTTGGTGTTCTCCGTGTTGTATTTAAGGATATTGGTTTTTCCTTTGTGTACGATGAGGCCTACTGATGCAAGGGATGCTACTACACTAGTTGTCTTCATCTGAATTTGTTGATGTGTATAGAATAGGAAAGCTAGGTCATCTGCGAAGTCCAAGTCGTCCAGCTGGTTCCGAGCTCTTCATTGTATTCTATGCTTTACTTTAGATGTCGAGGTTTTCATAATTCGGTCAACCACCAGAAGAGAGAGGAAGGGGAAAGAAGAAAGCCTTGTCTGACTCCGGTTCTTAATTGGAATGCATCTGTCAGCTATTTCACATGCACGGCTTTGTAATGTAGTTCGTCGTATGAGTGCCGAATAATGTTGACAATCTTCTAAGGAACTCCATAGTATAGAAAAAGTTTCCATAATGTTCTCCTATCCACTGTCAAATGTCTTCTCATAGTAAATGAAATTGATGTATAGTGACGAAGCTCACTCAACCGATTGTTCGACGATGATCCGTAGTGTCGCAAATCACTCGACCCATTGTAAAAATAATTAGAACAGTACACTGAAATATCAAATAACTTTCATTACAACAAATATTCGGGGATTTCTGATTACTAAGAATTTTGTTGTGGTTCTAAAACTGTGTGAGGAATTAGAATTATGTTTTACAGTTGACGATTAAGGTTAGGAATTAGATTTTGGGTTTTCATCACAAACTAACATCAGCTATAATGCCAAAACTATTTAACCAAATTGGGTGAGTGAATTTCGCGCAAATATCCGAGGCCTATCATCTTATATCTTATTGGTTCGTCCATAAATTATGGTCTCACCGCAGAATGTTTTGTGTAAACTTTTAAACGAGCATTACTGAAAGGGATAGGCGAAGACACAATTAGTCAGATAATCACAAAAGTTTTAACAGCCTACAGAACCACTCCGAACCGAAATGTCCCAGATAACAAGTCTCCTTGAGCTCCCAATTTCGGTAAAATTTTGGGGAAATGGCACAAAAACCCCGAAATTTCTCCAGACATAGGGAAATTCCCGAATATTTCCCTGAAATTCCCCTTTAACCTTGGTGAAGGTCATTTGATTACGAGAGTTTCCCCAAAACACCCCAAATATTCCCCAAAGTTCCCCGAAATTTCCCCAACCTTGGAGCTCGGGTCCCACTGAAGCCATGTTCGGAAGGCATTTTCAAACCATTTTTGAACGCCATGTTGTCACCTGAATTAGTCGATTGGCACAGTCACAATCCAAATATCCGAAGCTTTAATGTTGGCGACGAAGTTTACATTAGTTTTTATCTCGGAAAGAACTAATGGGAACCGAGAAAGGTTGTACAAAAATTGAGAAGAGTTTTTACAGGGTATACAAATCAAATCCATAAAGATAAAAGAACGATGCACACTCAAAATAAACAGCCGAATCTTCCGTTAGAGTTAATCTCAGACACATCAACGTTACAAGGAAGACAATAAAAATAATGAGACGCCGCTGCTAACCAGTTGTCAAGTTAGAAGTTGATCCTAGGAAGAAATCTTATTCGGAGGAGGTGTTGAGTCGGCTTCCGAGAACTACAACGGAGCCTCCAGAGACCCTAAAGGAGCCGAAGAGTTCCAGCCAATCAGAACATGATGGAGCTTTCTAGAATATCAACGTAGTATGCTACTATTGGTCAGTAGCATACTATGTCTCTTAACGGATTGGCCAAAATATAATGTTGATTTAACAAATGCTCATATCTATAAATACCCGAGTTTTTCTGTACAAGAACGAACCATTGGAGTAAAGTACTTTTCGCATATTTTGCATCTTTTCTCTCGTGTTCAGGTCGCTGTGTAGTTCTAGCTTGGGGATTACGAGAATAGCTTAAGAACCGAATATAGCATTCAATTAGCAAGACTTATCATGAATATAGAATAGTAGATCTAATCTTTAAACCTTTATCAAATTTGAATTATACACAATGAGAATAATGATATAACTAATATAAATTAAAACTTACTTTTCTAATTCATTATCCCATGATTTGATTGCATTCACTAAACTTATTGTTCCAATCATTTTATGCACCCAATTACTGAATTTTGTATGATTTTAAAATTAGAAGAAAGAGATAAGAAGAGATAAATACAAGTTATTGATATCATTTGGAATTTTACTTATACTACTATTATTATTACCATCATCAGAAGAAGAGTGTTTTGTGGAGATTTTAGTGTTTCAATAGTTGAATTCATGAGTCGATTAAAGTTAGACCACCATAGAGAACCTGAAAACGCTGGACGGGTGTTTTATCTTAGCATAGAACTCCTCAACAGTGAGCATCTATGATCCATTCCGCGGGATTCGAACCCAGGACTTTTAGTCTCGAGTGCAAATACTTAATGTTTAGACCTCTGGACCAATTCACGAAATTGCACCACAAAACCCTCTTCTGATAGTAATCATCATGTACTCACTAGTTACTGGTTTTAAGGAGTACCTCCTGGAGTTCTTGAGTGAAGCAGTGACCAGTGGAGTTCACCGGGATCTCTTATGAAACGGTGGCGTAAACTATACTACATTCACAGACCAAGGACATTTCACATGTTTATGTAATTCGATCACTGGACAGTAATCAATATCACATTGTTTATTTCTTACAATTGATCGAATTCTGTTGATAAATTTTCAGTATGGTGATTATATTAATTTACTTGGTATCGTTGTTAGATGTTATAAAGATTAGAAGTAACTACGAAGAATTCCCATATTGAATGTACTCCTGTCAGTAATTAGTAAATCTTATAGTGACAAAACTTTTGATGGGACTTTATTCACTAAACTGAATGGTTTGGTCATGAAGCTTTCATTCTTATTCTGATGAACGATATTATCCGCACAAATTGCGAATAGAAATGAAGTGACGATACTAATAATTCGAAAAAGAGTCATAGAAAACTTAAGACTCAGCTACATGGATAGTACCATAATTTCATGTTTTATTATATGAATTAGTAAAATGCAACTGTTTATACAAGAATGTAGATAGAATATTAGTTAGACATACATTATAATCAATGATCCTATCTTATGTGCTATGATAAAATTACTACGTTGAATGAATATATTAATAAAATGATAAATAAATAACAGATGTGTATCAAAGAAATGCATTCTTTTTCTCTCTTTTATTCAGATTACTTTGACTGTACACTTGGATTAACATCGAAATTAACCAGTACATTATAGGTCATAGAAATCCTTTGTCAAATTTTATCGATTACATATTCTAATATTGTAAATTACTGTTAGATTTTGGGGGCTGTAAACTTTCATGGTCCACTATCAGTTGAATAAGAGGTTGATTTTAATATGGATAATGGAATGATAATAGCTGAAACTATTTCTCTTTGATTGTTTATATAACCTAGGGATTGGTAACTAAGTAATCGAACCACTGACATTTACTACAAATGTTCGTATATATATGCTTTGTCATGTATTTCTGTCTAATCAACCTTAGAGTTTATTTAATTATCATGAATAAATCGTCAACTAGATAGTTCTTCTCTTAGTGTTGTTTTACTTGCATCTTCCAATTGTTATTTAAGACCAGTCGAGCTAAACCGTGTCGGGTAGTGACAGGTATCTACCTCAGTAGAATCGAAGATGGTAGCACAATTTCGTGATCAGTTTCATGTTGCCTGGATATAGGCTGAAGTCACAAATTTTTTAAGCAAAGATGGATAGTGACTAGTAATGGAATTCTGGACGCGTGTTTCGTCCTACTTGAGACTTGTCAGTTGGATGTACCTGCATCTCAGAGTTGATTTTCAATCTAAGACTTGAACCCAGTACTGTTCGTTTCAAACACCATCACGTTATCCATTTAGCTACTGAGTCCTGATAGCCACTTGCTTGTGCAATTGAGTGAAGTTTAAAATTACTTATTTTACTTGTATCTTCCCATCGTTATTTAGGGATGCAGGTACACCAAGCTGACGAGTTCCAAAGGATTCCACTGTTAGCCACTATCCATCTTAGCTTTCTAATAAATAATAAGAATTCATATATTGAATGGATTCCATTCAATATATTGTACGATGGAAAATATGCGTAACAATCATTTGAGAACAAACCCAGGATATATTCTGTTTTGTTACGTTTGAAACAAAGCATTGAGTAAATTAAAGAGTAGTAACCATTGGCTCAATAGTATGAGAGGGGTAGAGTAATGTCATCATAAATAAGTGTAAATCTTATCTAAGTATATACAAAAAGAGATAACTTTTTCAAATTTATGAAGCCTTAAAAACTTAATTAGGGAATTTTTATATGGTTAAAACTTTTTTCTTGGTTTTAAGGATCTGGTGAAATGTCAAGTTTTATCTCTCTTGAACTGTAATCTATTGAATTTGATGTTGGCTGTTAATATAAGTCTTTTACTTACAACCAGATATCAGCGGTAGAAGATATCGGGAAGAAGTACTTGAGGTGGATAGGACATATATTGAGGAAAGAAATTAATTGAGTCACAAGGCAAGCCCTCACTTGAGGTCCTTGAGACCAAAAGAGAAGAGGAAGACGAAAGAACACATTACGCCGAGAAACAGATACAGACATGACAAGGATGGATAACAATTAGATAGAACTAGAAAGGAAGGCCCATGACAGAGTGAGTTAGAGGATGCTGGTTAACGGCCTATGCTTCATTGATTATCTCACATGGCGAGACTATAATTTATGAACGAACCTATCAGATTTACGATAACAGGTCTTGAATTTTGACGCGAAATTCACTCATCCATTTGGATCAATCCATTCGTGATATTATGGCTGATGTCAGTTCGTGATGAAAACCTTATATCTAATTCTTAAGCCTAACTATCACACTGATTTATAATCCTCATTTGATCCTGGTTGTTAAGTGAACACTCTCAGGGTCAGTCTAGCGTCGCTCACCATGAACTTTAATGACTTATATTATTCAACATATTTAGTGACATTTGATATAATAAACAACTTACTTTTTCGTTAAAATCTCATGATCTAAACATGATGGAGCAAATACACCTCTATATAATAAAAAGAAAAACAAAAAGGGGGGGGGGGTTAAGTGAATGACCTTCAATGTGAAGGTTAAACAATGAGATATAAATTCAATATTGACTAGTTATTCATGAAACTGGACATCTATTTGATCCTTTCAATAATAAATATTATTATCAATATAGAGGTTGTGGAGATTATTAAGTTTTTGATTGAGATCATAAACCGTTTGATGTTAGACGAAGGCTTAACCAGTAGGTCCTGGATTCGAATCCAGCTGGCAAGATTGTGGATGTGCACTGTTGAGGAGTCACATAATAGGACGAAACAGCAGTGCATTTCTTTCAGGTTTCCAACGGTGGTCTAACATTAGTCGGTTCATGATCTCAATCAAAAAAAATAAATTTATACTAGAAGGGAAAATGTTACCATTTTTTTCAGGTAAAATCAAATATTGGTCAGTTATTGATTCTAGTAAGTTTATGATATAATCCATTGTGTATTTGATAACCCTAAGTTTAAATTGAAGACTGATGAGACTGTTTTTAAAAATTTCACATATAACCTTTACTTACATTTAATTGTAATGTTTCCTTTTACTGGAATACATTTTCGTCTTTATTCGCCTTGAAATTACATAAAAGCTAAGAGATCAAGCTTCAATAAGTTCTCAAATGCTCTGGTACGTCTGAGGGTGAGGAAAGTTAGCTCTCGCTCTAGAAATGTTTTCATATGGCCACGTGCATACAACCACTGACAGGAAAGTCCTAGTCATTGCCTTCTTGCGACATTACGGTTGTTTACGAAGTTGAGAGAACGAAAATCGAATGTCCGGCACTTTAAAAGGTGTGGTGGATATGGAAGATCCATTTAGGGTAGTTGAAAAACCCTCATTCCAAACCAATGGTGCACATAAGCTCTAGTATCCTGAGTGAACAAATGGAGTATAAACTTGTTGTTAGTCACCGGCTATTATGGGACTGCATCTTCTGAGGTTGCTCCACTGCCTTATGGATCAGACGTTTATGTCAAAGGCTCGAGGTGTAGCCTTTTAAGAAAACCACCTGTTTGGGTTTGAGCACCCGAGTAGTATCACAGCGCTCACATAAATCATTCGATTTATGTGACGCATATCTATTTGTTGTCTCCTTGTACCAATGTTTATGTGTTTAAATAAGTAAAAATAAAAATGTCTAAACAGGATATATATATGTAATCATAATTAACTAACCCAGCTGCCTGAAGACTACGTGCTACTTCTTTACCTAAATTTTGTATATATACCCATTTTGAATATGTTCCACCGGTAAGTAATGGGACTTTAGACATTTGCATTTGTGCTTCATCGAATAAACTTTGAACAATATAAACTGGAGCTTAAAATAAATAAAAAATCAATTTAAGAAAAATGAAAGTATTGATGTTTTATGAAAAAATGATTCTTCAAGTTAACTTGATCTCAATCAAAAACTTAATAATCTCCACAACCCCTATACTGGTAATTAACATGTGCTCACTAGTGATTAGCTTCATGAGGGAATTCTCTGGGTTGTCGTAAGAAGCCGTGACCAGTGGAGCTAATCCGTGTCAAGTAGAGACAGGTATCTACCTCAGTACAATGGAAGATCGTAGCAAAATTTCGTGGATTGGTTGATGTTAGACACGAACACTATTAGATGTCGGCCGGCTCAGTGGTCCAATAGGCTAAGCGATCACGCAAGACCAAATATCCTGGGTTTGAACCCCGCTTGTGGGATCGTGGATGTACACTGCTGAGGAGTTCCACAATAGGACGAAACGGCCATCCAGTGCTTCCAGGTTTCCTACGGCGATATAACATCAATCGATTCATGATCTTAATCAAAAACTTATTAATCTACACAACCCTTATACTAAATAAATAAGCATTTCATAACTTCATTATCACATATTTTAATGTTAACATCAAAGTTAGTCATTTTGATCATTTCAAGATAGTTTCAAGTAAACACTAGTAATAACTGATTGTTTTCAAACTATTCTATCATATTTTATAGCTCATTACTA